GTTGATAGCTACATTGGCACATGAGTTAGAAAACATTTATAATATGCAATCTGCAATTGAAAATGTATCTATTTATAATTAAAGGTAATATAAATTTAAAAAAAAAAAAAGACTGTAGGATATCATACTTTAATAAATGAATTTTGTAATAGTTATGTCACCAAAAATTTCTGTATAATCCACAATTTACCATTTGGTCAAACTTTTCCCTGGCATCCTTTCATACCATACACTTTACTCAATTCACTGCTGAATAGTGAACTGCAAACAGGATTTTATTCCATACCCTAAACATAGCAAATGTGGAACCCAGAAAACTAATAATATAAGAATCATTAACTGCCTAATATGTATTTTTCAATAAGTTAAATTATTAGCCTTAGTAAAAAAGTAAAGCTAGTAAATATTTCCTTCCTAAGATGTACTTAAACTTACTAATAAAATAATTGAATTTATTAAGTATTATACAGTTTAATATGTAGGCCTATAGTGTTAAAAAATGGCTCCATTGCTGATTAGGTGAGAATATAATTTAATTGTTAGCACACCTGCTGCCAAGAAAAAGTGTAAATTTCAGAAAAAAATAAAAGATTTTCTTTATTTTTATTATGCCCCCCCCCCCCAAGTGGAGCCTATAAAGCTTTTATGTGCGCTAAAAGTATGCATGCTAAAGCTATGATTTTTTGTTTGGTGTTATTTAATTCGATTAAATAATTTTGAATCCCTATGAACTATACCTACACCTTAAAACTAATTATGGTTGACCTTTGACTCTGGGAAGTTCAACAGGGCATTCCATTCATAATGAAATTAGAAAACTGACAATCTTTATAATGGTAATTGAATATTTTTATAGTTCCATCCCCTGTATTTGCTACTGCAACTTTTAGTGGATGATATGAAATGATAGATAATCCATGTGGGTTTGTGATTCTACCTTCTTCATCAATTCTTTGTAAGAAATATCCATCACTACTGAATAGCTGTAGTTTGTGATTACTTGATATAATGATGTTGTCATCCTCATCAACTACTACTCCACATGGATTCATCAATTTACCATTCTCATCACCTGCTTCAACAAGTACTTTTTTGAAATGTCCTTCATTATCAAACAATTGTAATCTTCTGTTGTCATATTCCAATACAAGAAGATTTCCTTCACTTGTAAGAGTAACATCGATGACTCCACCCATTTGACCCCTTTGGTTACCTTGTGACCCTGTCTTCCTTATCATTTGGCCACTATCAATATCAAACATGAACACACAGCAAATATTCCAATCTCCTACATACACTATATTTGCTTTTTCATCAACATGGATACCAGTAGGAAACTTCAATACTCCCTGACCAATTGATTTGACCAGCTCACCATTCATATTGCACACTTTAATGCATTTATTTTTTAAATCACTGAATGTTATGTTACCATTTTTCATTTTGTATATTCTGTTAGCTCCCACACCTTGTGGTATAGTAACCTTGCCAATATATTCTCCTGATTGCTTGTACTTGAGTATTTCATTTGTACCACATGAAACCAGCAAGCAACCATCTTCACACTTGTAAACATCTCTGACATTTTTTTTGTTTGTTTTAATGGTATTTACTAATCCTAATTTAGGCTCTACTTTGATCGTCATTGGTGAATTCTCGATTGATTCACCATATGCTCTCACATCTAGTTCATAAATCCCTAGATCTCTGCAATTTAATGTCGCATATATAGTGTACCAGTCTCTATAGAACTCTCCAATTATGGTTTCTCCTGTAGGTATTTTCCATGTTGCCTTCAGTTTATTACCAATATCTTCTGCACCTATTATGTGCACAAAGATTGTTTCTTCAATTCCATAAACTATTACCTCCCTTTCCTTTAATTTTAAACAGTCTGCTGCCCTCATCTCAGATATATACCCAATGTCACATGCTTGCAATGATTCAATCTGATTTTTATTGGTATAGAAATTAAGTTGTTCATAATCTTTTGTCTCTGTTTCTGGCAGATCATCGATTCTGTCCTCCAGTGCTGTAATTATTATTTCACTTGATTGCATTGCTGTAGCTTCATCACTCTTTAATAATTGGTTAAGAAAATTGAGTTTTGTATTTATATCAGATATTGTTTTTTTTAGTTCGTCCATTTGTACATCTAACATCTCCTTTTTCTCTTTGTAGATTGTCTGCACTTCATTTTTTAATTTGTCTCCATTCTCCTTGATTTCCTTAAGCATTTTCTGCACATGATTGTCAATATCGCTCAAACTTTTATCTTTACTTTGATTTAATTTTGTAGTTGCTTGAATAACTGCTCTGAGGCCACCTTGCAATTTTTTTTTGCAGTCATTGGCAACTTTTTCCAATGCTGCTGAAGTTTCTTTAAATGTTTGAAATGCTTCTGAAATGCTGATTGGTTTATGATTTCCTTCCACTCCTTGTGGTCTGTAATTGTACAATGCATGCATATTGGAACATTGCATACGCAGCAAAAAAATTTTAAAGGCTCATTGTGAAGAGAGCAAATTGGAGGATGTAACAATGCAATTTGTAAAGGCGTCTTTGATCGAACGTCCTCCACTGAATATAGCTTGTGATTTGCAGACATTGGCAATATTTTGTGATGGTCAGTACAAGTAGAGCACAAGTAATGTCTGCATATCTGGCAGTAGTATTTTGCCTGTTCTTTTGAACAAAAACATTTCATCTGATCTCTTTCTGAAAATTGTTCAATAGTTTCTAATAAGTTATTTATAAATGTATTTGGTGGAAGTTTCTGGAGCCCGCCCTCTGGAATGGAATATGATTTTGAGCAAGTTGGGCAAGTCGACATACCATTTGCCTTAACCCAATCTTCCAGACATGCCAAACAGAAACTATGGAGGCAGTTTAGTGATTTCGGATTTTTAAGTCTCTTAAAGCATATGGCACACTCTAGGACCTTCTCCTCAACATTTTCCAGAAATTGATCCAATTTACTGGTACCGGTAGCCATCTTGAAGTAATCCTGCAAATATGATTTAGTAATTATAATTATTAATTATTACAAGGACATGGATAAATATAAGGGTGATAAGGTTGAACAAGTGTGTAGCACCAGAATATCTGACCTATAGCATTTGTGTTGTTATAGTGTTAACACATTATTTGACCAAGTGTCTGGATCACAAGTTGTACCAATCATATGTATTTACAGTACTATAAATATTAGAATAATGCAAAGATCAATATTAGGTCTATTTCTGTTTATGTATTTTCTGGGGAGGGGGGGCTAAGCTGTCCGACAAGGGGATTTAAGCTTGTAGGCCTGAGCTGGGAAAAGGGTTTGAAAGGGTGTTCTATTTCCAAGTGAGATTTATTTAAGAATAGCAACCTCTGGATGGCTGGAAATGGCACTTTCAGACTGTGACAGACATATGTTGGCTTGGTGTTGGCATATTTTTATATTTGTTTATGGTGTGATTGCCCAACAAGCTCTGCCACTGGATGACACCACTATTATATGTAAATCTTCAATTTATAATAAACTAAAATAATAAATTAAATAATGAGGATTTACATCTTCTTTCACAGTGTATACTATACAGGGTTCATCTACAGTACTATATAGTCCTTTATGCATTATTATCTTAATTACTAATACTGTACTTACTGCGTTAAGGTTGACTCCTACGTTAGAAGTGGAAATAATTGCGTATGATCAACCTGGATAAGACTGCCAAAAGGAAGAGTGTGCTCCAGGGTTGTGTTTAAATGTAGTCATACCCATACCAGGCTGATTTTGGTTGGTTAAATTTGTCATGTGATGGTTTGTAATGATTATGATTAGTTCTTTCTATGTACAAATAGTCAGGTCAGTGTAATGATAACTAATGCTTTGTGTTTGGGTTTTGTACAAACATGCTTGAATTGTAGTGCAAACACTATAGACAAGTTTAGTCACAACAAGAAGCTCTACATATTGACAAGTTAAAGATACCTTATTAAAAGTCTGATTAAATGTCACTTAAAACATTTGAATTAAAGTACAGTACATACCAATTCTGTATAACGTGTACCAAATGTATTAACCCCCACCCCATGCCCACAGTTCGATTGAGACCCAAACCATACATTTTTTACCCCTAAAAATATGTGAAATTGCAAAAAGTAGTATAATTGAGAAGTTAATAATCCTATGAATGTTTTTATTGTATTTATTTATTTCTTGTTAAACCTTGGTTAACAACTCAGTGACAGACCAACTGTTATCCTTATGTACTCAGGATACATACACAAAACATATAATACGATATCTGTGTACTTTAATAATAATATTCATAAGAGCAACATTAATAATATTAATAACAGTAATAATAATAATAATAATAACAACATTAATAGGATTAAATAAGCCAACAATTAAGATGCTAAGTAAATTGTTTACTGTCATAATACTATAATTTATGAGAACAACATTAGTTGTTATAATAATAATATTTTCTGTATTGAAGTTTGAGTTTGACCAAATCGTCAAGGAAGATTCTGTGTGCAGTACAAGCAAAGTGGCCCTTGAAAGTCATCATTGTCTAAAACACCCATTTATTTAAGGCCCGGCACAGATCATTTGTAAAAATTATATAAACACTGAACATAAAGCAATATAAAAACAGTGCATGAAGCTATTTCTCGAAATGGATGCAGCCTTCAGTGTTGAATAAAAAAATTCACTGTCCTTCGACCTATTTTTATACCCACCCCTGATTTACTACAGCATTATTTTTAGTATTAGTTGTTAGTCATATTCCTTACAATTCTATACAATAGAGGAAGGTTCGATATAATAAGATAGTATACCCTTAAATATTTCTGCTATGTTATTGTACAGTACTTTAATGTGTCGCTACTAAAATATAGTTTTTCTTCCAGGTTTTTTATCTTTGCATTAATGTGACTTGGCATAGGTGGTTTATTTCTTTGAACGCATTGCAAATTGAGGAAATTAGTCATATGTGCATCGGGAAGTGCTGTAAAGTTCAATGTTTAAATATGGACATCTTCCACTGGGTCTCCAGATTTTGGGAGGGTCCAAAAGCTGATGATACTCTCCTCTCTTCTATTTAAGTTCTAAAATCTTTATTTGAATCTCCAGAATTTTCTTCAAATTTTTTTTTTAGTACATTTTTTTACAATTTTTCCCTCATAATACAAATATTATTTAGAACTATAAATGAATTCAATAGAAAAGAAAGCAGAGATATCAAAGTTTTAAAAATTAAGGAATTTCAAGTACCCTACAGAGATTTTATATATTTAAGGACATAAATATTTTAAGGAAGAAAAAAAAGGATCTGTAGGCAATAAAGATGACCAGGAATTCAGTTTTCTTAAGTAGACACTATTTTGTTCTGTGAGCTAACCCATCAGGAAACAAATAAGAATCCAAAAATTATTTTTAGGTTTTACTTTGCTTATGTCATTTTAGCATAGGTTTTTGTGTGAAGTCAAGCATGACTTGAGGAAATTAGATAATTGGAATTATTCACTACACTCATACTCATACTGTAAAACATTTTTGCTCTCTGGAGCGTAGCTGTAATAAATCAAAGTGAAGTAGTGCAACAAATATACAGTATTTTATTATCACAACACATTATAAACAGTTACTTATAAAGATATAATTGCCATCATAAGCAAACAGTGATTTTTAAGAGTATTTTATTTGTGGTTCAATCATATCTAATCACTGCTTTTCACTGCTTTGTACTTTTATAACCTTTTCTTTTTTTTTATATTTATAATCTATTTCTCAGTAACAATTATTGATATTAATGATAATGTTTTTAATTTAGTGCCCAATAATCATTTTCAGAGTTCTGTGACACACAAATGTTATGAATAATAAAAGACAAATTAAATAGTGAAGATGCTTTAAACAGTACTTATTCTCAAAACTACAATTATTTACTTTTAATTACGATTTTTTTTTAAATAGGCATCGATTCATGTAAAAAGTAATACGAAAACATTCTGACCCCCTCCTAAATTTTAACCCAGGTCCGCCCCTGAATTGTCTGTCGCCAGCACGGTGGTGGGGGTACCGGTATAAAAACTGAATCAGAATTTAAAATACAAATGATGACCAACTACCTTTGTAGTGAATTAATGAGTGCTGTCATGGAGTTGAGGTGAGGGATGATGGAGGAACAAAATTAAATGGGGTTTTCAGGGATAAAAGTAAGGGGCGCTCTGAGAAAATAGGGTGATGTCAGCATGGACAGGTCCATGGTATGAGTGCTTAATTGAGTGAAATTATTTTGTGCTGAACCTGAAACAGATCAACAAACACCTTATATTTTCATTGCGGATTTTTTGGGCTCAGTACGGACTCCAAAAGTATGCATTTTCTTTTAGTTTTATAGCGTATGCAGATTTTATTAAGTCCGCAATGACGATATAACATGTTAACAATTAAATATTTTTGTTTATTTTTTATTATGCATGGGACAAATGATGTTCTTTTGGTCCATATCAAGAATTTAAATTTTATTAATCTGTCTTCTTTGCTAAAGAAGTTAAGAGAAAACTTCTATTTGGGTGAATAAGCCTAAATATCTTACATGTAAATACCTGCTCAATATATGGTAAAAAAAGTATTACTATACTGTAAAGTACACAATTTGGATATATATAGTAAATAAGTATTTTCGCAAACTCTGCTTTAGGTTAATTTTCGTTGTCAACAAAGTCTATTTACAAACCAGTCAAATGAATTACTCAACGAAATGAACCAGTCGAATACGCCCATTGGTTCTTGCGGGTTGTTTACTTTTTGTGCTGGAAAACTTTGCATGTGTTTGAAAACTAATTCCTCCATGGTTTGAATGTGGTTGGGTGCTGGTGAGTGGTTTTGTACCTAGGCTGTCATTGTATGATCTAGAATGTTGTATGATCTAGAATGTTATAAATGGAAAATAAATGAAACAAAACAACTAAGTAATTTTAGGAGTATTTTATTAGCATGATAGTCATATTCCTTTATTTTTTTTCCAGAACGAACCAGATTACGCTCCATCTATCACGAACGCTGATATCTTACAAGGTATGATACATTATTGTTTGTCTTATTGTATATCACTTAAACACTTCGACATTAATTAATTAATTGTGTAGCAAGTGCAGTAGAACCCCTCATTTACGAATCCCTCATTTACGAACCCTGAATTTACGAATTCCCGATTTTACGAACGTATAATCATGTCACTGTTGTCATAAATAAAGTTCTTATTTTATGTACAAAACACACACGCGTGTCAAGAATTAAATGACGGGTTCTAGTGTACGTATAATTGTTAAACAAAAGGCTCACAATAAACATCCACAATACAAATTGCACTCATGCTGCATAGCAGAATATTACTGGATCTAATCAACTAGCGCCCTCATTGAGGACTTCAAAGTGCTGGTAAACAAAGCTGTAGTATTTTTTTTCTTAGTCAAACTCTCTTGGCAACAAATACTTCATAAAAACATCATATAAAAACATTGCCAATGAAGAGAAAGGCTAACACACCTGAAATACACCTCTGAAACAGCCAATCCCCTTATTGTTTCTTCTGCTATATTTTTTCATGTTAATTTATGACATTCCAAGGGCTAATTCCAAGCATTCATTTTCCATTTCCTCGTTACTAGAATGTTGAGTACCAAGTGGATATGTGCACAAGATAAATTTTTATTTTTGTAATTAGTTTTAATTTCTTCAATATACAATGTAACCTTTGGAAATATTGGTGAGTTGTTTGTTCAGGAACTGTTTGTCTTTAAACGTGTAGGGCCTAATTTTGTGGTTGGTATATACATATACATACATATACAGTGCAAAAAGGCTCCGGCTTCGGGGCTTCGACCCCGCCCCCACAAGGACTTCACCCCTTGACCCCACCTTAGGCGGGCCCCTGGACCCCACGCCCTGAACCCCCCCTTGGCTGAAGCTGCCTACGGGCCAGGGTATGGTGCTGTACGATATTACGATCTGAGTAATTACAATACACGTTCAACTTAATAACTTAATGCAGTACGCAATATATGAATTCCTATAGTTTATAATTAGTTGTAAATTGTTCATCAACTTACGTGAAACAATAAGATAACGTTAATAAACAAAGATAAATAAGATAATAAACAAAGATTTGTAATCTTCCAATTTTTTTTTCCTCGCCATGGTATTTTACATAGAAGATAAAATTCAACAAGAAGAAAGTAAAAAATTGTTAAAATGACAGCATTAAGAGTAAAATTTTAAAGTTCATAATCACAACAATTCAAATACAAATAAAAAGCAAATGCTTTCACCTTACAAATTTGAATTAAAATTCAACAAATATAATGAAATAAGAAGAAAGGTAAAAATTGTAAGGAGTAATAATGTTAAAATGACATCAATAAGAGAAATATTTAAAAAGTGCATGCTTACAATAATATAAATACATATAAAATAAGCCAATGCTTTCACCTTTAAAACTTTCACATATAAAATGACATTACAATTTGTTTCGGGGATTCTGGACTGTGTTTAGGCCTTTGCATAAACCAAGGGATTGAATTTCTCACTTGTAATGAATCCATTTTATTACCTATTCGACCATACCACTTAACTAGAGGTGATACTCTCCAAATCACATTCATTAACAAGTAGAAAGAATATATGATTTCATAGTAGAATAAACTATACAAAGCATAAACCACAGTATAATATAATCAAGCAATGAATAGGAATTACCTTGAATAGCATAAATTCATTAGAACTTTCATTAGCACTTTTTTCTATAGGACCTCTACAGTATAATGGTCTCCCTAAGACCACACTTAGTGTGGTCTCCCTAAGACCACACTAAGGTCAGCAAGCCTGGAATCTAACCATTGAAAATAATTAGTTCAATGTTTTAAAACTATTAATTACTGAAATTTATGGTAATTAATATTTTCATTGTAATAAAGAAATTATTATTTATACCTCTAAAACAAAAATCATGTCATTCGGACAAATATTGGCTGAGAAATCACAGTTTTTCATCAACATATTGCTAGAATTAGAATACCTTCCTCTATATAATAAGTGGGCATTCCAACGAAAAAGTAAGCCTATGTGAAATTAATTTCTAGATGACAAGAAAGTTTGATGTATTCTCTTTTTGATAGTGAAACGGCCATGAAGGTCAGGCGTTTGTGAATGAAGGCTGTTTTTTTAAAAGCCGACCATATTAGTTTGCTTCAGGTCACCAGACAACCTTAATACACAGAAGGTATTCAGATACGATCACAGTAATAAAGATTCCAATAAAGCAATGCTGATTTAGAAATTATAAAAAAAATAACATTATTAAATAAATTGTGGACACGCTACCGAAACGGCCAAAAAATCAGCGGAACATTAACAGTGAAAGCATTAAAAAAAAACATGTCTAAAAGGGTCAGTTTTCATGCGGTTTCAAGCCGTTTAGCCTGGCTAGATCCCAGTGGCAAAATTTTAAAAAAAAAGGATATTTCATATAATATTTATATGACCGAATATATTGAACCTTGAATCTTTTATAAATACTTGTGGTTCAGGGTGTAAGCTCCCATAAACTATGTCAAATTAGGGGTTTCAAAATGCTTATTAATATTAAGTAATCAGTGTAAACATTTTTTTTTTTTTTGCCCCAACGAATTGTGGTTTTTCTCCCAGAAGTGGGGTGGGGGGGCACTAGCCCTTTATGACAGGGAATACCTATATTTTGAATTAAATGATTTGAAATAAAAGCAACAAAAAAAAAAACACAGCAGAATATCAAATACTTTAATAATTGAAAATTTTTACAGTCTTGTCACCATTATTTGCTACTGCAACTCTCCTTGGATGAATGATGGATAGTCCACGAGGATATTTTATGCTATCTTCTGGTTTATCAATTCTCTTTATAAAGTTTCCATCACTACTGAATAACTGTAGTTTGTGACAGCTTGATATAATAATGTTGTCATCCTCATCAACTACTACACCAGATGGATATTTCACCATGCCATTCTTATCACCTTCTCCCACAAGAACTTTCATGAACTCTCTCTCAATATTAAATGTTTGTAATCCTTTGCAAGTCTCCAATACAAGAAGTTGTCCTTGCTTGGAAATTGAAATATCAATTGCATCTTTGACTCCATTCATTTGACATTCATTGTACGATAATCCCCCTATCTTTCTGATAATTTTGCCAGTATCAATGTCAAGCATGAAAACACTTACAAAATTAAAAGTATAAGTATCAACTCTGCTCTGTGTTACATATAACATATTTGATGCCTCATCAACATATATACCAGCCTGGTGCTTTAACTTATCCAGACGAATTGATTTAATCACTGTTCCATTCATATTGCATATTTTGATGTCGTTATTACCAGAGTCAGTGAATGCTATCTTACTATTCTCCATTTTGAACATTCTGTAAACTTTTACACCTTGTGGTAGTACGACCGCAAGAGTGGGTTTTCCTGATAGCTTGTACTTTCGAATTACATTTGTCAAATTTGACACCAGCAAGCAATTATCTTCACATACAACTACATCACCAATTTCTCCATTGTTATGTATTTGAATACTATTTACTAGTCCTACCTTCTCTACTTTGATTTCCATTGGTGACTGCTTGATAGGTTTACCATCAGCACTCACATCTAGTTTACAAACACCTGGACTTGTGCATGTTCCTGTCGCAAAAAAATCTCCATTGTCATCTTCTTCAACTTGAGTGATGTTTGTTTCTCCTGTAGGCTGTGTCCATGTTGCCTTCAGTTGGTTTGCATGTATTTCACATTCATCTGTTTTCATTACTTTGACAACAAATTTCTTACCTTGAATCACAGATTCCTCTCCTTTTAATGTTAAAGAGTTTGCTGCCCTCATTTCTGTTACATTCCCAATATCACATTGTTGCAATGAAACCATTTGCTGTTTGTTTATAAAGAATGTAATTTCTCCATAATCATCTGGCTCTGCTTTTGGAAATTCATTGATTCTGTCCTTCAGTGCTGTAATTACTCTTCCACTTGATTCCATTGCTGTTACTTCATCACTCTCCAATAACTGACTGAGGAAACTTATTTTTGTATTCATATCAGATATTGTTGTTTTCAGTTCATCTATTTGTACATCAGTTACCTTCTTTTTTCTTTTGTAGAGTGTCTCCACTTTATTTTTAATTTTGTTTCCATTCTCTTTGACTTTCTTGACTATTTCTTGCACATGATTATCAATATCGCTTAAACTTTTATCTTTACTTTGTTCTAATTTTTTAGCATTTTGAATAATTGCTTTAAGGCTGTCTTGTAATTTGCTTTCGCAGTCATTGGCTGTTTTCTCCAGTTCTTCTGCAGTTTCTTTAAATGTTTGAAAAGCTTTAGAAATGCTGATTGGTTTGTGATTCCCTTGCTGTGAATTGTGGTCAGAAATAGTGCAGTGCATACATATAGGAATATTACATTTGCAGCAGAACCAATTTAAAGGTTCGTTGTGAAGATTACACAGTCGATGATGTAACGATGCAATCTTAAATGGCGTCATTGACCGCATATCCTCCACTGAATGTAGCTTGTGATTTGCTGACATTGGCAATATTTTGTGATAGTCACTACAACTAGAGCACAAGTAATGTCTGCATTCCTGGCAGTAGTATTTTGCTTTTTCTTTTGAACAAAAACAGTTCATCTGATCTGGTTCTGAAAATTGTTCAATAGTTTCTAATAAGTTATTTATAAAGGTATTAGGCGCAAGCTTCTGAAGCCCACCCTCTGGAATAGGATAAGATTTCGAGCAAGTTGGGCAAGTCAGCATACCCTTCGTCTTAACCCATTCTTCTAGGCATGCCAAACAAAAACTATGGAAGTTGAGTGATTTAGGATTTTGAAGTCTCTTAAAACAGATGGTACATTCTAGGACCTTCTCATCAACATTTGCCAGAAACTGATCCAGTTTACTAGTAGCCATCTTGAAGTAATCCTGCAAATTATGATTTGATAATTGTAATTATTAATTATGTACAATAACATGAATAATATACAGGTAAGGAGGGTGGTAGGGTTAGAGAACCACAACAGTATTTGTGCCTTAGATCTGTCACTGTTTTTATTAATATTGAATACTACTATGCCTTTTAAATGTGTTACATATATGGACACCACTTCTACTAATCCTTCAGACCTGTTTGCTGTAAATTCTGAACTAGACTCATATTAAAATGATATGGAGTACGTATATAATATTTTGCTAAAAAATTGCAATGATAAATTAAATCTTCTTTCACAGTGGAAATCAGTATGCTATACAGGGTTATAATCAACTGTAGTCCATTATTGTTTCAATCCACCAATAAATCTACTTACTGTTGTAAGGTTGACCCTTGCGTTGAAATAATTGTGTATGATCAGACTGGATGAGAAACAATTCACTGCTCCAGGGTGGTTTTATCTTTAGTTTCGCCTATGTTCTAGGATGATTTCCATTGGATGATTGGTTGATTATGTCATGTGATGGTTTGCAGTAATTATGATTGGTTCTTTCTATTTAACTTAATATTAATAATAGATTAAGAAAAGTTGGACTTTAGTCTGAGCTACTCAGTGAAAAGATACACAGTGTAAACTATATACCAAACATCAAACAAATTTATTAAAAACAAGATTTATTATAAAATAATTCAACTTTTTTTAACGTTCACACATCAATTGACCTCTAAAAATTTAAATAGTCTGACTTACATCAGGAACGAACCTTTCGTGATCATTTATAACACAGCGTATAAATGCTCAAAATTTATTTTTATGATATATAATTTTAATGTTTAACTTAAATGCAAAAATATGTTGTATGGATTGCCTTGAACTATAGAATTCAGCTCACTTGTCACTCTTGTAACATCTTGGAAACTCCTGTTACATATAGGCAAAATTTAAGATGGTGATCAGACCATCTCTTCTCTCACCCAATACCGACAAAGCACAAACAACTTCTTGTGGAAGACTGTTCTATTCATTAATAACTCTGTTTGCAGTCCTTGTACCAAACAAATTTAATTATATATTTTCATTGTCCTAACAAAATCATTACATATTGTGTTTCATTTATAGTTTCAACATGCTGTGACAGTGAAGCTAAACCATGCGTCCCTTGGATGCTGCAACAAGTTGTCGTGTCTTGTCACCAAAGATCTTCAGGAGAAGCCTATGCGTTAGTCAGCGAGTTCGTCAAGCAAGGTATAAAAAAAGTCTCGCCTTGGGTAGCATCTTTTTTTTTTTTAAAGAAAATCATTAATTTCATTTAAAAACACACAAGTTACTGATTGATTAATTAATTCTATTTTCAATAAGAAATGATTATGCACAGTAAAGGTAACATAGGACAACATTTAAAAGACCATTATATTAGTGCTACTGAAACTGTTAATTATTTCAAGGTTTTATCTAAGTGCAAATCCAATTTTGATTGCTTAATTAAAGCATGGAGGAATTTTCTCCACTGAATGTAGCTTGTGATTTGCCAACATTGGCAATCTTGTGTGATGATCACTACAAGTAGAGCACAAGTACTCTCTACATTCCTGGCAGAAGTATTGTACCTCTCCATTTGCACAAATGCATTTTATCTGATCTTTTTTTTCCAGAAACTGACTTACCTTAGCCATCATGAAATCCTGAAAATTATAAATCATACAAAAAAGAAAATTAAGTGGGAGTATTCTCACTTTCAGAAATTTGAAGTAAATAAAATACATATATGCATAATATTGTAAAGAGATACTTCAGACAGAAAGTTAATTATTATATTTGAACACTTTTTTTTGTTCTGTGTCTGCATGCTACTTGAAAAACTCTCTACATATTTGTGAAATATATTTCTAATGTTACAGTAAGTTTTGTCTCCAGCTAGTATGTTTTGTAATACCACCTCACTTCTTGCTTCCCATTGCAACAGCTAGTAGGCAATTGTTTAGTCACACACAAATTTTAAAAAATAGAAAAAAATTGACAGGATACATAGTTTGTAGTGGAGCTCATCGTGTAAAATTTTCATTAGGCCTAAAAAATATGTTTGTTGTCAGGGGGTAACAATTTTAATTAAGGGGCGGGTGGAAAAAAAGAGTAGAGGTATTTTAGAATTATGCAGTTAGAAATATTTAATTTACTTGAATTTTGTGCATCTTATAGCCTTAATTTACATATGCCTAGCTATAGGCCTACTTTAGACTGGCAGAATGTAGGACCAAAGATCCAAATATTGTTGATGTTCCAGGCTGAAATTTTTGTTTAACTATCTCAATTTTGATTATTTTTTAGCTTGTAAAAAATATCCCTCCCATTACTTGGAAAATTAGGAGTGAGGGATTGAATGCAAACAAACATTTTTTACTCTCTATTAACTATTATATTATCAGTATCATTATATTGCAACTTAATATTGATCAGTGCTTTCGATGCTATCATTGTTACATAGTTTACCTGTATGTTTATCATTAGACTATGCACATTTTCTTCCTTCTAGATTCAATGAGTTAGTCCTGGTTTTAACTTTAAGCTAACAGATTCAAAATTCAGCTTATCAAACAGATATGTTTCTGCTTTTGGTGTATGTTTGTATCTCATATATTCATTCAATGTTGATTTTGTTTTAGCCCTTTCGGCCCATTTCTCAGTACTGTATTATCCATTGAGTTTTCATGTATAAAACATTTCAGCCATAGTCTACCTTGGTCTAAATTAAAGTTATCACTTAATTTGAAGTTCTGTAATAATTCTTTTATGTGATTAATCCATTTCCATTTTAGATTATTTTCTACCTCCATTAATGCTTTACACAGAATCTTTTGCCATCTACACTCATCCATATTTTTTACTCTACTGAAGTTGCTCATCCTAAATCTATCTTGAATGTGGTAGATAGATTCCCAACCTAGATCTCCTAGAAGAGCTTCTTTTGCTACATTTCTAGGAGCCTTAAGGATGATTCTAGCCATTCGATATTGTATTGTCAAGCTTGTCGACAGAGCTGTTACTATTACATAACCATACTGAACAATTTATAGTCGGTAAGCCTATTGTCTTCCATAACAGGTCCCCCGTAATACACCCTATTAAAATCTTCTTGGTTTCATAATGGAAGTAATATAATGATTATTCTGTTTCCTTTATTAACTAACTCATCAATATGATGGGTGTCTGTGTAGGATCGAGCGATAATAGTACCAAGATATTTGTACTTGTCGATTTCAGTAATGAAATTATTACTGAATAGCTGTTATAGTTTCTGATCACTAGATATAATGATGTTGTCATTCCCATCGAATGTAGGTAAGAATCTCACCATCCTTATCACCTGCTTCAACAAGGTCTTTCATAAACCTTCCCTCATTATCAAATAATTGTAATCTGTTGTTCCAACTCTCTAGTACCAGAAGGTGTCCTTGATTTGTAACAGTGAAATCACAAACACCATATATTTGTCCTTCTTGTTTGACATTTGATCCTATCTTCTTCACCTTCTGGCCACTATCAATGGGCCTGTTTCTACTGGAAAGAAATAATCAATTAACTAGAAATTGCAAATTACAAGTGTAGTGCTGCGAAGTACAACTGCATATAAATGTTCTTCGAACAAAATTATTTATGCGAGTCAAGTGAAAATAATGAATAATAAAATTATAACAAATAATATGAGACACGACCCATTGTCTATATTAGATCACTTCTTATTGGGTAACAAAGTCATAATTTTTCATTTTTGTCAAAAAGTATCTATAGTGGTGAATTATGGTTTAGGTTTTTTTAAATAAAGTTTCAAAAATTTCTATGTATGTGGAAAATGTAGTTGATTACCAAAGTCGATTAAAAACACGCAATGGGAAATAACTGATTTTGGCTGTACACCTTTTAGCTGCAACACAAAAAATGTGATTATCAGGTAAAATGTGACCTCCAGGTAAATCACTGCAAAGACTAGATCGTACTGTATTAGGCGCGAACTTTCAAAAAAAATTTGTCCTCTTGTTCATGTCCTAGGCCTACAAGCTAAAAACATCAACAAACATGAGGAGTAAAGAATTCGTTTTGTAATTATTTTTCTCAAATTCTAAGAAAACCCATAGGAAAAGTTACTGACAACAGTGCCTGAATTTAGCCCACTGTGTGCAATATTCTAGGCTGTGTTCCTGTGCTTAAACAGTGTACTGTATAGGTGGCTGGCAACTCAGATGCGACAAAGTTTTCAAAATGTGATTTTCTGTGACGTCATGACTGATCAACATTTCCTGAGAGACCATAATTTTCCAGGCACTTAATTATAGATGACATACAAATTGATGAAATCTGTAAAAATCAGGTATAGAACAATACTGTGACTCTTACATCATTTCTGTACATTATCAACAGTCAGGTAAAGCTCTACAGGTGGTCTTTTGATCAGCTATGAACTCCATGCATGCAATTCAGGAATTTGATGAAAGATTCATGAGATCCTCCTTTATTCTATTTATGTATTGTTTTTATGATCATTCCTATGTACTAAGTGACTGATTGGGCCACCCTGGTTAAAGATTGTGAATAAATAAATAAATAAATAAATGTATCTGTATCAAAGGTACTTGAAAGAAATAAATAAGCATCACATGTGAGTTAGGTGGGATAAGGGATAATTAATATATTGATTCCTATAATAATTTAATGTAATTAATGTAGCTTATACAGTATCTATTTGCTTAAGATTTCCAACTGTCAATGAAAACACTTACATTTATATTCCTTATATTTACATTAGCTTCTTGTGTAATAGTCGTGTCCCTCTTCATTATTATAGCATTCTGTCAGAGATTGTCATATTGATTATTTCTCCTAATGTCTCCCTTCCAAAATACCATCCCTCTCTGATATTAGTTTGTTTCACTGATATAACTTCAAGCTATTGGTCATTATATTAGTACCTAATGTTTCAATGTTACTCTCATGGTATACTTTTTCTTAATTTTTTCAAATAATTTGCTTGTACAATTTCATTATACTATAATAGGATGTCTTATATGCAAAAGATGTGTAGTTAACCAACCAGTAAGCCACATTAAGGCCTCAATTGTAGGTTAGTTACAAAGTTTCAAACTTGCATTGCAGTTACGGTAATTAGCCTTCTGTTACGTAGATAACCCTCCTTAAGACAGACAAACCCCCACCTTTCTATTTTTATATACTGTATATAATTGTATTTTTATTCTATTGTCTCCTTTGAAAATTTAGTTTTCCATTTGGTTTGCCTAATATTTTTGACACTGTTATTTCATGTCATGCTCACTGTTGTTAGCAAATGTTAGATTGCATATTGCAAAAACTTCACAGTCTAACAGAAACTATAATTTTAGACCTTAAACAAATCAAAGAACTACAACAAATGTACAAGAAGTATATATTTTAATTGTCACCACAATCATAAGCTATTATAATGATGTATTCAATCATAAACAAAGAGAAGAGTATTTTATAAGTAGTAAATCATCTTTTTTTTAGAATGAACAGGCTTATGCTCCATCTGCCAAGAATGCTGATGTCACAAGGTACGATACCTCAATGTTTTATCGTATAGTTTTTGTTTTTTTTCCCCATTAGACACCCATTTTGAATTCATTCATTCATTCATGCATTCATTCTTTTCTGGTTTATTCATTAAAAACATATTGACATAGAAGTATAAAAAAAAATATTTAAAATAATAATGATTGGATATATATAGCGCTTTTACACCAATCTCAAGCACTCGAAGCTAGGACTATAAGAACTCAATCAATGACTTTCTTCTCCCCAAGGGTCCCTTCGTGTTTGTACTACCTGTTACCGTCCACCACAGGGGCTGTCTGTACCAGTGCACTTGGGTATCCCCTACTAGATTCTTTATAGTGCATGCAAGCACCATTTAGAAAACAACTATTCAACATAAAATGCCATAACCTATATTAATATACAAAACTCACACAATTGAGTAAACCACAAGAAAAAAAGAATCACATAATTTACATATTTAATTTATGAGATAATATAAAAATACTGACTTGTGATGTCTTGTTTTTCTTAATTTATATTTGTGTTTTTAAGGGGCAGATCTAGTAGGGGCACAGGGGGCATGTTCTCCCGTTTTGCCCCTAATTTTTTTAAAATTTCAATGCATATTAATGTTATGTGCTATTCTAAAACTGTTGTACCCCTCAGTTTGAAAAATTCTGGATCAGCTCCTGTTTCTAATATGATAAATCCTTGTTAGCTAATTTAACTTTTCATAGTTTTGTTTTGAGTTTAATTTTTTTTTCAATATAGAACTAAACAAAATAAATTACAAACAATGTACAGTATTTAAAGTAAGGAACAATTTGAATGTAAATTGTCTTTTAAGGCAAGAATACTTAATAAAATTTAAAATTAAATATAGGTTAAAATAATGTTTTGCTTGATGTCAGTTTTAATATCATTGGGTAGGTAGTTCCATAATTTGATTGGTCTTTAACAAGCTCTTTTACCTTATGAAATATTCCAATTTAGGTAAAATTATAGCATTATTACTTATGGCTATTCATTAAAAATGGATTTGATAAATATGATGGGAATTTTAACAAGAAGTTTGCTTCAACCAAAAAAAATTAATTTATCATTTACAGTCTACTTTATTAAAGTAAATGGTATTACTGTATTGCTAAAATATGTAATTGTTCAATCAGTCAATACCATTGGTATTGATTGATTTTTACCACATGTAGTTAATTTAATAGGAACATCAAAAACACTATACTATACTACCCTAATAATACGCTAAAAAAATAAAACAAAACAATTAGCAAACATGGAGAAATTTTCTAATCATGACTTAAAAAAGTTACCATATGTATATTACTGTATAGTAATGAATATCAAGAAAAACAGCTACAATAAATAATCATAAATAATAGGTTAAATTAACCCTTTTATTGTAATTGTTATATTTATGATAAAATATTTATGACAAAAGCCCAACAACAAAAACATTCATTTCAAATAACATCTTAGGAGTTTTTTTAATTCCATTTTATCATTGAATATCCTTATCATTACATCTGCTCCAACCAAGGGATTACTATAATAATCATTACTGTTAATCTAATATCATATAAAAGTCAATGCCATTGACTTGCCATTGACTACAAAACATTCAAAAGTTCAATTTATTTTCCATACAACATAAACAAAATTGATACATATGAATGTAAATATAAATATGAATATAATTATATATATATATACAGGTGAAGCTACAGAACTTTAATATATAACCACCTTTACAGAGTTGAAAAAATAAAACCATGAAGACCAAAAGGTGAACAAATTACAAGATACTACTTCAGTAAGTTTTTTAATAGTGCTTTTTATGCCAAATGGAACTTGAATTTCCATTTTTATTTGGACAATAAAGTTTATCTTATCTTATCTTATCTTACTACTAATACATAAATATACATACATACACACACAGAGAACACAACGTAAGCTAAATGTAGTATGCCATCATGTAGATAATATTCATGATAAATGTTCAGAACAATGGAAATAATTAATATTAACCTTTAAAAATTCCACTCATGATGAAGAAAAATGATGGTGGAACAAGAAGCATCCTTAGCTATAATAATTGAGATAATTTTAATTAACTCTACTTTTACAATAATCTAGAACATAGCAAAGTAAATGAATACCAATAGTTTCTGTATTTTATTTTTTATTACCGCTAAAATCTTAACCATAGATTATGCAGAAATAAATAATAATATTCCAAACTACTGAACAGACCTGTTTTAACTCCTAGATTATTTTATGTAAAATATCATTTTTTTTTAATTTTCTTTTTATGGACCCCAATTGAAATTAATTTTTTAAAGATTATGGGTCATCCATTTCATTTTTTTTTTTTTATTATTTTGAAGTCCTGGTGATTTGCTTGTATTATATTACATGTGCAAATTATTGTTTTCTAGAATTACTCATAATAATAATAATAATAATAATATAATATATGTTATTTTATTTTGAGAGAGAATTTAGTTTTTTTTAAACAGAATACAAACTAGTGATGGCAGGAGACAAAGAGATTCTTTAATAGTTTGGTATTTGTACAATTTTCTGTACAACTAATTTGTACATGATTTGTGTGTAATTCATAATATGCACATTTGAAACAAAGGAAAACAAGTTAGGGCAGCAGATTGACAAATACTTTTAATATTTTTACAGTTTTGTCACCATTATTTGTTACTGCAAGTTTTTTTTGGATGATATGAAATAATAGATAATCCATAGGCTTCATCACCTAACTATTCTTATCACCTGGTTTAACCAAGACTCATTAACATTCCCTCGTTATTAAATAGTTGGAATCTGCTATTGCTATGCTCCAATTTCCTTGATTTGTAAGAGTAATATCAGAGATTCCACCTATTTGACCTGTGTTGCCAAGTCACCATATTCTTCTTATGAGCTGTCCATTATCAATGTCAAACATGAACACATATCTAATCTTCCAATCTCCTACATACATAACAATTGATGCCTCATCCACATAGATATCACTGATTATCATTATTCTTGATTGGTTTGCCATCAGCACTCACATTTAGTTTGCAAACACCTGGATTTGTGCATTTTCCTTGAAATCACAAAATAATCTCCATTATCATCCTCTTTAATATATGTGATGTAAATTTCTCCTAGGCTGTGTCAATGTGGCTTTCAGTTGATTTGCATATATTTTTTCATCTGTTTTCATTACTTTGGCAATAATTACTGACCTTGTCTCACAAATACCCTTTCCATTAACATTAGATTGTATGCTGCCCTTAATTGTGTTACATTTCCAATATAAAATTGTTGCAGTGCAGACCCGGCGCTATATCTAGCGAGCCTAGGCCTAGTGATACTAACAACAGAAATGAAGTACGTAACCTAGCAACGAATGCAGAATGAGGTAGCTTATTCACACTCACCGAGTGTAGGCCTACACAGATTATACGTACTTAGACCTGCAAAGTTAAACAACAGATTATTAGTGAATAGACAAAATAACGTAACTTTATGACTGGAAGCAAATAATCAGCATATATACACCACAGCCTTATTAAAATTAGAACCCCTGTTTGCTACATAACTTAATACTTGAATATTTGTATAGTTTTGTTACCCCTGTTTGCTACATAACTTAATACTTTAATATTTGTATAGTTTTGCTATCCCTGTTTGGTGTTAAAACTTAATACTTGAATATTTCTATAGTTTTGCTACCCCAGTTTGCTATATAGCCAACAGGTAGCAAAAATAATAAATAAATAATAATCAAGTATTAAGTTATAGTAGCAAACAGAGGTACCAACACTAATGATGATGATACAGAGCAGTATAAACAACTTCTACATTATGTAGAAAAAAAAACAACTTCATAATTATATTTATGAAATCATAGTTATATTTTAAAAAGAACAAGTTCTTGTGACAAGTTGTCAGTGTAATTGAACATTTTTATATTTTCATCACTTGGATTCACTACTGCAAATCTTTGTGGATGATGTGAAATGATGGATAATCCAAGTGGATTATTTATTCCATCCTCTTTTTTATCAATTCTTTTAATGAAATCTCCATCTCCTCTGAAAAGCTGTACTTTGTGTTTGCTTGATATAATAATTGTCCAATTGTCAAATACTACTCCACATGGATTCCTCAATTTACCATTTTCATTGCCTGCTTCAACAAGGACTCTCTTGAACCTTCCCGCATTATCATATAAATGTAATCTGCTATTGCCATACTCTAATACAAGGAGGTCCCCTTGATTTGTAAGAGTAACGTCTATGACTCCTTCCAATTGACGTCTTTGATTTCCCCGTGACCCTGTGATCTTCTTAATCACATGACCACTATCAATGTCAAACATGAACACACAGCCAATATTCCAATCTCCTACATACACAACATTTGATGCCTCATCCACATGGATACCAGTTGGATGTGATAATTCTCCCTTACCCATTGATTTGATTACCTGACCATTCATATTGCACACTTTTAATCTTTTTTTCATACCATTATCACTGAATGCTATGTTACCATTTTTCATTTTGAACATTCTGTAAACTTTCACACCTTGTGGCAGTGTAACTTTACTAACATATTCTCCTGATTGCTTGTACTTCAGCATTTCATTTGTCAAATTTGAAACCAGCAAGCTATCATCTCCACACTTAACTACATCACATGGTGTGTTTAATATTTGAATGGTATTCACTAATCCTTCCTCCTCTACTTTGATCATCAACGGTGAATTACTGATTGGTTCACCATCAGCAGTCACATCTAGTTCATAAATTCCTGGACCTGTGCACTTTCCTAATACCCAGTATCCATAATCATCGACAATTTCAGAGATGCAGGTTTCTCCTGAAGGCTTTGTCCATGTTGCGTTTAGTTGATCTAGATATATTCTACATTCATTCAGTTGAGCATTCCATTCATTTATTCCAATAGTAATTAGGTCTGAGCTCTCCGAATATATCTTATCTTCTGCTATTCCAAAATAGTTGTCTGCCACCTTCATGTGTGATACATACCCAATATCCCATTCTTGCAATGAATCAAACTGATCATTATTGATAAAAAAATTAAATTGTCCATTGGTTTTTGGATCTGTTGTTGGTAATTTATCAATTCTTTCTTTCAGTGCTGTAATTACTGATTCACATGATTGCATTGCTGTAACTTCATCACTCTTCAATAACTGATTAAGTAAACGCAGTTTTGTATTTATATCAGATATTGTTATTTTCAATTCATCTACTTGTAAATCATTTACCTGTTTCTTCACTTTGTACATTGCTTCAACTTTATTTTTCACCTTCTTTCTAATTTCCATGATTTTCTTATGTATTTCTTGCACATGATTGTCAAAATCTCTTAAACTTGTCTCTTTACTTTGTTCTAATTTTGAGGTATTCTGAATAACTTTTTTGAGGCCATTTTGTAATTTGGTTTTACATTCATTGGCAGCTTTCTCCAATGTTGCTGAAGTTTCTTTAAATGTTTGAAATGCTTTAGAAATGCTGATTGGTTTGTGATTTCCATCCCATGCATTGTGGTCAGTAATTGTGCAATGCATGCATATTGGAATTTTACATATGCTGCAGAAAAATTTTAAAGGTTCATTGTGAAGAGAGCACATCGGAGGATGTAACGCTGCAATCTGTAAAGGGGTCATTGACCGCATGTCCTCTACTGAATGTAGCTTGTGATTTTCTGAAATTGGCAATATTTTGTGATGGTCATTACAAGTAGAACACAAGTAATGTCTGCATTCCACGCAGTAGCATTTTGCCTGTCCTTTTCTACAAACACATTTCATCTGATCTGTTTCTGAAAATTTGTCAATAGTTTCTATTGAAATGGTATTTGGTGGAAGCTTCTGAAGCCCGCCCTCTGGAATAGAATATGATTTTGAGCAAGTTGGGCATGTTAGCTTGCCCTTCTCCTTCCTTACCCAATCTTCAAGACATGCCAAACAGAATGTATGGAGGCAGTTGAGGGATTTAGGATTTTGAAGTCTCTTAAAGCATATAGTACATTCTAGGACCATCTCATCAACATTTTCCAGAAACTGATTCAGCTCACTGGTAGCCATCTTGAAATAATGCTGTGAATTAATAATTAAAAAGAGTCATGGATAAACAAAAAGGAGAGACATACTTGTAGAAGACAGAGATCCAAGACCCACAGTTCTTCTTACGTAAAATCCTACCCCAGAATGCATAGTTCAGTTAGGGTAGGAGTGTGCAGGTCATTAGGACCTTATTGGAGTAACGTGTCTACTCCAGAATGCATAGTTTGGTTGGCGTAGGGGTATGCAGGTCATTGGAACCTTATTGGAGTACCTTTCCTAACCCAGAATGCATAGTTTCATTAGGATTGGGGTATGCAGGTATGCAACTTGAATGGAAACGTCCCTATTATCTCAGAATGCATAGTTTGGCTAGGGTTGGGGTGTCATTAGGACCTTCAGAAGTAACATCTCTACCTTAACATGGAGAGTTTAGGTTCAGGGTATAGAGGTCATTAGGACAAACACTTATTAACTGTACCTAGGACTGCATCTTCATACGGTGATCGCGCATTCTATGCAGTAGTTCCCAGGCTGTGGAATGCCTTACCAATTGAACTTTGCAGATGCAGTTCACTTGATGTTTTTAAAAAGACATTTATTTCAAGTTGCTTTTAATTATTAATTGTTTTTATCATTGTACTTTTATAATGTTGTTTTTTTATTTTCCATGTTTAGTATGTTTGTGTGCGCCTCGGAATAGGTTTACCTAGATAGATGGCGCATTATAAGTGCATTATTATTATTTTTATTATTATCATCTAAGTGGAGTAATATCCCTTACCCATGATGCATAGTTTCATTAGGTTTCTCTGATTATGTTTAGAGAATAATACTGTTCATATTCCAATGAATTTGCTTTTGGACAAAATAAAATATATTGTATCGTATCGTATTAATGCACACAAACCTTCATATACAGCAAAGCCCATTGATCACAAAAATGGGAGTATTATAGGTAGTGTTCCTTTATTAAGAAATTTAGAACATTGACTGCTAGAGGGCATCATATTGGTGCCATTGTATGCATGAATGAACGCAATGCCTAGAGTATATGGAGATATGTGACTGGGGCGTGCACTTCTGCAAAAGAAGCATGAAACTATGTCCTCAGTGTTTTTGAGTATGTCAATTTCAAAATTGCTGGAACCACGATGTCAATCCACCCATTACTTCCAAAAAATGGAAAATTAAAAATAGCCAGTGCCCACATTACCAGGATCTTGGTGTTAATAACTTTGTTCAACCGTAGTTTAAGGAATCCAATAAAACATACAGTATATAAACATCATACATACATATTCTATGCAAAATAAATATGATATTCATAATGGCCGCCAAAAACAAATTTTCAGTATTAAAATGACTGTCAGTGCTCAAACTACCATGACCTTAGTGTCCACACCTATGCTTTAGTTCAATGAATGCAATTGAACATAGGCGCACATAAACTACGGTAAAATCTTCATTGCAGGATTCTAACCAGCGACCTTTTGCTGACAAGCTGAGCATCATACCTCCAGACCACGAAGAAGTATGGATGTTGTCACAGATATACGCCCTCAAAAAGTGGGGCTGTGCTCACTACCTATGCCAAGATGAAGCGCATTACTTTATAGAGGAAATGATGGGTACTGTACACACTCTACTCTACTAAAACCGCCATTGATGCCCACATATCTTTTTCCCTCAAGTTTTGCATCAATGGGGAAGGGCCAATGAGAAATGGAAGGGGCAGAAGATGTCAGGTGAAAGATGTCACTGAAGCCTTTAGTTTTGATCCTGCAAGTAGGCTGTTTGGGATATTGGCTGCTTGATGTTGTAGGGACAGCGCTACAGTACTTACTCCTTACCAAAGCTCTTTTCCATTCCTCTTAGTTGCTTACTGCCGCCAACAGGTCGTCAAGTATTTACAAAAAAGCAGATACAGATTGCAAGGACTTAAGCTTGCAAGGACTTAAGCTTGCATACTGGAATAACTATGCTCGATTCATAAGATATTTGAGATCCAAAACGAGAATGTTTCTGTTTGTACTATCAAGAATAGATATTGCTGTAGCAAAAGTTCACTTTCCAGTGGAAAGCAGCCTTCAAGAACTTCAAGCTGGTTACACTTTCAACTGGTCAGGCAAGCTACATTAAAGGCAGAGATGCATTTATGATGAGAAACTCAATTGCCTAAAAAATCGATAATACAAAAAACTGGTCACTCCAACGAAGGGCATGTTTTACACTGATCTGATCAGCCTTGTACAAATGACAAAGTCAACATCCTTGAGAGACACCCAAAGGGAAAAGTTTCATTGCCAACTTTGATTCAGCTGAAGTGAAAGCTGATATCAAGGTGAAACTTAACAAAAGCTTAAGGATGCACACTGCAGACCCCTCTCCAGAATTGTTTTGTCACACCTAAAAACTGTTATCACCAGACCTCGGAAGTCCTCCACAAGAAAAAACAAGATTGGTTTGAAAAAAATGACAAGGAGATCCAAGGTTTGCTGGCGAAACCATATCCGACCACCAGACACACCTTACTGTACTCGGGTATCCTGTCCTTTGAAAAACCAATCTTTCATCCTATCTACAGCAACATTTGGTGTAAACTATGAGAATTCAAAAAAAATGTTGGATAACTTTCACAGCGAAGACTCAGCTTTAGGCAGATACTAGTAACTACAAGGGGTTTTATAAAACAGTGAAGGTAGTATGCCTCTCTTCAACATACCAGATCCAAAGCCTTCTATGCAGTGTTGACGGCCAGAGACAAGACGTCCATAATTTGCATGGTAGGGCCAAACACACGGTTCAAGACTCAATGATGGTTCATATCCCACAATAAATTATGGGAAACATAATAGTTCTTTGAGAGAAGCACCAAACTCTTAGAAGTCTATGGGAAATGCGAAGCATTCTGGCTATTCATTTAGTTTCAAACCAATTGTAATAGAACCTAAAATGGGTACATGGTTCAGCTGAATGTTTGGTTAATTAAGAGTAAGGTTTCTGCCTTTATAGTGACCCATCTGGGAAGTTTAAGATCTGAATTTGTGTCTAAAAGTCAGATGCTAAATAACACTCAAATCAGAGTTATAATAAGGGCCATTGGCATTTGTGGATCTGACAGTCAACATGCATGGCAAAGGTGGGTGTGAAGGCTCTTATGGCTTCTATGGCAGTGGTACTGCAATTTCTTCAACAAGGAATCTTCTTGCTTGAGAGTTCACACTCACCTTGGCCATGCATGTTTAGTGTCAGGTCCTCAAATAACAATGAGAGTTAGGATTAAGGACCATTTGTGTATCCAATTGTATCTATGACAATTGTTAATTGGTGTTGCACTTTTGCTTCTATGGCAGTGGTGGTGTCATTTCTTCAACAATGAGTACAAATTCTTAACAGGGTGTACCTAAAAAGTATAGGTGGCAAGTTTGGAGATGGCTGCTTCCTTGAGAGTTCACACTCACCTCAGCCTTATGTTTAGTGCACCAGAATACCTAATAAAAAACAGCTGTTGATAACCAAGGTTGGGGTAGTCGGTGAAATTACAGCCCCCTTTTTTTAGAGGCCATTTTAATTTTCAGCCATTTTATAACCAAAAACCTTGTTTTAAATTTTGAATTTATTTTTTCTTTTTACAATAAAGATATTATTGTCGTTTATATACGTTCTTTTAGATTCATTGACCTACAAAATATTGCCGTTTTAGCAATTTGCAAAGCATGTTTTTTTGGTGGCCATTTTGAATGTCACATTTAATTTTGTATTTTCACAATGAAGATGTATTCTATGGTATTTCATATATGTTCTTCTGAATTACTTAAACTAAAGAACATCAGTATTGACACAAAATCATGGTAATATTTGGGCACAATTTAATTATATTCGCATTTTCACGATAAAGATGTGTGCTTATTGTATATTATTAATGTTTATTTGGATTCCTTGAACTATGAACATAGATCCTTAAACTGCCAAAATTGTGTTTTTTTGGCTGCCATTTTGATTTTTTTCATGCTTGGAGTGACATTATGGTTCCCGCAATTTTTGGAATTGGCATATTCGAAATACCCAAAATAAATTGTAGTTTATAATAAGAGAAATCCATAAGTCAATGGTAACTGAAAAAGTACTACTACTAGCTAGGCCTTGTCTAGTACTACTAGACTGAGTACTACATAATACTACTATAAATACTGAGGCTTATTTTAATACACTATAGGCATATGTGGTCTCAATATAGCAACTTTATAATTATCCAGTGTGATGTCCTCTATGACCTGATTTTCTGTTACATAGTATATATACACATTTTTCTCAATACATGAATTTTCAAGTTGAAAACAACATGAATACAAAAGAAAATAGTTAATTTGTCTGAAAACAATTATAGAAACCAATGATTAAATGCAATTTCTAATTTTCCCATTTGGCTTTCCAACTCTTAGTACATATCTGACTAAACCATGGAGGGTTATTATTCTTCCATGGGCTATGCATTAACAATATATCCAAGCATACAGAAACAGAGAGGCCTCATTTTTCAAGTGGGTCTGGAGTCTTGAGTAGCTTTTTAATTATTATAACATATTGCACTATACTTTTTTTTAAATTTAATATAAAAAAAATCCTAATATTAAATAATGCATTTTCTAAAAGTATTATAGATCAGGCCTAGCATTTTTTACATCAATTGAATACATATATCATACCCGCAAGTTTACAGATAATGTCACTCCCATAAGTAATAGCTTTCTATACATACTGGTGAAGCTGGTACTGTACATTCTGGTTAGTTAATCCCATACCATGTTCGGATAATATTTTGACCCAGTTGTTTGAATGTTACAAATGGGTATAATGCTTCATTGTGATTATAATTTAAAAACTTTAAATCGAGTAATTACCTTAAGTTTTCTTGCTGTGAGGTATGCTACTTTTATGTACGACAGAACAACAGTTGGTTTTTCCTGATTTTTAAGTCATGTGACCTGGTATAGGGCGACCAATTTATTGTGTGTAATGATCTGTGACTGTAGTGTTGTCATGCAAATTAGTTTTTAAATTAAATGGATATTGATTTTCCTCTTACAATTCACATGTAACATACTGACAATTACAATAGAATTGATATTGAAATGACAAAGAAAACAATTTATATGCTCAAGGCATACTGAATTATGAATTTAATATCAGTTAATATATGCACATCCATTGCTGGGGCTTATAAAGCTTCCAAAGAAAGCGTTGTTGACATAATTACTATCCTTTGATCTTTAACTTTATGAATAAATGTCTTGTTTCTATATCGAATGCCAATGCTCTCATTATTGTTTCTGGTTGTTCATATGTTTCCATTAATTAGTCAAGTGTAGTGTACAATCCGGCACAAAACTAAAGACCATTTCAGTGCATTGTTCTCGCCACATACTTTTAGTCATATCACTTGCTTGTGGAACTCTGTGATACACTTGGCCACCCTCTATACCATCTGGAATCCTATTGGCTAAGCTTTTAAAATGTTCTTTTTTTTCATTGTGATTATATTTGGTTTTGCATTTGAAAATATGGATTACAGTAGGTTTCATTCCTGATAGTGATCTAAATTGAAGTTCAAATTTTTTTAATCATAATGAGAACAATATAAAAGGAAATTATGTTGTAATAGTGCTTCTCATGCAAAGTACCAACTATCAAATATTTAAGTGCATCCCTTAAAAATACTTCCAGTATCTGTTAGCATCTTTTATCTTGATTTCTGCCTCATTAAAATTATCATCATAAATTATAATCCTAGTTAATTCAAATATTTCTTTTTTCTTTTCCAGAAACAGATCCTGAGGGAAGGATCCTAATACAGTACGTGGTGATCGAACATGTTTGGACTCATAGAAATTGTTAAGCATTTCAGGAATATCAAACCCAGAGGATGAAGATAGTAGCATTTGATTTACTTCAATAAACGTAAGTGTTTGCCATGGAGATGCTGTTGCTTATCTTTTACCATTATTATTAGTAAGATTTATTTTCTTATAGATACTTGTAAGGCTATGGGCTGCTGACAGCTCACTTGCCCATGGTTCCGGTGGTGGAACAAGTCTTCTTGGATAGGGATTTTAAACTGTAGGCCCAGTGTACGCATTTGGCTTGTGTGCACTTTAAAGAACCCAGTACATCCTTCGAGAAGAGTAGAGGGTTACCACGGTGTACTGGTCCATTCAGTCCCTGTCGTTTAATGAATATGTTGAATAAATGAATGTGTAGTATCAGTGAAAAGCAAACCATCATCATTTTGTGTGTTAAAAATTCCATTGCAATTTATAGTTGTCTTCCCACAACATAGGTATGACCCATCTTTCTCAAGTTGCTTTTAAGCCAGACCTCAACTTTCTGTTTATATCTACACTGTATATATATTGTTGTATTTTGATTCTATTGACTACTTTGAAAATTTAGTTTTCCATTTTGTTTGCCTTGTTATTTCATGTCATGCTCCCTGTTGTTAATTGTTAGATATATGTAAAGCCAATAATTATTTTACAAGCGATCACAATCTAACAGGAACTAAAATATTTTGACACGCCTTATATAATATTATTCATGAATAAATCAAAGAACTACAACAAATATGTAAGGAAGTATATTTTAATTGTCGCAGCACATCATAATCTGTTACAATGATGTAATTTCATCATAAACAAACAAATTTTGTAGAAAATTTTGTAGTATATTATTAGAACTAGATTATTTCCCTTTACAGAATAAACCCAATTTATGCTATTTGTCAAGAATGCTGACCTGAGACACACAAAGATTTTTTTACAAAACTACTTGGAAACGGTTACTGAGATACAGATTTTTGAATATTTACAAAACTGGGGGAAAAAGGGGCATAATTAGCCCTTTTTCTGCATTTTCACTTGACTGCTGATGAAGGTACTGGAAGCTACTTAAATGATGAAAGGTAACCTTTTTTTTCTATTACTTTATACCATGATGGAGTCAAATAGTAACTTATTATTATTATTATGTTATTATTATGATTATTGTTATTGATGATGATGTTGTTATTATCTGTTTTAATACATTTATTCAATTTTGATCAAAAACAAAACAAGTGAGGGCAGCAGACTACTCTAATAATTGAATATTTTGATAGTGTTGTCACCATAATTTGCTACTGCCACTGATCTTGGATGATAGGAAATGATGGATAATCCCCATGGATTTTTAATTCCATCCTCTTGATTATCAATTCTTTTAATAAAATTTCCATCACTACTGAAAAGTTGTAGTTTGTGGTCACTTGATATGATGATGTTGTCATCCGCATCAACTACTACTGCACAAGGATTCCTCACTTTACCGTCCTCATCACCTGCTTCAACAAGGATTTTCATGAATTTTCCCTCATTATCAAAAAGCTGTAATCTGCTGATATCATTCTCCAATAAAATAATATGCCCTTGATTTGTAAGGGTAACATCAGCAACTGCACTCAGTTGACCAGCTGGGTTGCCTTGTGAACCTATTTTCTTGATCATCTTGTCATTATCAATATCAAACATGAATGCATAGTAAGTTTTCCAATCCCCGACATACACAACATTTGATACTTCATCCACATGGATACCAGATGGATGCATTGGTCCTGTGAGACCAATTGATTTGATCACTTGACCATTCTCATTGCATATTGTGATGTGTTTTAAAATTTCACTAAATACTATGTTACCATTCTTCATTTTGTACATTCTGTAAACTTGCACACCTTGTGGTAGTATAATCTTACCAATATATTCTCCTGATTCCTTGTATTTTAGTATTTCATTTGTCCTGCATGAAACCAGCAAGTGATCAACTTCACCCTTAGCTACATCATAAACATTTACATTGTCTATTTGAATGGTATTTACTAAACCTTCCTTTTCTACTTTGATCATAATTGGTGACTGCTTGATTTGTTTACCATTAACACTCACACCTAGTTCACATACACCTGGACTTGTGCATTTTCCTGTCAAAAAATAATCTCCATTGTCATCTTCTTCAACTTGGGTGATGTTGGTTCTTCCTGTAGGATGTTTCCATGTTGCCTTCAGTTGGTTTGCATGTATTTCACAATCATATGTCTTCATTACCTTGACAACAATTGTTTGACCTTGGGTCACAGATGTCTGTCCATTTAATGTTAGACAGTCAGCTTCCCTCATTTGTGTAACATTCCCAATATCACATTGTTGCAAAAGTTGTTGTTTGGTTATAAAGAATTTATTGTATCCATTATCATTTGGCTCTGTTTTTGGCAACTCATTGATTCTGTCCTTCAGTGGTGTAATTACTTTTTCACTTGACTGCATTGCTGTAGCTTCATCACTTTTAATTAACTGATCAAGGAAACTCAGTTTTGTGTTTATATCAGATATTGCTGCTTTCAATTTGTCTATTTGTTCATCTAACACATTTTTTTTCTTTTTGAAGATTGCTTCTACTTCTTTTTTCATTTTGTCTCCATTCTCTTTGATTTTCTTTAGCATTTTTTGCACATGATTGTCAATATCTCTTAAAGTTGTATCTTTATTTTCTTCTAATTTTGTAGCATTCTGAGTAACTTCTGTAAGACCATCTTGTAATTTTTTTTTGCAGTCAGTTGCTACTTTTGCAAAGGTTTCTGAAGTTTCTTTAAATGTTTGAAATGCTTTAGAAATGTTGATCGGTTTGTGAGTTTTTTCCCAAGCATTGTGGTCAGTAATTGTGCAATGCAGGCATATTGGAATATTGCATATGCAGCAGAAAAATTTTAGAGGATCATTGTGAAGGGAACATAGCGGAGGATGTAACGATGCAATCTGTAAAGGTGTCATTGATCTCATATCTTCCACTGAACACAGCTTGTGATTTGCCAACACTGGCAATATTTCGTGATGGCCTCTACAAGCACAGCACAAGTACTGTCTGCAATTCTGGCAGTAGTGTTTTGCTTGTCCATTTTTACAAACACATTTTATCTTTTCACTTTCTGAAAATTGTTCAATAATTTCTAATAAGTTATTTATAAAAGTATTTGGTGGAAGCTTCTCAAGCCCGCCATCTGGAATGGGATACAGTTTTGAGCAGGTTGGGCAGGTTAGCTTACCCTTCTCCTTAACCCAATCTTCCAGGCATGCCAAACAGAAACTATGGAGGCAGTTGAGTGATTTAGGATTTTGAAGTCTCTTGAAGCATATGGTACACTCTAGGACTTTCTCCTCAACATTTTCCACAAAATTCAGCTCACTGTTACTGGCACCCATCTTGAAATAATGCTGTAAATTATGAATAAATAATTTCTATTACTATATAAATATTTATAAATAATTATTATTATAAGTTAATCGTGATGTCATCACTGCAACTCCCAATGTTATTTTGCCTATCCCCCACAGTCCACTGATTTTGACGCTTGGCTTGATTTTTTTAGGTTCGTGTGCAAAAAAAAATCCTAATTTTTTCGTCACAAAAAAAAAATCCTAATTTTTTCGTCACCGCTAAGATATCCCGCACCGCGATAAAAATTGAATTGTAGTTGAAAATTACTTTCATAAAACAAGGTTAATTAGAACCCGAAGAAAGTTACTTTATAAAATTCAATATTAAGTATAAACAATTAAGCAATTCCTTGAATCAATGAACCCTATAAACTAAACAAACTGAACATTTAATAGGAATATTCTACATCTATTTTAAAGACTCAAGAAACAAAATTAGATGTAGGCCTACGGCCAGGCAGCAGGCCACCGAGGCCTCCTCCTACTAGCCTAGGCCGTATAGCCTAGCATGTAGTTATGAAATCATCCCAAGATTTTTACCTGTCTGCACCGACCAAAAAGTTAGTGACAGTGACTCTATTTGCTCTCTAGTGTTTTGAAAAATGTTTATTTCTTTGACGAATGTGAAAAATTACAAAAAGTTCTTCTAACACAATACAGATTACAAAATTGCCTAGTTATTCATCATGTCTGTACAGTACTGCTGATGTGTAGTTAACATGTAGGCCTACAATGCAGGAGCACAAATCAGCATACGCACAAAATATACGCACACAGTATACTGATCATACCACTATAGGAACCGATGACTAGTACAATGCATTTGGTTATAAAAACTAACATTAAAAGATAGCGATTGATTTATAAAGCAATTAGTAGAGCATGCATTAAAAAATTTCCTTCTTGCCTTGCTGGCCCTCAGGAAATTTTTTCAAGCATTAAATTTAACCTTCAAAAGTTGTATATTTTTATTATTATATTTTATTTCTAATTTACTTTACACTTTGCAACAGTACATGAATATTAATACTGTCTAGTATATACAAGAACAAACAGATAAAATATGAACATTTTACCAATAGATGATACCAATGCTTTGATATATTAGATGAAACTTTGAAAGAGTATACTGTAGCGCTATTGTATTGAATTTACAGCTCCTTTCACAGCGGAAATCATAGTGTATCTTATCAACTGTTGTCATCTGTAGTAGTCATTTAAAAAAAATTAACATTATTGTTCTTTAAATATACTACTACTTACTGTTGTAAAGTTGACTCTTAACCTTTTAATTTCATTTGAAATAATTGTATACTATCAGACTGTGCTTGAAGGGGTTTTAGCAAGCCCTTGCCCCATGTTGATTTTCATTGGTTAAATTTGTCATGTGACGGTTTGTAAATAATTATGATTGGTTCTTTCTATGTGCAAATTAAATAGTGGTTAATATTTAAAAATAAGTTGGACTTCAGTCTGAGCTTGCCAATGCAGTATAAACTAAATGATAATGCTTTTGTACACACTTGAATTGAAGTGCATACACTACAGACAAGAGTCAACTAAATGGCAACAAATATGTTTGTGCTTGGGTTTTGTATGATACAATCACACTACAGACAAGTTTAGTCAAAACAATATATAATTGAGGTTCCACATATTGAAAATTTAGTTAAAGATAGAAGTCTGTAAGGTTTTAGTAGAGGAAGTTTCTATGGTAAATTTTATGTTTGGAAGTCTGGTATTAATATAATTAAAGAATAATGGCACATTATTTATGTTAAATATACGGAAAGTGTCATCCATATATCTACTAGTAGTTCAGTATTAAACTTTTTGGCTGTTGTGTTGATCCAACTATTGGGTTTCATTATGTGCCATAAATAAAATTATCACATTGTAATTTTCGTGCATTATCGATGATTAATTCTTTAAAGAAATAATATACTCTTGTGAATTGTAGTAGCTATAGCCATTTATCTCACTGGCATGTCACCATTTAAAATCAGTTTGTAACAGTGGCATTGATGTCATATGAGTCCACATACTGTAGGACATTCATAATTTAAATATAACACAAATTGGGCCTGTTTTTTTTATTTGATGATATTTGGTGCCTGCTAGATGTTGGCATAATGTCAATGCTCTTTACAGTTGAAGTACAGGATGTTAGTGGGTGGGGGGTTGAGGGGGTGGGGGGTTGGGGTGGGGTGGGAACTTTTGCCCATGAGAACACATTGAGAGTATGTCAATTTGAAAACCTCACAGGGCTACCCTGGCAGGAACTGAAATTATAGATGCATTTTGTGAACAAATCAAAGTACTACCAAATATTTAGAGAGAATACATGTATTTAATTGTCACAGCACATCATAAACCATTATAATAATGTAATTCCATCATAAACAAAGAGTAATTTTAAGAGTACTTTTTTAGCACTAGATTATTATCTTTTGTTACATCTTATTGAGGCACTCCTTTGGCTCAGAATATGGACATTTGAATTAAATAGAATTCATCAAAATTATTATTTTAAGTACAAATTAAATTGTAGTTCCAGCATCTTACAAATTATAGATTGTGATATATGCAGGAATTTATATTAAAACTAATTTATGGAATACAGTTTCAATATTGAAGGATTAATTTTTGTGGCCTTTAATTTTCAACTAGTCAATGTTTAGGCCTAAAGTACTTTCTGTACAGTATTTAAAACACAAAGTAACACAACGGCCGTTTCGTGGCAAAACAACGTAACTTGAATTTTTCACTTTTGAAGAAAAAAGAGTTAAAGTTTGCATGTTTGCAACTTGGTAATAAATTGTCGTACCCTTTTGAAATTTTTCAGGATTATATATCTATATATATTGTGATTATATGTAAAATTTTAATTACAACCATTTGTTTAATTGCAAAGTTATTAACGATATTCATACGTTGTTTTGCCTCTGAAACATGTCAGACTTGGTGTTGTTGCAAATGGGACATATTTTTGGAATTTATCACGTTTGGGGCAATCATAATATGCCATCAAATACACTTTAATAATTGAATATTTTTATGGTTTTGTCACCATTATTTACAACTGCTACTCTCCTTGGATGATATGAAATGATTGATAATCCATATGGTGTGTTGATTCCATCTTTTTCATTGTCAATTCTTTTAATAAAATGTCCATCACTACTGAAGAGCTGTAATTTGTGACGGCTTGATAAAATGATGTTGTCATCCTCATCAACTACTACTCCACCTGGACATCTTACCTTCCCATTCTCATCACCTGCTCCAACAAGGACTTTTATGAATCTTCCCTCTTTATCAAATAATTGCAATCTGCTGTTCTCATATTCTAATATAAGAAGTTGTCCTTGATTTGTAAGACTCACATCAATTACTCCATTCATTGACCCTATGCACCCTTTGAACTCTCCACTATTAATGTCAAAAACAAACACACAGCACATAACCTTATCTCCTACATACACAGTATTGGAGGGCTCATCCACATGTATACCAGATGGATCTTTAAATGCTCCCCTACCAATTGTTTTGATCACATCACCAATCATATTGCAAACTCTCACACATTTAATACCATCAATGAATACTATGTTACCATTCTTCATTTTGTGCATTCGGTCAACTACCACTCCTTGTGGTAGTGTTACCTTACCAATAAATTTTCCTGACTTGTACTGGAGTATTTCATTTGTAAAGCCTGAAACTAGCAAGACATCGTCTCTATACACTACATGACTAAGACTTTTATCAACATGTACTTGAATGCTCTTTACAAATCCTGTCTTCTCTACTTTAATTACCATTGGTGACTGCTTAATTACGTCATCATCAGCAATCACATCTAGTGTGCAATCACCTGGACTTGTACATTTTGTTGTCACAAAATAATCTCCATTGTCATCTACCTGAACTTGATTGATGTAGATTTCTCCTGTAGGATGTGTCCATATTGCATTTAGTTGATTTGTATATATTTCACATTCATCAGTTTTGATTATATTGACAACAATTGTCTGACCTTGGGTCACAGATTTCCCTCCCTTTAATGTTAGACAGTTTGCTGCCCTCATGTGTGATACATACCCAATATCATATTTTTGCAATAAAGACATTTGATTCTCATTGATAAAGAATTTAATGTATCTGTCATCATCTGGCTCTATTTTTGGCAGATCTTTGATTCTGACGTCCTTCAGTGCTGTGACTACTGAATCACTTGATTGCATTGCTGTAACTTCATCACTCTTTAGTAATTGATTAAGATAACTTAGTTTTGTAATTATATCAGATATTTTTGCTTCCAAATCATCCATTTGTACATCTAACAACTTCTTTTTCTTTTTGTAGATTGTGTCTACTTTAGTTTTAAGTTTGTCTCCATTCTCTTTAATTATCTTTAACATTTCTTGCACATGATTATCTATATCTCTCAAAGTTGTCTCTTGACTGTGATCTAATGTTAAAGCACTTTGTTTTACAGCTTTGAGGCCATCATGTAGTTTGTTTTTGTAGTCATTGGCAGCTTTCTCCAATTCTGCTGAAGTTTCTTCAAATGCTTGGAATGCTTTAGAAATGCTGATTGGTTTGTGATTTCCTTCCCCTCCACTGTGGTCAGTTATTGCGCAGTCTGTGCATATTGGAATATTGCATGTGCAGCAGAAAAATTTTAGAGCCTCATTGTGAACAGAACACTTTGCAGGAAGTGATGCAATCTGTAAAGGTTGCTTCTCCACTGAATGTAGCTTGTGATTTGCCAACACTGGCAATCTTGTGTGATGGTCACTGCAAGTAGAACACAAGTACTCTCTGCATTCCTGGCAGAAGTATTGTACCTCTCCATTTGCACAAATGCATATCTGATCTTTTTTTTCCAGAAACTGACTTACCTTAGCCATCATGAAATCCTGAAAATTATAAATCATACAAAAAAGAAAATTTAGTGGGAGTATTCTCACTTTCAGAAATTTGAAGTAAATAAAATGCATATATGCATAATATTGTAAAGAGATACTTCAGACAGAAAGCTAATTATTATATTTGAACACTTTTTTTTTGTTCCGTGTCTGCATGCTACTTGAAAAGCTCTCTACATATTTGTGAAATATATTTCTAATGTTACAGTAAGTTTTGTATCCTGCTAGTATGTTTGTAATACCACCTCACTTCTTGCTTCCCATTGCAACAGCTAGTAGGCAATTGTTAGCTACACAAAAATTTAAAAAAATAGAAAAAACTTGACAGGATACATAGTTTGTAGTGGAGCTCATCGTGTAAAATTTTCAATAGGCCTAAAAAATATGTTGTCAGGTGGTAACAATTTTAATTAAGGGGCGGGTGGAAAAAAAGAGTAGAGGTATTTTAGAATTATGCAGTTAGAAATATTTAATTTACTTGAATTTTGTGCATCCTATAGCCTTAATTTACATATGCCTAGCTATAGGCCTACTTTAGACTGGCAGAATGTAGGACCAAAGATCCAAATATTGTTGATGTTCCAGGCTGAAATTTTTGTTTAACTATCTCAATTTTGATTATTTTTTAGCTTGTAAAAAATATCCCTCCCATTACTTGGAAAATTAGGAGTGAGGGATTGAATGCAAACAAACATTTTTTACTCTCTATTAACTATTATATTATCAGTATCATTATATTGCAACTTAATATAAATATTTAATACTTACTGCTGCAAGGTTTACTATGAATTTGAATTGTTGGATATGATGCAACTCGGTGAGATTGCCAACAAAAAGATTGTGATCCTGGGTGATTGTTGCTAGCCATGGGCAAGCTCCAGGGTGATTTTGATTGGTTAGATATGTCATGTGATATATTCTATATTATCATTGGCTTTATATGCAAACTTGGTAGTTGATAACATAGAAAAAGATTAACTTTATCTAAGTATGACAAATATAAAATGTTCAACAAACACTTGGGCATGAAGTTGTATAATACCTTGTAGACAAATTTGAAACACCGACAAAATCAATATTATAAAAAAAAAAATGTCTCCATTAAAGTTATAGCCTTACTTTTTGTGATACATCAGAGAAAGAGCCCATACAAGAAAGTCCTTCGCCAATCCTACAGGAGTCTGGGGGATTTCCTGGCCACAAAATTCTGCAGGATCCCTGTGCAGGACTTTTTTTCTGGGAATGATAATTACTCCTTCACCAACAGGCGTTTGTCAATGAAAGTTGATACATATATATCTCATATCAGGAGACAACAGTGACATTAAGATGCGCACGTGCGTTATGACATGCACGTACGCATGAGTAAATCTTTTAAAATGCTCCAAATTCTTTTTTAACAAACTAAACAAAGCGTATTTTGCCATTTTCAGCATTTAAATATTGTTCAATCCGCACCGCGCGCACTTCCTTGTGGGTCAGTGCAGCGAACCACCTAACTCGTCCTCAGTGACGAGTTCAAATCTAGTTGAATATTTGTATAGTTTTGCTATCCCTGTTTGCTAATACATATCTTAATAATTGAATATTTGTATTGTTGTGTTACCCCTGTTTGCTACTGCATATTTTAATACGGTATTATTAAATATTTGTATAGTTGTGTTACCCCTGTTTGCTACTGCTATTCGTCTTGGATGATATTAAACGATGAATATTCCGCATGGTTTGTTGATCCCATCATCTTGGTTATCAATTCTTTTGATGAATTTTCCATCGCTACTGAATACCTGTAGTTTGTTATCGTTTGATATAATGATATTGCCATTAATTTGATCACCTGACCATTCATATTACATACATAGATGTATTTAAAGTAATCACTAAATGCTATATTACCATTCATCATTTTGTACATTCTAAAAAAATTCACACCCAATGGTAGTGTAACCTTACCAACATTCTTCTGATTTGCTTGTGTTTGCGTATTTCATTTGTCCTGCATGAAACGAGCAAACAATCATCTTCACATTTAACCACATTTATAATATCTATATTTCTTATTTTAATAGTATTTACTAATTCTTCATTGATCATTATTGGTGACTGCCTAATTGGTTCACCATAAACACTCACTCAGTTTTTGTAAACTCCTGGAAATATGCATTTACCTTTGACAAAGTAATTTTATTTGTCATCTTTTTTAACTTGAGTGATGTTGTGTCCATGTTGCCTTTAGTTGATTTTTATGTATTTCAAATTTATCTGCTTTTATTGCTTTGACAATTGTCTGACCACGTGTCACAGATTTCCCTCCCTTTAATGTAAGATGGTCTGCTGTCCTAAATTGTGTTACACTTCCAATATCACATTGTTGCAGTGAAGACATTTGCTGTTTATTTATGTTTGTTATACAGTCAGAAGCATTTCATTTACATGTATTTACTGGTAGGCCTATTATATTATTTTTACAACGTAGGGCAGGTGGATTAACAACAACCAAACATTTTTTATAGCCCTTTTTATCTACCATTACATTATTATAAATATGTAAATACTTACTGCTGTCAGGTTTACTATGAATTTGAAGTGTTGGATATGATGCGACTCGGTGAGATTGCCAACAAAAAGATTGTGATCCTGGGTGATTGATTGGTTATATTTGTCATGTGATATATATTGGGATTAACATTGGATCTGTGTATAAACTTTTACTTGGTATAATAGTTGATAACATACACAAAGTTGAACTTTTATCTGAGAATAACAAACAAACATGTTAACAAACATTTGTGACCCAAGCTCACAAACAGGCTGTAAACTCGCACTGCACAGTATTGAGAAACAAGCCTCAATTTGTTATCGCTGTTGGTTAGTACAAAATAAAATAGAAAAAAAAACAGAATCCTGAGTGTTAAACACAGGTGGATAAGACAGACTGTGCTTTACTTGTAGATATCGAGACTAGAGGACATTATTGAGCATTCTGAGATTGAACCCTGAAGGTAAAGTGGTGTATGTAAACCCCTTTAAACCATGCTGTCTTCTTGGAAGACGTTTGTAAAATAGTAGAATTTTTTAACATAGTACTACTGTACTCTACTGTAGGCAGGTCTTTAATAGTACAATCATATGTTTCCACCACAGTGGCTGTCCTTTGATGTTTGGCTCTGTCCAGATGAATGACCTTCCTCTGAGAGGTGGCCATCTCCACTCTACAAATACAAAGTTCATTGTCATGGTAACTTTTCACAAGGTAAGATACGTCAGCATTTATCTAAAGCATGGTATACACTCTGCAGCGGGTAATTTTTGCACGCTGCGTGTGCGCACCAAATGCAGTACCGTCAACTAATCATTGATGGTTGGCAAGCAAAAGTTTCACTCCAGAAGTTACATTTAATAGTACTCAATAATAATAATAAATTTATTTTTATATTATAGCGCAGAGTACTGTATGCACTTTACATTGAATGTAAAAGCCTGATCAGAATTACAAGTAAAGATAATGAAAAATATTGAAAGTTTTTGTGCAATCAAATCAACAATCAGAATTTTATTTTAAAACAACACAAACAACTGAAGGCAGCAGGCCACTGATTATGAATATATCAGTAATTAAATATTTTGACAGTTTTATCACCATTACATGCTACTGCAATCATACATCATATACAGTAGTTATCATGTATACTCATAATCATATGTATACTCTTTAAACATAATCAGATAAAATAACACTATACTAACTAGGTGTAATGATTTAACAAACTAAACCTAAACAAATAGCAAACCATATAGTTTTTTCCGATTACAACTTGAAACTGTATTTACGGCATACATATTTTTTAATCCAATATTCAATACTCATATAAAAATTGTGGCTAGGGCCAAATTTAATGTAAATTTTCAAAAGAGTACAGCTCATCTATTTTCACCTTAACATTACCTTAATACTTTTAAGACTTGTTTGTTATGAGGATTGTATGTTATTGTTGTTGTTGTTGTTGTTGTTGTTGTTATTATTACTATTATTATTATTATTATTATTATGTTGTAATGATGTTGTTTTTACTGTCTTAATTTTATTAAAGAAGGCCCTGAATATCAGTTAACTTAAAGGGCTAACCTGGAAGGGTTACCCTCTTTAAAGATAGTTGAAATAAAATAAAATAAATAAACAAAATACACTCACATTACATCAAAATTACAGATTGAGAATGGGTTTTAAAATATCACATTGAAAAGATATTATCAAATTATAAAGCAGAAAATGTAGAAACACAAGTACCAGTAATATTTTTAAAATGTTAATAATTACTACCAAACAAAGCTATAACCATCATCATCAAATTATTACAAACATCAATAAAATAAGAACAACAAAAATTATACCATGTTTTTTTGGTCAGTTCATTAAATTATATAAATGCAATTTTCATATATATTTTTTTTTTATTACTTCGCGATTTTTTAAAGTACTGTACTCTAAGCATTTTTGTTTTCCATGTATTTTTTACTTAATATTCTTATTCCTCGTTATAACACTGAGGAAAAGCCCTATGTTCTGTTATACAAACATAGCAAGTCTAGTTACTATTGTTTTTATGCACTACAGACGACACGAGTAATAAATAAGCGTCTAGAATTTTAGATTCATGCTGTGTGACGTCACTATAATTGAATTGCTAGTTTCAAAAATGTTGAACATGCATGTTCAGTGTTCTTCTTGGTAACTACTTTACACTCTGAAAATATTTTGTTCAAAATTCATATCAATTTGTAAATGATCGAATGGAACAGACTGTAATGCAGTATAATACTATTAAATAACGGTTTAGATTAGCTGCATTCGGTATTCAATAAAACACAAGAAGCCTACAAAAAGATACTAAAAAGAAGATACAGTTTGATTTGAATTAGATACATGGAAATTCTGTTTTATTTATTTATTTTATTTATTCATTCTTTATGCTGAATATACACTTTCAATACATAGTACTGGTTTCCAAAGTGGTTCAGTTTTAAACTACAAATTTTTAAAAGCAGATATATAAACTGGTAAACAATATCTGTATGACAAACACTTAATCTACACTTAAAATAAATATTACGACTTAAAAATCAAAATGCTAACAAGTGAGTTGTTTAACAACTGAGTTAGCCCTCATCTATTGATACATATAGTTTAAGCAATTTTAACTTATCTTATTTTTCTTAATAATATCTTCTCAATTTTAACTGATAGTAATGTTTTATTGGCCATTGTAATTTAAGTAATATATGTCCCTATCTATTTTTATATTTATTTTTTTAATTGATTGTTTATCTTGTTTTAGTGTAGTTATAATGTGAAGCGCCCTTTGAACATGATTACTTAATGGAAAGGGCGCTATAAAAATGTGGTAAATAAATAAATAAAATAATTAACAACACAGTTCTAGTCACTTTGGGGTCTTTACAAAGACAGGCGGATGTGTACTTACTACATGCAACATGCATGCACAGTGGTCATAATAATTGTTCTCTTTTATCGACACTAATTGCGACGGTTAACATACTAGAGGTAAGCGAGTGGAGCATGTGCCCTCTACAGTAGTTATTTTACATGAATAAAAGGATAGTACTTGTCTAGGAATTATGATAATCTTATACATTACAATTGCCTGTTATAAAACATGTATGGAGCAATGCACAAATCTGCATAACGAGAGCACACAAGATTCAACTAAAGAACAGAAGATGTCATGAAAAATATGAAAAGAATACGGAATGTGAGTCTACAATACTCAACATTTTAGCATGTACTGTGCGGTATAATCCATTTTTATTATCTTTTTTTTTCAAGGTAGTTGGTTATTTTTTTCAAAAGACTTTTCAAATTAATAGAAGCTACATATGTAGCAATATTCATCACTTTGATGTAAATTGTGAACAGCTGTGACAAAACCAGCCATTTGTAAAAAAAAATCAAAATTGAGATTTTAGTATTTTTAGATTCTGCATGAATTCTTCTTTAAAGCATTGTTTATGTGATGGAAATTTTGGGTTTTAGCTAAGTTATGAATACTTAATTCATTGGATATCAGACTAGGTTTTAAGAAATTAATAGTTTAATTATGATTTGTATTTTTAAAAATCATTTTAATGTACTTTTCAGTTAGATTTAGTGATTAATATTTTGTAGAAATGTTCTACAATATATCTTTTTAAATAAAATGCAAAAACATGAAAATGTTCAAAATTCTGATTCCCGAATGTTTTGGGTGCTTGTAAAAAATTAGAAATTGTGACAAACGGAGATTTTGCCAGAGCTGCTTATATTTAAGCAAAAAGAGAAATGTTTTTGTTTTAAGATTTTATATGTAGTAGTTTAATATTTCTATAGTTTTTACACTCATATTTGCTACTGCAACTTTTCGTGGATGATATGAAATGAAGGATAATCCATGTAGATTACTGATTCCAATTTCTGGTTTATCAATTCTTTTAATAAAATTTCCATCACTCCTGAAAAGCTGTAGATTGTGATTGCTAGATATAATGATGTTGTCATCCTCATCAACTACTACTCCACGTGGTTCTTTCAACTTACCATTCTCATCACCTGCTTCAACAAGGACTTTCATGAACTTTCCAGCTTTATCAAATAATTGTAGTCTATCTTTGCCATTCTCTAATACAAGAAGGTTTCCTTGATTTGTAAAGGTAACATTAATGGCTCCACTTATTTGACCTTCTAGTTTTCCTGGTGACCCTATCTTCCTGATCATCCGGCCACTATCAATGTCAAACATAAATACGCAACAGCTATGCCAATCTGTTACATATACAACATTTGTTGCCTCATCCACATGGATACCACCTGGATCCTTCAATACTCTCTTACCAATTGATTTGATCACCTGACCATTCATATTGCATATTTTGATGCATTTAGAATAATCACTAAATGCTATGTTGCCATTCATCATTTTGAACATTCTTTTTACTTGCACCTCTTTTGGTAGTGTAACCTTACCAATATATTCTCCCGAGTGCTTGTACTTAAGTATTTCATTTGTCCAGCATGAAACCAATAAGCAATCATCTTCACACTTAACTACATCTGTAACATATTTGTGTATTTCAATTGTATTTACTAATCCTTCCTTCTCTACTTTGATCATCAATGGTGACTGCTTGATTGGTTCGCCATCAGCACTCACATCTAGTTTACATACTCCTGGACTTGTGCATTCGACTTTCACAAAATAATCTCTTTTGTCATCTTGTTGAACTTGTGTGATATTGGTTTCTCCTGTAGGCTCTGTCCATGTTGCCTTCATTTGGTTTGCATGTATTTCATATTCTTTTGTTTTGATTATTTTGGCAACAATTTTCTGACCTTGGATCACAGATTCCTCTCCCTTTAGTGCTAGACAATCTGCTGCCATAACTTGTGTAACATTTCCAATATCAAATTGTTGGAATGCAGCAAGTTGTTGTTTATTTATTAAGAACTTAATGTATCCATTATCATTTGGCTCTGTTTTTGGCAATTCATTAATTCTGTCCTTCAGTGCTATAATTACTTTTTTACCTGTTTGCATTGCTGTAGCTTCATCACTCTTCATTAACTGATTAAGAAAAGACAGTTTTGTATTTATATCAGATATTGTTGTTTTTAGTTCATCCTTTTGTACATCTAACACCTTGTTTTTCTTTTCGTAGATTGTCTTTACTTCATTTTTCATTTGGTCTCCTTTCTTCTTCATTATCATGCACATTTCTTGCACATGGTTGTCAATATCTCTCAAACTTGTATCTGTATTTTGTTTTAATTTTGTAGCATTCTGAATAACAACTTTAAGGCCATCTTGTAATTTGTTTGTGCAGTCATTTGCTGCCTTCTCCAATGCTGCTGAAGTTTCTTTAAATGTCTGAAATTCTTTAGAAATGCTGATTGGTTTGTGATTGCCTTCCCCTGCACTGTGGTCAGTAATTGCGCAGTCTGTGCATATTGCAGTATTGCATATGCAACAGAAAAATTTTAAAGGCTCACTGTGAAGGGAACACAGTGGAGGACGTAATGCTGCAATCTGTAAAGGGCTCATTGATCGCACTTCCTTCACTGAATGTAGCTTGTGATTTGCCAACACTGGCAATATTTTGTGATGGTCACTACAAGTAGAGCACAAGTAATTTCTGCATTCCTGGCAGTAGTATTTTGCCTCTCCTTTTCCACAAACACACTTCTTCTGCTCTGTTTTCAAAAATTGTTCAATAGTTTCTATTAAGTTATTTAAAATGGTATTTGGTGGAAGATTCTGAAGCCCACCCTCTGGAATAGGATATGATTTTGAACAAGTTGGGCAAATCAGCTTACCCTTCTCCTTCTTTACCCAGTCTTCCAGACATGCCAAACAGAATGTATGGAGGCAGTTGAGGGATTTAGGATTCTTAAGTCTCTTCAAGCATACGGTGCACTCTAGGACCATCTCATCAACATTTTCCAGAAACTCTTTCAGCTCACTGGTAGTCATCTTGAAATAGTCCTGTAAATTATAAATCATCATAAAACATTACGGTAACTGAGAGTTATGGTTGTCATTGTATAGTGTTCAATATGACTGTAAAGAGTATTCTCTCAACCCTAAGGTCAGAGGTTCAAACCTTGCCATGCATTTCTCTTGTGTCCTTGGCAAGGCAGTTTACCTATTTTTATGTTTATCTACCTATGTTGATATGGCATTGAATGCAACAAATAAGTGAGTAACATTTTACTTTCATATCTGGAATTTGTTTTTTAAAGAATTAACATAAATAGTTATCTCCATTCTAATGAATTTGAGCATGTACAGTAGTCGGTATAGGCATTAAATTGCAAGCACGATGTGAATACTCCCAGGAAGTGGAGGAGGTTTTACTTTGTGCTAATGTGCTGATATGGACAGGGGTGATGTTAACATGGCAGCGTGCTATGAATCTCTTGGGCCTTTTTATATACTAATACATTATTCAATCACACCCCTGTCACCAACTGTGCTGAGATCACCCACTCTAACGCATCTCAGAAACAAACTATCTAGCGCTTGTTTGGTCTGTTACAATATTAGTATCATTATATTGCAACTTAATAGAAATAAAAATACAGTACTTACTGCTGTGAGATTCACAAATGAATTTGAAGTTGAAATGTTGTCTGGTTGGATATGATAAGACTCGGTGCCAATTACCAGCAGAAAGACTGTGATCCTTGGTGACTCTTGCTTAAAAGTCATTCAGATTGATTTTGATTGGTTACATTTGTCATGTGGTATGCTTTATGATTATCATTAACATTACTTTGTTTAGTCAGTAACATACAAAATGTTGAACTTTATCTAAGTATGACAAATGAAAAATCTGTAACAAACATTTTTTCATGAAGTTATATGGGCAAAGTTGAAACATAAAGATGAAAACAAGATCATAAAATTTGTAAAAACAAATTGAAGTTCCATAAGTTATACTCTACTTATATGATATATCAGAGAAGGACTATACAATTATAAACTGATTATAGTACAGTCAATAAAGAACTTACTGTATATGTTCAATTTTTAAGATAAGATTAGATAAAATTTATTGTCATTACCACAAAACAAGGTGTACATGAAAAAACATGTGGCAATTTTCCAATGTTGTCATGTGATGATTATAATGAGCCCAAATGTTTTCAACTGTATTTATATCATTTATCTATTTTGTTTCTTTTTTATATTTTTTATAATCTTATTGATTGTTGAAAAGTCTAAATAGGAGATGATATGATAATGATGATAATAATGATAATCATCAAGATTAGATGTGAATTCTGAACTATTATGAAAATTTTACCAAGAATAATAATGTATTGCTTAAAGGTTATAATAATAATGTAATCATCTTTTCATGGAGCCTTTCTGATTCACATATTAAAATCAACATTATGTATTTTTAATTACTTTTTGCACACAGATTCTGAGAGAAGAATACAGACTTTGCCTTGTGCACACAGATTCTGAGAGAAGAATACAGACTTTGCCTTGCTGGTGGTTGTGGAGATTGGTGGTCATATTGAGCATTCTGTGATTAAACCCTGATGATAAAGTGAACCCCTTCAAACCTAGTAAGAGCTTATGTGAGTGTCAATGTAAGTATTTGAATGTAAAAGTTTGTGCTAAGCATGTGATCAAGCAGTACTGTATGTGTTTTTAGAGCTAAAGAAATGATTTATTAGTTAAAATATATTTAATCGAGTCGAATGGGCAAGCGGTTAATGCAGGCATGCCTCAACCTATTGACATAATATCAGCGCTGGTAGTTCTGAGGAGGAAGTATTCTTCTTAGATATTATTTTTAACCAGTGTACACAATTGGCTCCACACTCTAAAGAACACAATATATCTTTCGAGGCAAGTAGGTGTTACCCCAGTGTACTGGGCCATACATTCCCTGTTGTGGACAGACAAGAGTAGCTGATACCGGTTTATTGGGCAGCTCAAAACCCATCTTGAAATAATCCTGTGAATTACAAGTCATTAAAAAACTTTAAAAATCATTTTTCAATTTCTAGTACTAATGATCATCATAGTTATAGCAATGTGGTTCTTTCGTCTCAGATTTAGCACATATTCTTGATGATGGTAGCAGTTTACTTTATGTATTTATATAACAACAGACTAGTCAAAAGAATTCATGGCTCAAGAGAGTCATAAGTGTCACCCACCCCAACAAAATCTAGCCCTAGTATCAATATTGTTTAATACTTTAATTCACAATATAAATTATTGTTTTGCCCATATAGTACGATTTTAATAATGACTGAAAAATTTAATGATTTGTAAAAACTTTGAGTTTTTAATGTTTCATGTGTTCTGGGCCCTCAGGGAGAACGAGTAATATGTTACTGAAGAGGAAACCCAGTATAAAGAACAAATAAATTGAAAAAAAATAAATACCGGGTGTTTTTTGGGGGTTTTTTTTAAATGGAAAGTAAACCATACAGCATGTTTTAAGCTTCTGTTTTATTTTCATCAATCCTTTTTCCATTCCTTATTTGTGCTTTATTTTATTGTGTTGTAATTTTAAGAATGAACATTAACAGAATGGATATGACAGGAAAAGGACAAAACTATGACTAAACATTGACTACTGTGGAGCAAACAAGGTAGGAATAAATTTTACATAATAGAAATTTTGCCAGCTGTGCTCATGTCCAGAAAAACAATAAATTTAAAAGCAAATTGGACAAGTCCTCTCGATAATGGAAAGTAATTTGTTTATTTAGTTATACAGTCATAGCCCCTCGTTTCAGCATAAAATAAGTTAAACCAAATGTGGAATTGTTTTATCACAGATTATTATGTCTGATATTGCTAATAGTCCTGCCAGGGCATAAGTTTCTAGACCTCCACAATCGGAAAGGGAATATGCTCAACCCTTCAAACTGGGACCATAGATTACCTTTATCTGAGTATGACAAAAATAAAATGTTCAACAAACACTTGGGCATGAAGTTTTATAATACCTAGTGGACAAATTTGAAACACAGACAAAATCAATATTATAAAAAAAAATGTCTCCCTTAAAGTTATAGCCTTACTTTTTGTGATACATCAGAGAAAGAGCCATACAAAAAAGTCCTTCGCCAATCCTGCAGTGAGTCCTGCAGGATTCCTGGCCACAAAATCCTGCAGGATCCCTGTGCAGAACGTTTTTTTGTCCGGAAGTACACACTAGTAAAGTCAATAAAGAACTTATATGTTCAACAAACACTTGAGCATGAAGTTATATTTATCTAATAGGCAAAGTAGAAACATTGAGACAAAAAACAAGATTACAAAATTTGTAAAAAGAAATTGAAGCTCCACAGAAAGAATATACAATTATAACTCATTATAATACACTCAATAAAGAACTTTCAGTATAATTTACATTTACATTACAGCATAAATATATTTAGTCATGGAGAAAATAGGCCTAACTTTTGGATTTGATCTTATTGACCCAAAATTCTGAGTATTATGAAATTTCTGTCCAGTGGTACATGATAAAAAAGAAAAAGTAAACGATCTATAGCTTCTAAAATAATTTAAAGATATATACAGTACACTGTATCTTGGAATTCCAAATAAATACTATTGTTATTGATATCAGTTAAAAATATTTGTAAGATAATAGCATATTAACTTGACAATAAATACTTATAACATTATTCAAATACAGTACTGTAATAGTTATATAATTTAATGATAATAATTTGCTATTATAGTTTTAATAGAACTTTTCATTTCAAACTTTCATGGAATTTGTTTCAGTACTATTTTCTACTATAATTTAAAAGTTTATCAAAAGTCTCTAGCATAGTTGATTTGATTAGGAGAAACGAATACATGTAATGGATCTCTTGGGGATCAGTACATGTACACCAACTTCAGCTGTAATTTGTACCTGGGATGCTATAGGCAGCCTTAAATAGACTTAAATTACAAGATGTATACTACACACTGTTTTTGTTTTTTTGTTTTAATTTATTCAGACAGTCAGACACATGGATGTGCAATCAATAGGGTTTAGAATATGAATATTTATTCTATGTAAAATATACTACTGTAGCAAAAAAACATGAAGTAATTTGTTTATTCTATACGGTCACAGCCCTTGGTTTTAGCATAAAATAACTTAAACCGAATGTGGAATTGTTTTATGACAGATTAATATGACTGATATTGCTAATAGTCCTGCAAGTGCATAAGTTTCTAAACAATCGGAAAGGGAATACACTCAACCCTTCAAACTGGGACCATAGATTCTGTTGCGCTACACCAACATGCTTAAAGTAAAGGTTCCCACTCATAAGTGCCAGAAATGTTGTGACATCATCCAACTGTGTTAATCAGGGAGGCTTGGCTTAGCAGACAAGGGCACCACCACTGCTTCCCTATGGTTATGTTTCATTTTAATCTGTGTGACTGTAGGCCTGTATAGATATTGAATTATCATCTCATAGATATTCACTTATTTCTAGATATACAGACTTTGTACACTCAATTATTATAATTCAACTTTAACATGTTTTACAGTAACTTACTGCTTTGCTGGGTTCTACAAACTGTTTAGTATACATTTCATCCACCATTAAAATTAACTACCTGTTATTCATGTTTAGCCTAAATAAGGTACATTACTATTTTCAAATTCATTATATAATATTAAAGTTAAAGCCATGCAAAAAATGCAAAACAACACATTAAATATCAATTAGAAACTAGTTTAAGATATGAATTTATACAAATAATGATTGTTTATTCGTGCAATGGAGTAGAATATTTCACGAGATGAAAGATTGGATGTTCCATTCAACAAGGCATAGCCGAGTTGAATAGAACATGCAATCTTTCACCGAATTAAATATTCTACCCCATTGTACGAATGAGAAACATTCAGTATTTGTTTTATACAACACCTCTGTATCTCTTTCCATTATATCAATAAATACCTTTGTCCTGTAGGCCCTCAGGTGTAGGCCTAGCCTAGGCTGCTGTATCTAACGATAGAAAAATCTTCATCAATTGCTCACATGGTTTTTGTGAGTTACAATTACTTTATTGCTTTTTTTTGTTGATTCGGCATCACCGCATTCAGTAATTCCTCAAAACCTTTGCTCAAAAGTACAAATGACCCAGTATCAAATGGACCTGCCATTTTATCGGCGGAGTGGGCTACCGAATGATTAACTTCTTGTTGATGCGCAGGTTGTAACTACACTAGGCTATTTTTCTCTCGCTCGCGTCGCGTTGCATTTGAGATTTTGTCATCTTTGAGATGAAAAAGTACTACTCAATGATCGTTGACTAGTACTCAAATAAGCATGGGATAGTCATCCAATCTCATGTGTCCTGTTATCAACCAATCAAATTAATAGAATATACAGTATACAGGCATTGTATAATTTAAAATATTACACCCTGTAATTGGTTAGTTACTTGCTGTTAGCTGATGCAAGAAAAAAATTTATTTTAAAAATTGCTTAAAATACAATTATTTTCTTTTGATTATATTAAACTCACTAATAGTCACTAATAAACACTAAATTCTGTGTTGCACATTACTTTATATAAATAAGGTGCAAAGTATAAATCAGTAACCACACTTTAGCAGTCACTCAAGTGCACATTTTCGAAAGGGCAGTTGGTACAATGTTACATCAAGGAGGTATTTTATACCTCCTTGGTTACATCAACATAATAATAATATAATAATAATAATAATAATTATTATTATTATTATTATTATTATTCCTAAAATTACTGCTACTGCTGGTAAAAGTTTACTGTTCAGTGTCCTGTAACATCAGCATATTTTGACTGTTTAACAACCATGGTGGCACTGTTGCTGATGGTTAAGAAGATGCTTGTTCTCATTCCTATCTAAGGGTCATGGGTTCAAATAATGTAAAACAGATTATATTCACTAATTAAGAGCAACTACAAGTCCAACATTAGCAAATACATTCTTATCCTAGTACTGAAACTTACAGTAATAATAATAATAATAATAATAATAATAATCATAATATTATAATTATTGTTATTACTTTGATAATGTGTGTGATTTTGTTTACCGTCTCCATTTTGATGTTTTTAACTTTTAAGGCAATTTTTAAATTTCTTATGTATGTGCAATTCAACTGTTTTTAGTTGTGAATAAAGTATATTGTATATTGTATATTGTATATATTGTATATTGTATAGCTATAGGAACATAGGTGCCATAATGTCCGTGGTCAAATACATAAATAAATTGATAATAATAACTATTTTATACAACTACAGTAATTTGAATACCATCCTGAAAACTTGATCAACTTTAGAGTATTTATGTAATAAAAAAACTATATTCATTCTTTTAGTATATGCCAATTTTTTAACTTGATACAAACATAATACCACAAGAATGTGGGCAGCAGAATATCAATATATTTAATAATTGAATATGTTGATACTTCTGTTACCATTATTTGCTATGGCAACTCTACGTGGATGATATGAAATGATGGTTAATCCACAAAGATAGTTGATTCCATCTTCTTCTTTATCAATTCTTTTAATGAATTTTCCATCACTACTGAATAGCTGTAGTCTGTAGTTACTTGCTATAATGATGTTGTCATCCTCATCAACTACTACTTCACACGGATTTGCCAACCTGTCATTCTTATAACCCCCAACAAGGATTTTTATGAAACTTCCCTCATTATTAAATAACAATAATCTCTTGTTGTACTTCTCCAGTATGAGAATAAGTCCCTGATTTGTAAGAGTGACATCAGCGACATCAGTGACATCAGTGACTCTACGAATTCCGCTACGAATTCCGCTAGGAGTTCGATATTGTCGGTTACCATCTGACCCTATCCATCCTATCTTTTGGCCACTATCAATGTCAAACTTAACCACACATCCATTATTAACATCTACTACATACACAACATTTGATGCCTCATCCACATGGATACCAGCTTCTGTATTCATAATTACTATCTGACCAGTTGATTTGATCACCTGACCATTCATATTGCACACTTTGATGTCACCACTATTTGAATCACTAAAAGCTATGTTACCATTTTTCATTGTGTACATTTTGTTAACTCTCACAACTTGTGGTAGCATAATTGTACAAATATATTCTCCTGATTGCTTGTATTTGAGCATTTCATTTGTGTGACATGAAAAAATCAAGCAATCATCTCCACACTTAACTATATCTGTAACATAATCTTTGTTTATATGAATAGTGTTTACTAATCCTTCCTTCTCTACTTTGATAATCATTGGTGACTGCTTAATTGGCTCCCCATCGGCACTTACATCAAGTTTACAGACTCCTAAACTTGTGCATTTTCTTGTCACAAAATAATCTCCATTGTCATCTTCTTGAACTTGAGTGACGTTGGCTTTTCCTGTAGGCTGTGTCCATGTTGCCTTCAGTTGATTTGCATGAATTTCACATTCATTGGTTTTGATTACTTTGACAATAATTGTCTGACCTTGGGTCACATAATTGGCTCCCTTTAATGTTAAATACTCTGCTGCTGAATGTGATACATACCCTATATCACATTTTTTCAATGAATGAAACTGATTTTCATTGATAACAAATTTAATTTTTCCATTATCATTTGGCCGTGTTTTTGGCAATTCATTAATTATGTCCTTCATTGCTGTACTTAATCTTTCACTTGATTGCATTGCTGTTGCTTCATCACATTTCAACAAATGATTAAGAAAACTCAGTTTTGTATTTATATCAGATATTGTCGTTTTCAATTTATCCATTTGTATATCCAACACCTTTTTTTTCTTTTTGTAGATTGATTCTACTTTATTTTTAATTTTGTCTGCATTCTGTTTGATTATCTTGACCAATACTTGTACATGATTGTCAATATCTTTTAAACTTGTATCTTTGCTTTGTTGTAGTTCTGTAACATTCTGAATAACTGCTTTGAGGCCATCTTGTAATTTGTTTTTGCAGTCACTGGCTGCTTTCTCCAATGTTGCTGAAGTTTCTTTAAATGTTTGAAATGCTTTAGAAATGCTGATTGGTTTGTGATTTCCTTCCCATGCATTGTGGTCAGTAATTGTACAATGCATGCATATTGGAATATTGCATATGCTGCAGAAAAATTCTAAAGTCTTGTTGTGATGTGAACATAGCGGAGGATGCAATGATGCAATCTGTAAAGGCGTCATTGATCGCACATCCTCCACTGAATGTAGCTTGTGTTTTTCAGACATCGGCAATATTTTGTGATGATCACTACAAGTAGAGCACAAGTAATGTCTGCATTCCTGGCAGTAGTATTTTGCCTGTCCTTTACAAATACATTTCATCTGACTTGTTTTTGAAAATTGGTCAATAGTTTCTAATAAGTTATTCAAAATAGTATTTGGTGGAAGCTTCTGAAGCCCGCCCTTTGGAATGCAACATGATTTTGAACATGTTGGGCATGTTAGCTTACCCTTCTCCTTAACCCAGTCTTCCAGACATGCTAAACAGAATGTATGAAGGCAGTTGAGAGATTTAGGATTTTGAAGTCTCTTGAAGCATATGGTGCACTCTAGGACCTTCTCATCAACATTTTCCAAAAACTGACTCAGCTCACTGGTAGCCATCCTGAATTAATCCTGTGAATTAAACATTAAAAACTATCTGTTGACTTGACCAGCAAGTTGTTATCGTCAGTAAGACACTGATAAACATACAGGTGGCATATGCAGCGGTGGCTTCATAAAATTTGGAGACAAGGGGCCCCGACATGTCCGATGGCATGGGTCCAAACTAAGGGGCCGACTGGAGCCTCGATCAGGTAACGCCTATGCACTCTCGTGGGGCGGTCTGCTGGGCCTCCGTCCTCACGTGTTCCTTGATCTACCACTCTGACCAATACAGGTTTTGTTGATACATAACAACATAATTGTTACATTTCAATCACTAAGTTTTTAGTAAATGTTTTTAAAACACAAACAAAAGCACTTTTTTTAATGATTATAGAAGTATTTTGCACTTTTAATTTTAACATGAAATAAACATGTCCTAAAAAAAAATTTTAGTGCCACTCAGCCTTTTATAGATATTGTTAGATGGAAGTACTCTCTGGTTAATGATAATACGGTGTACGGTAAGAATGGCCCTGGAAAAAAATGGCCCCGGAAAAATGGCCCCAAATGACAGGTAGGTAAAAATGGCCCCAATAATAAAATTCTGGATTAAAACTGATTTTTTAAAAATCATTACATGCATTCTTTTTTAACTGAAATAATTTAGTTTTTAAAAGGACTCTAACATCAAATAAATTGCCATTTACATTTCACTTTTTGCAGGAATTACATATTCAATGATAAAATATTAAAAGATAAAAAAAAAGCCATGAATAACACTTTTTATTTTTTTTCCATTTAAATGTTAAAAAATAGCAACATAATCAATAAATCAACATAAATCATGCATTTATTAATACTAAAATATTTTATTTGTGGCCAATTTCATGGAAGTGGAATCACAATTTTCCAGAAATTTAATTCGGGTATTGGTAAACCCCGCAAACAATGAATATCAAATTATTTATTTATTTTTATTTATTTATTTTTTTTTTTTAGAAAAGAGAGTTCTACAATTGTAATTAAAAGGTTTGGATGGGGTTCGCAGTGTGTTTGGAGGTTTGTGGTGTATTTGCAAGTATTTTCGCCATTTTAATTCTTAGCATAATTGCCATATTTACATAATTATATATATAGTATCTCAGTTTACATTATTTAGTATAGTTTTAGGCACTAAAAGTTAGTTGGCGGGGAGTAAAAACCAAGTATACAATTAAATAAGTTGCTTAAATAAATGTATTCCTAATTGTTCAGTTTACTTTAAAAACAATATTTGATTAACAAATATTAACTTTAAGCAGGAACATTTATTGCTAAGTTTGTGAGAAAGTAAGTACAATTTGCATCTGTTGTGTAACTGTATTTGTTATTGATTCAATTCTTGCTTATTACAGTATATAAATATTTGAAGATTTAAAAAAAAAATATCATTTCTCTTACTGATTTTTTTAATTGGGGCCATTTTTACCTACTTGTCATTTGGGGCCATTTTTACTTGGCCATTTTTACTGGCTCCATTTTTTCCTGGACCATTTTTACCATGGCCAGTTTTACCTACATTCAATAATACTATACCATACTGTGAACATTTTTGCCCATTTTAGTTGTTTTAAATGTTGCTAATAATTAGCTTCAGTTATTATGCTTTATTATAACTATTTAAAAACTTTAAATGAAGTAATTACCTTATGTTTCCTTGCTGTGAGGTATGTGTACTTGTACAACAGAACAACAGTTGGTGTCTTTGCTGATTGTAAATGTGACCTGGTATAGGATAACCAATTCATAGTGTGTAATCCAGTGTGACTTGATAATGTTGTCATGCAAATTTATGGTTGGATTTTTCTCTGGCTATTCATACATTACAATAAGATTGATATTGAAATAACAAAGAAAACAAGTATAGATATACTGAATTATCATATATGCACATCCATTGCTTTGGTTTAAAATCTGCAAAAGAATGTACTATTCTTTGATCTATAGTACTATGTGAATTATTGCTGTTTCTATTCCCAATGCCAACAGGGACGGATCCAGAAGGGAGGCACGGAAAGGCATGTGTGCCACCCCCCCACCCCACCACCGTTTTGCCACTAAATTTTAAAATTTTCAACGCAAATCACTTCAGTGCAACTGACCTATTCTTAGACAACTGTTGTGCCCCTCCCCCCACATTTGAAAAATTATGGATCCGCCCCTGAAAAATGTTATCATATATTGTTTCTGGTTGTTAATAATTAATTTTAGCAATGTTCTTCTTCATGTTGCCGGCATCGTCTTTGTCTTCATTGTCATTGTCGCTGGGTAAATTGATTGTTACCACAATAAACTTAAATTTTTGTAAGTCCGAATGATTTTTTAACTTGGGAGAATTTAAGATGGTAATATGAAGATGGAGCCTACTGTTTTGGTATTTAAGTGAATATGCTAATTGCTTATTTGCATAATTAATATGTCACTAATCATGAATTTTACAATAAGTACCATCATATTTCCCATAAAAAAATTATATTTTAGTTGAAACTGTAATATCATGCATTTACATTGCAGAAAACAGTGATTCAATTTAATGTTGAAATGAAACTTTCCTTCATATATTTTGTTATTAATAAACTAGTATTAATTATTAGATTTAACGCAATTTGCATTGCTGAAAGCGTTTTAAACTAGTCAGGATGACGGCTAATGCAAGTTGTCATGCAGAGCACTAAAACCAACTACAATGTACCACTTTGTAAAAAAACCAGCCATTGATCATACGATCATTATTGTGATGTTTGTCTAGCTGGGTATACAAAGGAAAATTCATACAGTGTTCTTTCGCAGCCTAAAAATACATGCTTCACTATTCCAGCCTAAATATAATGATTTGAGGCATCTATCGATTGAAGACTGTTTTCAGAATCTGAGGATTTCCCATATCTTGGCTAGGCTAAGGAATTCCGTAACTTATTACTTATTACAATGTAATTTGGATGCCGCATCATTAGTGGATCAGTTGCTTCTTAAAAAATAATATACTCTCCTATATACACTCTGTACTTGTGAATTTTAAAAATTATAGCCTTTTATGATCAAAAAGTTTTAATCTGGTTTTGTAACTGTATAATCCAATTATTTTTAAATAGTAAACCATTTTTTTTTAATAATTGGATTATAGCCTTATATTTCATTGGCTACCATTTAAAATATTTTTTTTTTCTATTATTTATAAACCACAAATTGGACTACATTGTTTTAATTTATGATTTTTGGTGTCTTTGCAGGATCATGGCATAATGTCAAGGCTCTGTATTTACTTTTGTATTTATTGCTTTTTTTTTTTTTTAAATACACATGCTGAATTACACCAACAATTTGCATACCTTCTTAAAATGATTTGTAAGTGTTGTAGATGGCATTTTTTCATTCCAAAATACTAAACCAGGCAACCATAGTATTGCAATAATGTTGACGACAAAATCAAATATCAATTTTTTTAAATTGTTTTTTCTTTTTTATGGACCCAATTGAAATTTGTTTTAATAGCTTCATCCATTCTCCCATTTTCTTATATTTTAACTTCAAATATCCTTCTAATTCATTGATTTTTTTATTGAGGGCAGCAGACCATAATAATAATATTTATTTATTTGGACTTACACATTTACTTCAGTGGCACACTTTGAAAAAAACAAAGGTGCATCTAAAACATTACAAGGACAGCTGACTCTCAATGAGTTATAGTAAAATTTTGCTTAAGCTGCCCCTGACCATAATTTTTGTTGTACTGTACCTTTTGTAAATGTGTATTGGTCGAATAAATAAATGAAATGAAATACTAAACTTACAACTAATTCAAAGCAATGTAAATTAATCCTTTCCTCCTTCCCTGATAATTCAAATGTAATCCCTCCTCACAAATACAACTGAACTAAACTTTACCCCTTATTTTCAGAAACATTATTCAGGTACCCTTCTTCCCTTCCTAAACAATTCAAACATTTATCCCATCCCCAAAAAACAATATAGAACTTTAAACTTAAAAATTTAAAAAAAACAGTATGCCAAAAATATAACAATTAAAATGATGAACTGTATACTGTAGTAGAGCATGGATTTCAATTTCTCACTGCAGAATTTCCAGGTTCTCTTTGTATCTTTTGCAAAACTTGTCGAAAATATTTTCATACACCAAATACTAATTCAGTTTTCCATATAACTAATTTGTATGTTACAGTATCTTTGTGTAAGTATTCACATCAATTATAAGAAAAGGGATTCGCATTTAAAATGCAAAGGAACACATGTGGGGCAGCAGACCATCAAATATCTTAATAATTGAATATTTTTATGGTTTTGTCACCATTATTTACAACTGCTACACTCCTTGGATGATATGAAATAATTGATAATCCATATGGTCTTTTGATTCCATCTTCTGGTTTATCAATTCTTTTAATGTAATTTCCATCACTACTGAAGAGCTGTAGTTTGTGACGGCTTGATATAATGATGTTGTCATCCTCATCAACTACTACTCCACCTGGATACCTCACCTTACCATTCTCATCACCTGCTCCAACAAGGACTTTCATGAACTTTCCCTTGTTGTCAAATAATTGCAATCTGCTATTTTCATACTCTAATATAAGAATGTGTCCTTTATTTGTAATAGTAACATCTATGACTCCACTCATTTGACCTCTGTTGCATTGTGACCCAATGCTTCCTTTGAACTCTCCACTACCAATGTCAAATATTAACACACAGCCTCTATATCTATCTCCTACATACACAATATTTGATGTCTTATGCACATGAATACCAGATGGATCTATAAGTAATCCCTGACCAATTGATTTGATCACCTGACCATTCATATCGCATACTTTGATGCATGTATACGTATCACTGAATGCTAGGGAACCATTCTTCATTTTGTACATTCTGTCAACTACCACACCTTGTGGTAGTATAACTGTACCAATATATTTTCCTGATTGCTTGTATACTAGTATTTCATTTATAAATACTGAAACTAGCAAGAAACCGCCATGCTTTACTACATGACTAAGATTTCTATCAACATGTACTTGAATGGTATTTACTAATCCTTCCTTCTCTATTTTGATTATCATTGGTGACTGCTTGATTGGTTCACCATCAGCACTCACATCTAGTTTACAAACACCTGGACTTGTGAATTTTCCTCTCACAAAATAATTTCCTTTGTTATCGTCTTCAACTTGTGTGACGTAGGTTTCTCCTGTAGGCTGTGTCCATGTTGCCGTTAGTTGATTTGCATGTACATTACATTCATCAGTTTTAATTACTTTGATAACAATTGTCTGACTTTGGGTCACAGATTCCTCTCCACTTAATGTCATACAATCTGCTGCCCTCATTTCTGGAACGCTTTAGAAATTCTAATAGGTTCGTGATTGCCTTCCCCTACACTTTGGTCAGTAATTGTGCAGTGCATATACATATTGGAATATTGCAAACATAGCAGAAAAATTGTAGAGCCTTATTATGAATGGAACATAGTGGAGGGTGTAATGCAGACATCTGTAAAGGGGTCATTGATTGTTCATCTTTATCACTGTCGATTGCATGCCCTCCACTGAATGTAGGTTGTGATTTGCAGACATCAGCAAACTTTTGTGATGGTCACTACAAGTAGAGCACAACATATTAAATGTATAATACAGTATAATAATAATAGTAATACACATTTTTAAAACCTATTAAAGCAAACAAAAACTGGCTTGTCAGCGGACCTGGAAGATGTTAGAAAGAAGTTGAGGTATTTGAAGAGGAGTGTCTGGATTTGAATAATTCAGGATCAGAGATGATATGTAATTGTGGTGGCAGAGAGTTCCAGAATTTAGGAGCAGAAAAGCAAAACGAGCGTTCACCGGTACGAATATGCTTGACTCGTGGAGTAACAAGTGTGAGGGATTGAGAAGAATGAGTAGAACGGGAAGCAACATGTTCGTCAATGAGCGAACAAAGATATAGTGGGGCAAGACCATGGATAGATGATGTGCATTTCTGGCAGTAGTATTTAGCCTCTCCATTTTACACAAATGCATTTTATCTTAACCTTTTTCGAAAATTGTTCAATTTCTAATAAGACATTTGGTGAAAGGTCCACCCTCTGGAGTAGAATATGATTTTGAGCAAGTCAACATACACTTCGTCTTAACCCAGTCTTTCAGACAAGCCAAACAGAAACTATAGAGGCAGTTTAAGGATTTAGGAATTTGAAGTCTCTTAAAGCAGATAGTTTAATATAGTTTACTTGTAGCCTTCTTTAAATATAACCTGCAAATTTTAAATCATGTAAAAATATTTTCATATCCTGGGAGTACTGGGATTGTAATGCTATAGATTACAATATGATAGTAATGAGTGGCTGAGCGGTTCAGTAAAAGTTCTAATGTCTGTGTTAATATGACCTCATAAGAATTTTATGATTTTTTTCACTCCCATTCATAGTGTTGAACTATTATATTATTAATATCATTATATTACAACTTAATGTAAATACTTACTTTTGTAATATTCACTATAAATTTGAAATATTGGATGCAAGGAACTCAGCAAGGTTTCCAACTGAAAGATTGTGTTTCTGGGTGATTGTTGCTTTTAAACAGACATGGGCATTCCATAGGCTGATTTTGATTGGTTAGATTTGTCATGTGATATGATAAATTGGTTCCATAAAAACTTATTTGGTAGTTAATATAAAAATTTGTCTGAGTGACAAGTGATTAATAACAAAATTGTCACAAACACTCGAGTATAAAGGTTATAGAAAACTACCTAATGGGCAAAAATGAAACATTGAGACAAAAACAAGGTTATAAAAATTGAAAAAAAAAAACAATTTGAAGCCCGGCTACAATTGGTATTTGTTATACCCTGCCTTTATATGATACATCATCAGAGAAAGAGTATGGTAAACAAACACTTGGCCATAAAGTTATATCCACCTAATGGGCAATGTTGAAACACAGACAAAAACAAAGTTATAAAATTTTGTTAAAACAAATTGAAGCTTCACAACTTATACCTTGCTTTTATGCGATACATCAGGTGATCAATTGTTTACTGAGGTTAAATAAAGTTTTTATTATCATTATTATCAGAGAAAGAGTACACAATTATACATTGAAGAACATTTTATGTTTATTTTGCAAATGTGGCAATTTGCCATGTTGTCATATGATCGTTATAATGAGCCCATTTTCATAGTCATGATGATAAATTACTAAAATTATTTCAATCATCTTTATTATTATTTGTAATCTTATTGATTATTATTAAAAAGTTAAATCTGTAGAGCAAATATGATGATGCTGATGATCACAAAATGATCTGATGATTGTATGTTAATTCTCAATTATTATGGTGATAAAATCATATAAACATATTAATGTAATATAATTATAGTGCTAAAAAGTATTGTAGTATACTCTGTCATATAAAGATAAATACTGTAATGGTAATATATAATAACATTTGTATTATTATCTTGCATATCGATTGATGATTGTGGTAATGGAGATTGTAGCATTGGCAATATAGTAATGATGTTGTAGTGTTAGTGTTTAACTGATACCTCATACCCAGGGTTGATAAAAATAATTTTTTGATTGACCATTCATAGCATTGGACATGCTGTTAGTTTGGAAAATGTTTGTAATATACAGTCAAACTTGCTTAAGTCTATATAAGTACGACTTAGATTAAATTTGACTGAAACAAATCAAATTTTATTCTAGTTATATCACAATAGCAACTTGACTTGGAGAGTTAGGCCTTACAGAGTCCGGAACACATTAACACGCACGGACGGTACACGCACAATGTTGATCCCACATTTGGCCTAGTACTGTAGAAGTGAAGGCCTAGGCTACCTAAACTTACCTTGAAAGCAGTATTCTTCAGAGTACCAACACATTGCATTAATTCTTCAATTATTACAGTATGTTTGTTTAAATGTTTTGTTAACTGCTTCTATGCCATTCTTTTGAATACAGTATAAAGAGGAATCAGTCAATTTACTTAAATTAAAGCTAAATCATATTTATATTTGATAAACTAACATTTAATAATTGATTTTTGCATGGCCATCAAGCAAACACGTATTAAATATGATAAATTTGGTTGGAAAATCCCAAAGACCAAACAATTACTAGATGAAAGTCTATTATATATATTTCAACACATGTATTAATTGTAAGTAAACCAGATGTGTATACCCTGCTGCAAAATGGACCATTCAAAAATTCTTCTCGCTGCACTGCGAGGAGAGCAGGCGATGTTCTGCAGATAGTTTGTATGCAACAAAGATTGGGATGAAGATAAAACCAGCATATTTGTCCACAAGACATTAATTATACAATTAATGTACGTATCTTACAATAAAATTTAATTTACTCTGTTTAAAAAAGAACTAACAAAACCTGAAACAGTGCTTAAACATTAGTCGCTTGTTGACTTTACCACATGCTGAACAATAGTAGTGAGGAATGTGGGTATTAAATATGATAAATTTGGTTGGAAAATCCCAAAGACCAAACAATTACTAGATGAAAGTCTATTATATATATATATTTCAACACATGTATTAATTGTAAGTAAACCAGATGTGTATACCCTGCTGCAAAATGGACCATTCAAAAATTCTTCTCGCTGCACTGCGAGGAGAGCAGGCGATGCTCTGCAGATAGTTTGTATGCAACAAAGATTGGGATGAAGATAAAACCAGCATATTTGTCCACAAGACATTAATTATACAATTAATGTACGTATCTTACAATAAAATTTAATTTACTCTGTTTAAAAAAGAACTAACAAAACCTGAAACAGTGCTTAAACATTAGTCGCTTGTTGACTTTACCACATGTCTGAACAATAGTAGTGAGGAATGTGGGTTGAGTCGCATGTAAAATAAACTAGACAATGTACCGCTATGTAATGTAAACACGAGTCACTTATCAGGCTTACTTAGTGTGTGAGTTTCTGCATTGCCAAGTGTATGAGTCACTTGTTGACGTTCACAGCGATGTTGATAAAGCAGCGACAGCTTAAAATGATTGAAGTTTTACGTCACCATTTCTACTTACGACCTAACAATTAATGGAAAACAGATCAAATTGGCATGTAAAATATTCAACTTAAATTTATTCGAGTTAGAACAAATATTACCCATTGTAAATATAGGGAAGATGAAGTGACATGAAAATAATTTCGACTTTGACAATTTTTCGACTTAGGCGAGTTTGACTTTAGTAGAATTTTTTGACATAAAATAATTTAATCTTTTGAGCAATCCTACCAGGTACTGATAAGTAGTCTTTGTTTTTTTTTGTTTTTTTTTGTATTTTTATGTTTCTTCTTGTAAATTTGAAATTTGATGGAATAAATGATATGATATGATCTAAAATAACAGTCTATTAGTCCTCTTCATCAATGATGATATCTACTAGAGGCAGGTCTTTAATAGTACAATCATGTTTCCTCCACAGTGGTTGTCTTCTAATGGTTGGCTCTGTCCAGATGAATGACCCTCCTCTGAGAGGTGGCCATCTCCACTCTACAAATACAAAGTTCATTGTCATGGTGACTTCTCACACGGTAAGATACGTCAGCATTTATCTAAAGCCTGGTATATACATTGTGCACGCTCCGTGTGCGCATTTACCTAATGCAGTACTGTCAGCTGATCATTGATGGTTGTCTGTGCAGGCTGCATGTGCGCATTTATCTAATGCAGTACCAGTCAACTGATCATTGATGGTTGTCTGTGTGGATCATGAATACAATTAATAGTATGAAGCATTGTCGTATCTTATTTTATGGAATTCTATTGACGGCTGTTGCTGTTTGTACCGGCTTTTAAACATTACATTCAGTCATGTCGTGACCTGATAGGAGACTCTCCTATGATGGTCGACCTTTTGATGATGAAAACTTAATGACAAGCTGTAGGTCCACTCCAAAAGTTATACTTAATAGTGCACAATAATAGTAATAATAATAATAAATTATTATTATTTAATTATTTTTATATAGCGCAGATTTCTATAAACATCTGTGTGCTTTACATTGAAAGCAAAAGCCAGATCAGAATTAAAAGAAAACATGATTAAAAATGAGCAAAAATCTTTGTGCAATCAAATAAACAATCAGATTTTTATCAAAATAATAATATCTCGGTATCTTTATTCAAAATTTTACAAAAAAAATAAAATCAAGTTGGCAAAATAGAGTTCCTTACCAGCTAAAAGCTGAATTGGGGACACTCTTCACAAATAGCCAAAGAGAAACATCAATTTAAAAAATACAAACCCGAGTCACATACATAAACAGATTAAACCCCATTTATTTACAAAAATAAAAAAAACCAAGTCAAATACAAAAATAGAATTACTGTACCTAATAAGCTAGGAGGACAGTATAAGACTCAATGAAAAAAATTATTAATTACTGTGTTAAAAATTCCAATTATATTTGGTTTGATTATTATTAGATAGATTCAAGTAAGCCTGTGAGATATGGAAGGGGAGCTTTTATAAATCTAGTTGTAGTTATACCATGATGTCCATATCTTTTGTCCCTTCTAAGTCGCATGGTGTGAGTAGAGCTTAGCCGTGGAAACCAGTTGCTGAATGAAAATATCATTCTTACTGGCTTTCATAGCAAATACACAATGACTTCCAACATTCACTGAGATGTTCAAGCTCCAGGTATTTGAGCGCACAGTCATAAGTCGTATACTGCCCCCCAAGGATGGAATGGCAAACTCGTTTTTACATACCTTCTAGACGGGATATCTGTAGCACAGTGAGGCTGTTATTCCACAATGCAATGGCATATTCTAATATAGGGCGGATGTAACCTTTGTACACAGTCAATAACTCTTTAATATTCAAATCAGCCTGTTTCAATTTATGGACCATGAATTAGCTTTTTGTAGCATAAGTTTGACATGACCCCTGTAGCATAAGTTTGACATCCCCCCCCCCCCCCCATTTAAAATCTGACACACACTAACACTGTGAGGGCAGCAGACTACTGAGTATCATCAGTATATTTAATTTAGTAATTAAATATTTTGACAGTTTTATCACCATTATTGGCTACTGCAAATCTATGCGGTTTATGTGAACTGATGGATATTCCTTCTGCATACTGAATTCCAGCAGACTCTTTGTCGATTCTTTTAATGAAATTCCCATCTTTACTGAATAACTGTAACTTATGCTTATTTGATATAATAATGTTGTCATTCTCATCAACTACTACTCCACAGGCATACCTCACCTTACCATCTTCATAACCTTTTTTTACAAGGACTTTCATGAACCTTCCTTCATTATCGAATAGTTGTAATCTATTGTTACCATACTCCAGTACAAGAAGATGTCCTTGGTTTGTAAGAGTTACATCAATTACTTCACTTATTTGACCTTTTTGGTAGCCATGTGACCCTATCTTCCTGATCACCTGTCCACTATAAATATCAAACATATATACCCAGTCAATACTCAAATCTGCTACATACACAACATTTGATACTTCATCAACATGGATCCCCCATGGGTCCTTTAAAACCCCCTGACCAATTGATTTAAGCACCTGACCATTCATATTGCATATTTTGATGCATTTAGAATAATCACTAAATGCTATGTTACCGTTCTTCATTTTGAACATTCTGTGAACTTTCACACCTTGTGGAAGTGCAACCGTACCAATATATTCTCCAGATTGCTGGTACTTGAGTATTTCATTTGTCATATTTGAGACCAGCAAGTAATCATCTTCACACATAACAACATCTCTAACATATTCTTTGTTTATATCAATAGTGTTTACTAATCCTTCCTTCTCTACTTTGATTATCATTGGTGACTGCTTGATTGGTTCACCATCAGCATGCACATTTAGTTTGCAAATACCTAGACTAGTGCACTTTTCATTCACAAAATAATCTCCCTTATCATCTTCTTCAACTTGAGTGATGTTGGTTTCTCCTGTAGGCTGTGTCCATGTTGCCGTCAGTTGATTTTTGCGTATTTTACATTCGTCAGTTTTAATTACTTTGATAGCAATTTTCTGATCTAGAGTCGCAGATTCCTCTCCTTTTAAAGTTAAACCGTCTGCTGCCCTCATGTATAATATATCCCCAATATCACGTTGCAATGAAACATTCCACTTCTCATTGATAACATATTTTATTTCTGCATTATCATTTGGCTCAGTTTTTTGCAGTTCATTAATTCTGTCTTTTAGTGCTGTGATTACTCTTTCAGCTGATTGCATTGCTATAGCTTCATCACTCTTCAATAATTGATTTAGAAACCTCAGTTTTGTATTTATATCAGATATTGTTGTTTCTAATTCAACTGTTTGGTCATGTAACACCTTATTTTTCTTTTTGTAGATTGTCTCTACTTCTTTTTTCATTTTATCTCCATTCTCCTTTATTTTCTTGACCATTATTTGCACATGACTGTCAATATCTCTCAAACTCCTGTCTTTATTTTGTTGTAGTTTTGTAGCATTTAGAAGAACAGCTTTGAGGCCATTTTGCAATTTGTTTTTGTACTGATGTGCAGCTTTCTCCAATTCTGCTGAAGTTTCTTTAAATGTTTTGAATGCGTATGAAATGCTGATTGGTTTGTGTTTCCCTTCCCGCTCTCTGTGGTCAGTAACTGTGCACTGTATGCAAATTGGAATATTGCAGCAAAAAAATTTAAAGGGCTTCTTATGAAGGAAACACAGTGGATAATGTAACAATGCAATCTGTATAGGGCTCATTAATTGCATGTCTTCCACTAAATGTAGCATTGGAAATTTTTGGTGATGGTCACTACAAGTGGAACACAAGTAATGTCTGCAATCCTGGCAGTAGTATTTTGCTCCTGTTTTTCCACAAACACATTTCATCTGATCTGTTTCTGAAATTTGTTCAATAGTTTCCAGTAAATTATTTATAAAGGTATTTGGTGGCAGCTTCTGAAGCCCGCCCTCTGGAATGGAATACGATTTTGAGCAAGTTGGACAAGTCAGCTTACCCTTTGCCTTAACCCAGTCTTGAAGACATGACAAACAGAAACTGTGGAGGCAGTTGAGAGATTTAGGATTTTGAAGTCTCTTAAAGCATATGGTGCACTCTAGGACCTTCTCATCGATATTTTCCAGAAACTGATTCAGCTCACTGGTAGCCATCTTGAATTATCCTATGAATTAATCGTTTAAAAAAAATATAAGTGGTTGCTGGGATTGATTTGCTAAATATACCTTCAATAAGACACAGATAAACAAAAAAGGGTTTATCGAAAACAGAGACCCAATATCGATCCACTTGAAAGCAGTGACCTACCTACCTTAGGTCTTCGTTTTCCTTTACTGTTTTCGTGTGCCTGGTGTCTTTTTTCATAAGCAATACTTAAATACCTCCTAGGGTAGTGTTGTCTCGATCAGCTCCACCCCCTGTCCCCCTTTCGGACATTACAGCGGCGGTTTCAAGAGATGTCCGAAAGGGGGACAGGGGGTGGAGCTGATCGAGACAACACTACCTGTCCCCCTTTCGGACATCTCTTGAAACCGCCGCTGTAATGTGTTTATCACAAGGAAATTTATATAACTGATAAAATTTTTGCAAAAGCAACGTATAGCAATACTGTAATGGACATTATGTACGTTTTCACTTTCCAAGAAAAATAGAGTTAAATCATTGAAAAAATTCATCTGGACCCAATATTAAATATTGGCTTGTTGGTTCTTTTTTGATAAGCCAATTAATATATTTTTTTTTAAATTAAGAAAAAAACGTACTCACAGGAGGTTTCGCTGATTCTCTGTCAGTATTCTCAAGTGAACTGTGATGTAATTACAGCGTAGCCTTGATCGTGTTGAGGTCGAAGTGCGCCATCAGTCGTCTTGTTTTGACGACTGATAGTCTTTTATAAATAGAGGTGATGGTGGGCACGAACTGTCGCATATCTATGGCGACCTCATCCATTGCAGGGCCGGGGGACCCCGAAGACTACCAGTTGTCAAAACAACAAGACGACTGATGGCGCACTTCAACCTCAATGCGATCGAGGTTACACTATGACCAAACTGTAAATATATCACAGTTCACTTGGGAATGCTGATAGAGTAACAGTGAAACGTCGTGTGAGTACGTTGGATCATAAAAAAAGAATCAACAACCCAATAAATAAAGTTAAAGTTTGCATATTCGCAACTTGGCAATAAATTGTCTTACCCTTCTGAAATTTTGTAGATATACATATCATTAGACATTATGATTATATGTAAAATTACAACCGTTTATTGCAAAGTTATTAACGATATTCACAGATATCTTGTTTTACCTCGGAAACATCTTAGACGCGGTATTGTCGCAAGTTCAACATTTTTTTAATGTATAACGTTTGGGACAATCATATTTATTTATTTTTATATTTATTTACTAAATTTATATAGTACCCTTTTCATGAGTATTCATGTAACGTTCAAAGGCAATTTACATAAGGATAAAAAAATACAATACAAAAATATAAATATGCATAAGTCGTGATTATTGTTTACTATTTCTATAACATTAGCACTATCTTTTGATGTTGACATTTACAGAAGCATTTGATTATGTTCCATCTAATGATGATTGTCAGTTCAGTACTTAAATATTATTAAATTATAATAATAATAATAATAATAATTTGCGATTTGTATAGCGCCTCCCGTTGGATCAACCTCGAGGCGCTTCACAACAACGGAAGGAAACGGACAAAAGAATAAAAAATCCATGAACCTAGACTAACAAAGAAAAAAGAAAAGAAAACCTAAACGAACCAAACCAACACCGCACCGTTTATCGGCAATTTAAGGCGTAAAGCCCGCCGATGCATGACTCACAGGTGCTCAAGTGATGGCGGTGTCTAGCTAAGCAGTTAATGGAAAAAGTAGGAAAATAAACAAAATAGTGGTAAAAAGTGTCTAAAGGAATTCAGCAAAACTTTCAGTGAAGAGGTGAGTTTTGAGTTGTGTTTTAAAAAGCTGAAGTGAGTCGGCGCTCCTGATTTCATCTGGAAGTGCATTCCATAAGGTAGACGCCGCAGAGGTTAATGCCCGTGAGCCGTATGTGATGGTAGTGCTTTTCGGAACTTTTAGAAGATTCTTAGAAGCGGATCGGAGAGAGCGTGTTTGCGTGTAAGGAGTGAGCAGTTCGGTGATGTATTCTGGAGCGAGATTGTTCATTGCCTTGTATGTTAACAGCAATGTTTTATAAATAATTCTTTTGTCGACAGGAAGCCAGTGAAGATCATATATTATGATTATTTATATTATGGTATATTAGTATTGTTTTTATAATGGCAAAATAAATTATATGATGTAATTATTATTTAAAGAATTTGGAATACCTACCTACTGAAAATTAACTTAAACACCAATATAATGAAAAAGAAATAGTACAGTAATAATAATGGAAGAGAGCTCAGCACCAGAGGGCATTGTTCACACAACGACCAAATACTGATGCTACCTCACTCAGCCTGAAAAAGTCATGTTGACAATATAGACGAAAGCTTGCAGTAAATTGTGCTTGGTTTATTATTGATTAAACAGTATTACAACCAATATAATTCTCAGAAACCAACTGATGTGCCAGAAATGAATTATAATAGTTATTAGTTATTAGTCTATAATTATTTGTTATTAGTCTATTGCTTTAAACTTATTTTTATTATATTATTTATCACTAGCCTATTAATTATACAGGTGGGCAAAGTACGACCCGCCAGTGATTTTTTTGTGGCCCGCAAAAATTAATTAGAAACCCTATGTGTGCGGCCCACCAACCATCTTTGGCTAGAAAACACCATGACTTGTATATTGTGTGATCTTCTTAATTACACTGTGTAAACAATCAATGACAGTTTAGTAATAAATAGATTTATTACACAAATTCATACAGCTAGGGCTATGTTCACACACACGGCGTAAGGCTGGCTTAAGCATGGCGTAGCGTACGCCTTTGTGTGTGAACTAGGCAGTTTTACTTAGCGAACGCCATTTTTGTGAACACTTTGGAATTTTAATCCGTGAATTAGCGTAAGCTACGCCAGTCTTATGCCGTGTGTGTGAACATAGCCTAGGTTCCACTACACAAGGACCATGCTCACTCAAGGATGGTCAGTTGTTTAATGGGTCATAAATCTTTATTAACATGTCACACTAACTGGACTTCACCTGACCAGTCCAGTATAGAATGGTCAGCATACTGCAAAGGACTTGTACACCTAATGACCTTGTGTTTTGTGGCCCAGCACTAATTACCTATAAAAAGTAGTAGTAAAACCATAGACAAAATCTATTTTCTCTATGGTAAAACTGAGCGAAGTGGCCATAAAACAGTATATGAAGGTTTTTGGAAGTACACTGAAACATCAAAATTTGGGTACGGCACTCAGAGTTGAATTAAAAATTCACTTTGGCCCTCCGACCAATTTTAATGCCCCCCATTTTAATGCCCCCCCCCCCCCCGGTCTAGGATTAGTAGTTGTGTATCATATTTTGTGATGGGATGTTCATCCAGACAGAGCTGATCAATTGTGTCTATAGTTGTGCTGTCTGTCGCTCCTGTCGAAAAACTGCGTATAATTAGGCCTATGTGGGCGTCACAATCGCTACTAATCCTTTTTTTTTGGTTCATGGGCGTGGCTGTTTATGTTTGCTTACTTGGGTATGCAATTGAATTGATTACTAATTAAAAAATATTTTCTGAATTTTTGGTGGCCTTGTTTTTGAGTATCAATTATAGAAATAGAGACCCAGGCATACCAGACTGAGACCCAAGTACAGAAACACTAAAACCTTAGGTAGGTCTCTGTTTTCAAGTAGTCAGTGCACACTGAGATTATGTACTGTAACTCTTTGTTCAAACCAATAATCATTTGCCCATGCATTTTGGTTGGTAAAGTGGTAGCAACAGGGCTAAAATTGATCATTTATTCCAGGTCACTTTTAATTTCAAATGTCAAATTATAGGAACTTCTCATTAGGCCAACATTTCTCTATGGACCAACAGTTTTGGACATTGCTTGAATACATTATTACATATCAAAAAGTGCTCTCCCATATCTATCATAGCCTTTTATGATCCAAAGGTTTAATAGTACTCTACCATACTCAGATAATATTTTGACCCATTAATTTCAAATATTGCTAGAAATTAAATGTATTTTGTCTATCTAATTATGCTGCATTATGGTTCTTTAACAAGTTTAATCGGATAATTACCTTAAGTTTCTCTGCCGTGTCCGATGTATCCAGTCTTACAGTACAACCAGACAAAGAAGTGGGTTTTTCCAGATTTGTATCTTAGTCATGTGACCTGGTATGTATTTCAAGTGGAGGAAATAATTCATTATTTCCTGCATGTTTCAAGTGTGACTTGATGCTGGATGCACATTGAAGTGGTTACAAACAATCCAAGTCAGTGGTGCGTAACCAACGTAAATTATAAGCTTTGAGGCTAATTCTTAACATCATGTTAACAGAGAGTTGTGTCTGTCTCTTATACACATCTTACAATACAAAAATATAAATATGCATAAGTCGTGATTATTGTTTACTATTTCTATAACATTAGCACTATCTTTTGATGTTGACATTTACAGAAGCATTTGATTATGTTCTAAATATACAGTGTATACCCTGTCTCTTATACACATCTAGATGTGTATAAGAGACAGGATATTGGCTCTATACTGTACTATGTCAAGCTAGAGCAAACAAGGTAGGAATAAATTTTACATTTTAGATATCTTACCAGCTGTCCTTAGTTTTCATCAAGTTGTCTATATATCCACCCAACCCATTATATTCCTCTTTTCCATCTTCGTTCTTCATCTAAAAGTGACAGGTCTTTTTTGCCAAATTAAAAGCAGTAGGGCTATAGAAACAGTGCATGCAGTTTTTCTGGAAATGAATGCAGCCTTCAGTGTTGAATCAAAAAATTCACTTTGGCCCTCCAACCCATTTTTATACCCACCCCTGGTGTAACAGTACTCTATATATAATTTACCATGCTGTTAAGAAATGAATGTACTGATGTAGGCCTTCCATACAATTCTATACACTAGAGTATGGTTACATGAAATATCCATTAGTGAATAAAAATTGTTTAATGCATTATTATTTAACAAAATCAGTCAGATACTATACCTGAAAATTTCTCTGCTGAGGTGGTTGTGCGTCTCTAAGCAAAATGTAGTTTTTCTTCCAGGTTTGACCTTCATATTAATGTGAATTGGCATAGGCAAGGTTTATTTCTTTGAACGCCTGCAACTTGAGGAAATTAGTGATATGTACCTCTTCAGCTGCTGTAAGGTTTGATGTTTGTGGACATTATCCTAGTCTCTCCTCTCTTTCTATATTTAGTTCTAAATCTTTGTGGAATTGTATGGAAGCACCTAAGTGCCATTCGACTTGATGACTTGTCAAGATAATTATGTTGTCAAGTTGACATAATACACATATCACGTCGACATGACGAAATAGATTATCTTGACAAGTCGACATACTAAAAATGTTTTGTTGTCATGACGAGATAGGTCATCTTGACAACTTTTATTATGTCGACTTGTCAAGATAACCTATCTCGCCATGACAACATACAATTTTTATTATGTCGACTTGTCAAGATAATTTATCTCACCATGACAACATACAACTTTTATTATATCCAGCGTCGCCAGTTTTGAACTAGAGAGGATTTTCAACAAATGTTCATCGCCCTTTTTTAAGTTGGACCCAGTGTTCCCCCTACACCTACAAAACAAAACGGGTTTCAGCAAGGACTGTACATTACAGCCATTACATTAGGGCACTTCGTATGAATGGCGCGGTTGGTTAAGGATGTGTTCTAAAGAACTTAAGGCCGTGAGTTTCATTCACATCATGGAATTTTTTAAATTTTTTTTCCAAATTTAAGTTTGTACAAATGATCATTCTAAATAATAAATAAACTTTATTATTCAAAAATTCATACTCATTAACTCTTCCAAAAAACCCAATAATAATTTGCGCCTGTACCGTATTTAAGCCTTGAGGAACGCTCGGACCCAGTGAGCAGTCTTGTTAAATATACAGTGTATACCTGATATTTCAATTTGATTGAAACACAGTACAATCAAGTGAAGACAGTTGTAGAATGTCATTTTTATAATCCAACTTTAACATGTCTTACAGTAATCTGCCTTGTCAGGTTTTCCACAAATAGATTAGAATATATTTCATCCATCAATAAAATTTGCTACCTGTTATTCATGGTTAACTTAAATAAGGCACATTATTATTATAAAAATACAATTAAATATATTAAAGAGTTAAAGACTCTTTGGAAACAAAACACATAAAATATCAATTATAAACTAGTTGATATGAATTTGGACTTGCATGCGTGTACAGGCCTGGTAGCCAAGAACGCACAACCTTGTTTAAAGCAATATTCCTTCCTATAATTGAAGAGTTACGTGCTGTTGGGTGCAAACTAAATATATTTGAATTACTTAAAACTACAGTTATTTGCTTTGCTTTTGGTGTAACAAGAAAAAAAATATGCCAAAATGTTAATTAAAATTTGATTTATCAGTTATCAAAACATAGAAAAATGTTCTCCAAAGTTAAAGGTAGTCCGTATTCCAGATTTCTCAAGTTCTACGGAACATCCGTATTTGCTATGGAAAGTTTGCGGAAATAATGTCTGTGTAATTATAGATACGGTAAAAATCAAATAAGGTGGGGGATTTTGTTTCTATATGACGCCTCTATATTGTAGAAAGAACAAATTTGTTTGGCAAACTTTCAGTATAATTGAATATTTTTATAGTTTTGTCATCTGTATTTACAGCTGCAACTCTTTGTGGATTATGTGAAATTATGGAAACCCCCCACGGATTGATTCCATCTTCTTTATCATCAATTCTTTTAATGAAATTTCCATCACTACTGAATAGCTGTAGTTTGTGTTGACTTGATATAATAATGTTGTCATCCTCATCAACTAATACTGCACTTGGATTCCTCAACTCACCATTCTCATCACCTGCTTCAACAAGGACTTCCATGAACCTCCCCTCATTATCAAATAATTGTAATCTACTGTTGTCATATTCCAATACAAGAAGATTTCCTTCACTTGTAAGAGTAACATCGATGACTCCACTCATTTGACCCTCTTGGTTACCTTGTGACCCTGTATTCCTTATAATCTGGCCACTATCAATATCAAACATGAACACACAGCCATTTTGCCAATCTGCTACATACACACCATTTGATAATGTAACCTCATCCACATGGATACCAGCTGGATCCTTCAAGACCCCCTGACCAATTGATTTGATCACCTGACCATTCATATTACATATTGTGATGCATTTATTAACCACATCACTGAATGCTATGTTACCATTCTCCATCTTGTACATTCTGTTAACACTTACACCTTGTGGTAATGTAACCTTACTAATATATTCTCCTGATTGCTTGTACTTGAGTATTTCATTTGTCATGCATGAAACCAGCAAGCTACCATCTTCACACTTAACTACATTTTTAATATCTAATTCTTGGTTTATTTGAATGTTATTTACTAATCCTTCTTCTTCTATTTTAATAATCAATGGTGATTGCTTGATTGATTTGCCATAAACTGTCACATCTAGTTTATATATTCCTGGACCTGTACACTTTCCTGTCACCCGGTATTCCCAGTCACACACAGCATGATCGATGTTTGTTTCTCCTGTAGGCATTGTCCATGTTGCTTTCAGTTGATTTGCATTTATTTCACATTTATCTGTATTTTTTATTCCAACACTGATGAAATCTGGGGTCTGTAAATATGCCTTATCTCCCTCTAATTCAAAGCAGTCTGCATCCTTCTTATACTTTACATACCCAATATTCCATTCTCGTAATATACTATAGACATCCTCATTAATAAAAACATGAATAAGTTCATTATCTTTTAGTTCGGAATTTGGCAATTCATTAATTCTGTCTTTCAGTGCTGTAATTACTGTTTCACTTGATTGCATTGCTGTAGCTTCATCACTCTTCAGTAGATGATTAAGAAAACTCAATTTTATATTTATATCAGATATTGTTGTTTTCAATTCATCCATGTGTACATCAATTACCTCTTTTTTCTTTTTGTAGATTAATTCTACTTCATTTTTCAATTTGTCTCCATTCTCCATGATTTCGTTAAGCATTTGTTGAACATGATAGTCAATATCTCTTAAACTTGTAGCTTTACTTTGTTCTAATGCTGTAGCAGTGCAAGTAACTGCTTTGAGACTATATTGTAATTTTTTTTTTATGTCACTGGCTGATTTCTCCAATGCTGCTGAAATTTCTTTAAATTTCTGAAATGCTTTAGAAATGCTGATTGGTTTGTGATTTGCTTCCCCTGCACTGTGGTCAGTAATTGCGCAGTCTGTGCATATTGGTATATTGCATATGACGCAGAAAAATTTTAAAGGCTCGTTGTGAAGGCAACACAGCGGAGGATTGTAAATGTGGTTTGTAAATAGTCAAAAGTCTTTATGATGATCACTACAAGTAGAGCACAAGTACTGTCTGCATTCTTGGCAGTAGTATTTTGCTTGTCCTTTTCCACAAACACATTTCACCTGTTCATTTTCTGAAAATTGTTCAATAGTTTCTAATAAGTTATTTATAAATGTATTTGGTGGAAGCTTCTGGAGCCCACCCTCTGGAATAAGATACGATTTTGAGCAAGTTGGGCAAGTCAGCTCTCCCTTCTTCTTAACCCAGTCTTCCAGACATGCCAAACAGAAACTATGAAAGCAGATGAGTGATTTCGGATTTTGAAGTCTCTTAAAGCATATGGCACACTCTAGGACCTTCTCCTCAACATTTTCCAGAAATTGATTTAGACTAGTAGCCATCTTGAAAATATCCTGTGAATTATAAATCGTTGAAAAATCATGTAACAGTAGATCATGTCAATAGAGTTATTAATTTATAGGCCTAAAGTTTTGCACACGTATTATTCTCAAAATAGTATAATTTTAAATGATTTTAAAAATGGAACTTCATCATGAGTGGATTTCCCGTACGATTAAAAATCATGAAGGTACTGGGTTTGGTCTACAGTAGTTCGTGCTTCGAATAGGTCATTCCATTCTTAGTAGAAGCCTTTTGATGGAGAAAGTACATTATAGCAAAAATCTGACCGACTGACAATCTCGATTTTTTCCATTTAAGGACAACACAACAATTTTTTTTTGCCTAAGGAAAGAAAATATCTTATCTCAAGCCAGCCAAAATGGTAGTACAGACAAAAAACATTACCAACATTCCAAAAAACTTCAATTAGATAATGTAAAAACTATTTTTTTTTTGGAAGTTTCATTTTATTGTTCAATAGCTGATTTGGTTGACATTTATTTAAGAAACGATCGGTATTGCGTGCAATTTGTTGTTTACACAAACTCAAGTAATTCTGCAGAGCAGTGTCAGCCTAAATCCACCGTTTGTGTGTCATTTAAAACAACCCAAACCATGCACAAACCAAGAACATGAACATATTATATTTGTACAATTTAAAAACTTGAAAATTTCTGCGACGAGTGTGTTTAATGCGAATTGCGAATCGGGCCTAGAACAGCCTTGGTTCTCAGGGACAGCTGTGGTGGCTTCAGACATTTTTCAACGAAGGCTTTGATGTGTCAGAAGGGGGAGAAAGTTTTAACAAAGGGGCTGACTAGAGCCTCTGGGAGTGTTAATATTTTTATTTGCCTTTGCATAGTATGACCCAAATTAGACCAATCAGGGATTAACAATCCGCAAAATAACATTTTGAATAGGCAAATTATTTTTTTTTGGATCTGACAACCTCGTCATGGCAACAGGCAACTGGGTGGGTGGGGGGAGGGTGGTAAACAGCCGCTATTGGGATCAAAATTTGTTTTTCAGATGACCTCATCGTGGTGCTGGATGACAGAGGAACCTCCACTAGCACTACCACTGCTTGGGGGTGCAGAATGGCACTGTAGCTGGAACCACCTCCTCCAGCATGAAAACAAATTGAAATGTATAAAACAATTCAAGTATTAAAAATTACATTAATAGGAACCACCGGGGTCTGGGTATTATTACTATTGAACTTATTTAATAATAATTTTGTGCAATCAGCGCCATGTGATAGAATTTGGCGCTATACAAGTTACTTTGATTGACTGATTGATTGATTTAAAATTAAAAATATCTCCAGTGGCTTACTTAACTTCCAAATTATTATCTGCAATAAGACACAGATAATCCTATGAGATGTTTTTAAAACAGAGACCTGAGACCCCTGTAAGTAATTAAGAAAAAGAATTTTCTCAAAGCATTATAGATTATGGCAGGCCACCATATTTTTGACATTCTGTACAACCAGGCTGTACAATATACCACATACTGTATATAAAACATACCACATACTCACAAAACTATCCTACTATGAATATCCATCTATAATATAGGCCTGTAGGGACTTTCTGTTAGTACCATACAATACCATAAGTGTTGCTAATAATTAAGTTATTTATTAGTCAATCTAGTATAAAAATTATCTAATGCTTCTTTGTAATTATTCAACAACTAATTGATCAGGTAATTACCTTAAGTTTCTCTGCTGAGGCATGTGTACAGTCGTACAGTAAACAGAAGTGGGTTTTTCCAGATTTTATTGTTAGCAAAGATAGATCTTCTTCTGTCATGTGACCTGGTTAGTGTGGATGTTACTTTGTGTGCAATCAAGTGTGACTTGATGACATCAGCCATGTATATCGGTATTGTATATCGGTATTGGTATTGTATTATACATAATGTTGGATGATTTTTTCTGGTGATTTACAAAACACATGTACAGTGATCATAAAATAACTAGTGAAAATTAAATATGATCATTATAATACTGTTATAAATTTAATATTAGTTAAAAATATGTTGTTAATAGGTCCATGATATAAGTTATAAAAAATGTATTGGCCTTATGATTTGATTATTATGCAGATTTTAAAGATATTACATTGGAAGAAAATGAGAATAAGAGGAGAATAAGAGATGTGAACTGTGTTAGTACAAAGGAGCTAGGAAGAAAGAGGAATTAGGTTTCTACCAAGTTAATTAATATATAATTAGAATGTTTTTTAGATTTTTTTTTTACTTTTAGTATGTTGATGTGTAAGGAACAGATTTCACAAAAATGATTTCTGTTGCAAATTTCTCAAAATTCAGTGAAATTTTATAACAGATTTTTGTAACTGGACACATAATTGTCACTAAAGTTTAAAAGCTTATACCACAGGTATGCATTGTCAGGAATGACTACGATGACATAATTAATGTTGAAATATTACATTCCGACACGATGGCGTGCATTTTGATACTTGGGGTATGTATTATGATATCTTCTCTGAGATTAATCAGTGAACCTTTCGTTTTTATGTTATAATATATATATAATATAATATAATTTTGTTTTCTTATTTAAAATATTATGGTACCAGAAAGCATAATTGAGATAAAATGTACAAATAAAGATATCAATACAGTGTAATAGACTTAAAAAAGATTGTAATACACAGTTAATAAACAGTTACACACAATTAATTATTTTCTGTATAAAAGAGCAAACAATTGGGAAGAATGAATTTTACATTATGAAAATCTTATTGGTAGCTGATATCCAAAAAATTAATACATTTTCAATAAAGCCAAAGCTTTCAATAATTGAAAATGCTTGTCATTTAGAAATACAAGTATAAATTCTCTTATTTTTATTCTTTACTGTAATTAGTCTCAATTAATTCTGTAAAAGAACTCTCTCATAAATATTCATAAGATTCTTTCTGAACACTTTATACAGTAAGTCAACTTTAACATGTTTTACGTGAACTTACTGCTTTGCTAGATACCACAACAACAAACAGAACACATTTTATCTACCAATAAAATCAACTACCTGTTACTCATGGAGATTATTATTATCAAAATATAATGTTCAAATTAAGTTGAAACCTTTAATAAAACAAAAAATACATTAAATATCAATTATAAACCAGCTGATATGAATCTTGTATTTGCTATTTTGGTGCAAACCAAGTAAATTTGAATTACTTAAAACTATAGTTATTACATTAAACACATTTCACAATGTTAATTTAAAAATGTATTGTAAAAAATCAGTTACATTGTAGAAAATGCTCACCAATAAACACATTCTTTGTTGTACATTATTTTAAAAGCCAATGTGCAAAATAGAAAGTCAAGTAAACACGCTTTAGTAAGTCATTTAAAACATTTTCTAAAAGGTAAAATTAAAGGGTAAGAGATGCTACAATGATTTACTATTTACAACTGTAAAGTGTAATACACTATTACCTCTTCCAAATAGGTTAGATATTGATCCCTGTCAGTCTGTTATTGTTGGAAAATCAATTACTATACATATTTAAGCCCCGATTTTTTATCTATACAGGAGTCTAGGAACCATTTTAAAGCCAAATTTGGGTAGATAAAATTAAGTTGGTAATATTTTGTATCACTAAATTGATAATAATCCTGCAAACATGATTAATTTTATTTAAAAGATTTTGTAATGAAAGAGTTTTACTATTGATACTGTATGCCAATATTCAAATTTGATGCAGATATAACAGTAACACAAGAACATTTGTACAGCGACTATCAGTTTTATTTAATAATTTAATATTTTTACGGTTTTGTCACCACCATTTGCTACTGCAAGTCTCCTTGGATGATGTGGAATGATGGATAGTCCATGAGGATTGTTGATACTATCTTCTGGTTTGTCAATTCTTTTAATAAACTTTCCATCACTCTTGAATAGCTGTAGTTTGTTTTTACTTGATATAATGATGTTGTCATCCTCATCAACTACTACTCCATGTGGATGTCTCACCTTACCATCCTCATCACCTGCTTTAACGAGGACTTTCTCAAAACTTCCCTCTTTATTAAATAGTTGTAATCTTTTACTATCCAATGCAAGAAGATGTCCTTTACTTGTAAGAGTAACATCAGTGACTCTATTAAGTTGACCATCTTGTACGCCCTTTGAACCTATCTGGTTGATCACACGACCATCATCAATGTAAAAAATGAACACACAACCATTATTCCATTCTCCTACATACACAACATTTACTTCCTCATCCACATGGATACCATATATATATTCCTTCAATACTCCCTGACCAATTGATTTGATCACTTTGCTATGTATATAATTGTAAATAAATTAATACATTTGTTTTGACTATCTACAAATGCTATGTTACCATTCTTCATTTTGCACATATTAGTAATTTTCACACCTTTGGTAGTGTAACTTTACCATTATCTTCTCCTGATTGTTTGTACTTGTAAATTAAATTTTCATTAGTTGAAACCAGTAAGCAATCGTCTTCAAACGTAACTACATCTTTGACCTCTTTGTTGTTTGTTTGAATAGTTCTTACTAATCCATCCCTTTCTACTTTGATTTGGATTGGTAACTGTTCCTTTGGTTTACCATCAGCTCTCACATCTAGTTTAGAAACTCCTACTGCCCTCACTTTTGTTACATCACCAAGGTCACCTTGTTGCAGTGAAGCAGCCTGTAAAGGTTTCGTAGATCGCACATTCTTTGCTACTTTGGTTTGCATTGGTGACTGCTTCATTGGATTGCCATGAGCACTCGCATCTAGTTTATAAACAAATTATTAATATGAAGCTTACTCACAGGAAACTTAAAATAAAAATTTGATACAAGTTTACTGCCCTTGAGAGTTTATATTTCAAGTTTTATTTATTATTTTATTTATGCTGTAAATGTTGCATTAATTTTACCTTCTGTTAGAACTTTTTCTGCCCTTTTATGTTTATGTTTTTTCAAGTTTTTAATGAATGCTTCCATCTTTCCTTCACAAATTACCATTCTCTGCTCTAGATACATAATCAAATTCCAGCTGTCAGTTGTGTGTTCTTCTTCAGCACTATACAGTCCACCAATCTGTTCTATTTCATTTGAAATCAGTACCATTCCAAGATTTACAAGTTTTTGCCGATGAAGTGTGAATTTTGTGATTACGGTAATATTATTTGGTACTGGGAATGATGGATGTCGATTTTTAATTAACTGTTCCAGACCAAATTGTTGCGTTAACTTAATAGTTTCATAGAGAAGAGTGAGATCGTTTGGAGTCAGATGTCCAGCACGTATCAGCAACCCAATGATGTCCCTTGTTTTAGAACAATTATGTAATTCAAAATGATTTTGTACATGGTCACTGTATAAAACCTTTAACATGCTGACACACATACCCTCGTCAAACCAATTAGACACATCTGACAGAAGACTTCGAAAATTTTCATCATCAACTTCTACAATGTAAATTAAATAAGTTTATAGATGTGTATTAATATTGGACATAATCTGTTTTAAAAGAATGTCAAGTAAACTTCTTCTGTTTCCATAATAAAAAAAAAAGGTTGGAATAGTTAAGTTCTCAGGAGTGAAAAATGTCTTATGAAGTAAAGAGGCAAGTCATGCTCAAAAATGTTCTTATGTGGGAAAAGTATAACAAAAATTGGATTTTGGGTGTTTTTTTACTATTTACTATAATATCTTTTCCCTTGCAGTGTGATTGAAAGGAAGAGGACAATTTTATTAATATTATAGAATTAAATACAAGTATTGTTTTGATGAAAAATGACTATTATGTTTACCTTTATTTAATTTTATGTCAGTATGCAGCTACTGTTTTAATGTTGAATATTTTTGTACTCATTCATTCCTTGAACAGAATTATAACAATTTCAAACTTAATAACTAGAATTGACATTTTACAGAGCATCTTCCAGTGATAACATTTTACCTATGAATATTATCTTTACCATTTTTAGTTCTTAATGATGACATAAATGTATATAAATAAGTAAAATCCTAAATATCTCCATTACATGTAACTTCAAACAATATTGTGTGGTGAGGGAGGAACATCTTGTAAATAGAAAATGTCAAAAAGAGAGCTGGACAAATTACGAATGTCTGTTACAAGATCTAACTATGAGTTTGTGGTGGAGGATTCATAGATTGCTGTTATTTATCTATAATTCTTCATTATCAAACACAAATTATTCACATGACTCAATTGAACTTAATGTAGTTGTATCTATTTTTAGAACCTGGAACTTCCAGAATATTACAAAAAGATTATACTTAAATACAGATACACCTATACTGTATATATTTTAATCTATTTTTTCAAATAATTCTAATTAAATAAATCAATGTATCATCAAATTCTACATTATGTATCAACATTAATATTAGTTGTTTACTTACTTTTAGGAATGTCAATAGTCTCTGAAGCTGACATCTGTGTAAGGTGTTTCCTGGTTTATTATTGTGACCTGGCATAAGGTATTAGTTTTTTATGTTTTGGTATTGAAGGATTTTGTTGAATCAGGTTTTTATTGTATAGTAATTGTGTAAAGTTTATGCTTGACTAAAAAGAACATGCATGACTGCTGAATTCAGTCTCCTTTTATTCAATCACAAAACACAAGTAAAATTCTAAATTCATAAAAACGTAAAAAATGGCAGCCAAATAAATATGTTAACGTCAAACAATAATAATAATATATTAATCGTGCAGGAAATATCCTCAAGAATAATCCATTTTTTGAATATTTACATTAAAATTGAGGAATAATTTAATTAAAACATTATTGAGAAAATTACATTATTATTAATTATTATTACTGTACATTGAAATATTACATTGATGAATTATTAAAATTGAACTAGTATACAAATATTTACTGGGTGATCTGGTGGCTGTACTATTGTATGTCGACATAGGACAGCCTCTAGATCACCAGGGGCTATAATTTTAACTATGACCCGATTAAAATCCCAGTAAATACTTGTTTTATATGATGGAACATTGATTGTAGGCATTTGATTGGTTAAAAAACAATTTCAGGCATGAAAGTAAATAATGACATTTTTTACAATTTGTATTGTGTATATCATCAGAACTGTATTTACAGTTGCATATATAATATTATAATTTTATGTAATTTATAATATTTATATTTATTTAATATTTTTATGTACATTATAGCTATATTCACAGTTGCAATCATATATTATAATTATATATTTATATTTATTTTACATTCTTTTTATTTATTGCACCACATAGTTTTTTTCACAGTTGCAATCATAACGTTATGAACTTCATATTATTATTAAACACAATGTTAACATTAACAATGCCAACAGTTCAGAATTGCAAAATATACTGCATTGTCTATTTTTCAAAACAGTGGCCCCAGATTTTAATTTTGCAATTAGGCCTATTTATTGTGATACCAGGGAACAGTAAAATTACACTGTTCCCTGTATATACGCACCACACAGTTTTCCATTTTGAAAATGGAAGAATTGTTTTCTTGGCTGCTTGATGTATTGGCAGTGAAATTGATCCCAACAGGGGTGGACGAGTCATTGGATGAAACAGATTGGTTTCCAGTAATTAATGATGTTATTGCTTGAGACTTTTTCATTTTTTTTTTTTTTTGCGTCACTAGTTTGTGTATCTTTATGCTAGATTCTGAATGATGACCAAATACTGACATAATGTCTCTACTCGCAAATCCGGCCAAGTATAGTGGTGTGACATATTGCAGTACCAAAGTACATTTGGCCCAACAGCACCTACTTTTGGCCTTTGCCAGAAACGTTTGCACTCAGAATTTAGCTTATTGGTGTATTTGATGAAAGATGCGAATATCATTTGGATTCTCTATCATAACTCCACCTTGGCTTTGCTCAATAGAATTTTCATGATTGTTTTTGGAAAGCGTATCTCTAATGGTTGTGTATTTTTTCAGAAATCCTGCATGAATTTCAAAGCTCTCTCTGGTCATGTCTCTCAGATTTTCCCTTCTCCTGTTGCAAAAGTATAACATATGTCTATAAACGCTTTATCCTGTAAATCTTCTAAGGTATTTAGATTTTTGAAAAAGTGCCATATCTTCTTCTGTAATTTGCTTTTTGTGCTTCTTGTTTTTTCGTATTATCACTAGCTGCCGAACTCATTAACACTTCTAAATCATGTACATCAACCAGTGTAAATCTGGAACACTCTGCCATTGTTGTTGCTAGCCTGCGCAAAATAGGCCTAGTATAATTTTCTACGTCGCGACTGGTCGCAACGTCTTGGCAAAGTGAGCAAATTGCGAGAGGGCAGCACAAAAAGACTATTCCCGGCTTGGAGGGCATGGCTGAAAAAATTGCCCGGCTTTTAACCAATCAAATGCCTGGAATCTATGTAGTCGGTATACAATAATTTTTAATCCCGTCTATGATGTGCAAAGAATATCATGCTATAGTTACAATATTGCCTAGCAACATTATAAAACTGGTTGAAATGGACATGTAATAGCACACTCTAGTTTTCAGAAACATACTGTTAGGCCATATAGATGTGCAATCAACAGAAAATGCCAAAGCAAGTGTGGAATTGTTTGATTAGAGATTATGACTGAATGCTAAAGTTCTGAAGGGGCATATATATGCTAACCAAGGGGTGGATTTAGGGGGGCCAGCCCTGGCCCCACCCTCCCTCCTTTTGGGGGGTAAAAAAAGAAAAGGAAAAAATGGTAGCCCAGAACACCTCAAATGTTATTTTCGGGCATCTAGAACACAAAAATTTAACGGCGGCATGCCCCCAGACCCCCATGACATTGTTGTCTCGATTGGCCCAAATTTCAGCCCCCCCCCCCTTTTTGGGGCCCCCTCCCTTTTTGAACACTAGACACCCTCAACCCTTCCCACTCAGACCATCAGCTCATTAATAATAGATGGATTTATAAAGCGCAAATAAACAAGGTCTCTATGTGCTCGGGACTAGATGTTACACTTTTCAATAACTTTCACCTCCCCTGAGGGCCACTTTATGTCCTCTGCAGCCAGTAAACCGGCGCACTTTCATCTGTCCACGACAGGGGCCGAGTGAACCAGTACACCGGGGTAACCCCCTACTCATCTCGAAAGATGTACTGGGTTCTTGAGCATTTTGTCTACACTGGGCCTACGGTTTATAGTCCTTATCCGAGAAGACTTGTTCCAACACCAGAACTACAGTAGCGAGCCGGCCGTAAACCCGTGCCAATATTGTTGGCTATGATCACGGTGCCCCTGCTTTAAACCGCTCAGCCATTTGGCTCGCTCAAATTAGTATACCAATATACGATGCTATATATTCAAAATAAACTTACCATTAGTGACAGAAATTTTTATCTTACAAATAAAAATCCAAAAGCATAAAAAAGATTGTTAACTTGCTCTTAGTATCTGTGTGTCTGTGCAAAGTTTCGTTGTAATCCGTCCTTTAGTTTTAGAGCCATCGGTGCCTAATGTTTTCCATTCATGCTGAGCATTATACTAGATATACAATATGATTTGATATACGTCCATCTCCTATTGTGGGGGAGAGTGTTGTGATGGGGTCAGACATTTGCCTGCAGGGTCCAGGGAAAAACCAAGGAAATTTTGGGCCCTTTAAATCAATTCTGAAGTGTTTTGGAACATATTTTACTCAAACAATTGTTCTTCATAAGTATGTTCATCAGGGAGAATTTGACTGCCCCCCCCCCCCCATCTACAGGCAGTGCAGCCTTGCAACTTTATATTTTTGAAGAATAAAACAGCCAGTGGACCCCCCAATAATATTTGGTTTTTAGAGGATTAATTATTGATTACTGTGTTGATTGTAAATCAGTGATGTATTCAAGGGTGCCCCAGATTTCCCCCTCCTATTTTTTTCGAATGTATAAAAGAGAAGGGAAAAAAGAAAATTGTAGAAAAATTTAAGTCTGAGAGTGCCATTTCCCACCATTAAGAGGTGCCATAATCATAAATTTTCTCATCTCAGCCCCGACTATGGTGTGGCTGAGGTGGTTTTACCACCTCCACCTGTGAAAATCCCTCCCTTGCCCCTCTATTTTGAATTCCTTGACCCACCACTGCAATTGTTAAATTTTATGTACCACCAATTGTCTTAATTAGTTTAGAACAGCTGCTGAGAACGAAAGTCCTCCCCCCCCCCCCTTTAATATTTATTACTATAGACTAGGCCTTTAGGAGTAGGGTTAAAAGAAGCACTTCTTACGATGAATTTTCTGAGAACATCACATCAAAGGGCCCGTAATTAATCTTGCCTTGGGGCCCTTTCGCACCTAGCTAAGCCGCTGTCCCCCCCCCCATCCCCACACTCCCTCACTACTGGTACGACCACTGTTCCTCTATGCTTAAAAGTTTGTTTTTAATCTGATTCTGTCTTCCTTTAATTAATCCACAGAGGTTCACTATACTCCATAATGCTAGGGCAAACAAGGTAAGAATAAACTTACTATTTACCTTCATTAAGCCTTAATTTAAAGCATCATTCCATTTTGTTATTGGTGAGTTACTTGCTATTTGGGTGTTTAATTATTTTATGAATCAACAGACATTTACTATATAACTTTAACACAAAATTTATTGACAAAAAGGATCAACATTTCCGGTCCATCATGGACTCATTTTTAAGATCAACTGAACAATAAACATAAGATAATAATTTTAAACTTAAATATTCCAAAATGTTAATCAAAATTTAATTTATCAGTCATCAAATAAACACTAAATTCTGTGTTGTACATTATTTTACAAATTAAGGTACAGAGTAGAAAATCAAGTAAACACAAAATATATTTATAAGATGAAACAGTTTGTGCAATATCAGCATAAAGTATAGTGGTTGGGGTTGAGGAGAGCACATTTTCAACATACCTTCTGGAAATTACACTTTCAGACTTTCAGAAGTTTTCAAAGAAGTGTTTTTAACAGAATAACATGCCCCAAGCCTGCTGGTGCAGCAAATGGTTAGACATCGCATGCCAGTATCCTATGCCACTAGATACAGTGAGCAACACTCAGAAAAAGCCACACTCTTGTAAACATTGCTAGAGTAGGGGTGCCTATGTGGCAGCCACACTATTGTAAACATTGCTAGAGTAGGGGTGCCTATGTGGTGTTGCTCTAAACAGAAAAACTTTTTTTTTCAGCCGGAAAATGATTTATTTTTAGCAGTGTTTCACGGCCGGATCAAAATATTTGGCGGGCTGCCCGTGGGGGCTGAATATTGGGGGTATAAACCAACTAATCAGATTCAATCAAATATATTTGTCCAATATAGAAGTAGCAGTGAGTACATTTTTCAATGAAAAACATATATAGATAAAATATACATTAAAATGAATAGTGAGTTCAAATCATGTAAAATACTAGATTATTTTCACTCAATTTAAAACAACTCCATCACTAAGCTAGGTCCTTTCCAACATTTGCAATTGTAAACACTAATAATTATTAATAGATCATAAAGCCCCAAAAGCTTTGGCCTTCAAGTTGTTGACGTTAATTGATACAAATTTTTACAATAGTAACTTGGCATCTACAGGAGTCTAAAGCCATGTAGGGCCCCAGTGGGATGGATTATATTACATTGCTAAATACCATCAAATTGACAGCCATCCTTAAAACATGATTAAATGTTATTTAAAATGTTATGTAATAAAAGAATTTATACTATATAGATTAATTATTCAAGTTTAATGCAAACACAATTATCTTTAATAATTAAACATGTTTACACTTTTGTTACCATTATTTGCTACTACGACTGTGCGTGGATGATAAGAAATGATGGATACTCCACGTGGATTGTTGATTCCATCTTCTGGTTTATCAATTCTTTTGATGAATTTTCCATCACTACTGAATAGCTGTAGTTTGTGATTACTTGATATAATGATGTTGTCATCCTCATCAACTACTACTCCACGGGGATCTATCAACTTACCATCCTCATCACCTGCTTCAACAAGGACTTTCAAGAACCTTCCCTCATTATCAAATAATTGTAATCTGCCATAATCATTATCCGATATGAGAATATGTCTCTGATTTGTAAGAGTAACATCAGTGACTTTACCTAATTCACCATCGTTGCCACCCGGTGATCCTATCTTCTTCATCATTTGGCCACTATCAATGTCAAACATGAACACACAGTTACTACAGACATCTGCTGCATACACAACATTTGATGTCTCATCCACATGGATACCAAACGGTCTCTCCAATACTTCATTACCAATTGATTTGATCACCTGACCATTCATATTACATATTTTTATGCTATTATTACCCAAATCACTCAATACAATGTTACCATTCTTCATTGTATACATTCTATAAGCTTGCACACCTTGTGGTAATGTAAGCATACCAATATATTCTCCTGATTGCTTGTACTTGAGTATTTCATTTGTCTCACATGATGTCAGCAAGCAATCATCTTTACACTTAACTACATCTTTAACAACATATTCTTTTTCTATGCCAATTGTATTCACTAATCCTTCCTTCTCTACTTTGATTATCATTGGTGACTGCTTTATTGGTTCATCATCAGCACTCACATCTAGTTTACAAACACCTGGACTTGTGCATTTTCCTGTCACAAAATAATATCCATTGTCATCTTTTTCAATTTGTGTGATATTGGTTTCTCCTGTAGGCTGTGTCCATGTTGCCTTCAGTTGATTTACATATATTTCACATTCATCTGTTTTAATTATTTTGGCAACAATTGTCTGACATTGGCTCACAGATTCCTCTCCCTTTAATTCTAGACAGTCTGCTGCCCCCTTGTGTGATACATACCCAATATCACATTGTTGGAAAAAAGCTATTTGATGTTTGTTTAAAAAGAGGTGAACTTCTCCATCATCCGCTGGCTCTGTTTTTGGCAATTCATTGATTCTGTCCTTCAGTGCTGTAATTACTCTTTCACTTGACTGCATTGATGTAGCTTCATCACTGTTCAATAATCGATTCAGAAAACTCAGTTTTGTATTTATATCAGATATTGCTGTTCTTAGTTCCTCCATTTGATCATCAATTACCTTCTTTTTTGTTTTGTAGGTTGTTTCTACTTCATTTTTTAATTTCTCTGCATTCTCCTTCATTTTCTTGACCATTTCTTGCAAATGATTGTCAATGTCTCTTAAACTTGTAGCTTTGCTTTGCTCTAGGTTCGTAGCATTTTTTATAACAGCTTTCAGACAATCATGCAATAGGTACTTGCAGTGATTGGCTGATTTCTCTAGTGTTTTTGAAGTTTCTTTGAATGTTTGAAATGCTTTAGAAATGCTTATTGGTTTGTGATTTCCTTCCCATACACTATGGTCAGTAATTGTGCAATGCATGCATATTGGAATATTGCATATGGAGCAGAAAAATTCTAAAGGCTCTTTGTGAAGGGAACACAACGGAGGATGTAACACTGCTATCTGTAAAGGGCTCATTGATTGCAGATCCTCGACTGAGTGTAGCTTGTGATTTGCTGAGATGGGCATTATTTTGTGATCTTCACTATGGGTAGAGCACAAGTAATGTCTGCATTCCTGGCAGTAGTATTTTGCCTCTCCTTTTGCACAAACACATTTCATCTGGTCTGTTTTTGAAAATTTTTCAGTAATTTCAATTAAGTCATTTAAAATGGTATTTGGTGGAAGCTTTTGAAGCCCGCCCTCTGGAATATGATAAGATTTTGAGCAAGTTGGGCAGGTCAGCTTACCCTTCTCTTTCCTTACCCAACCTTCAAGACATGCCAAACAAAAAGTATGGAGGCAGTTGAGTGATTTAGGATTTTGAAGTCTGTTGAGGCATATGGCACACTCTAAGACTTTCTCATCAACATTTTCCAGAAACTGATTCAGCTCACTGGTAGCCATCTTGATATCCCTGTGAATTAATAATTATAAAATATTACTGGTAGTCGGTTGCTGGATGTTACTTTTCAATATGACAGATAAACATCTCTGTTTTCCTGTACTTGGGTCTTGACTTGACTTGACTTTATTTGGAATCATAAAAAACAGTATATACATTACAGATAAAATACATAAAATCGATAAAAATTTCATATAAAAAAAAAAAGAGACACAAAGGATGTCCGGAACGTCCATAAAGTCCAAAGACTTATTTCCAATGGGGTCCGTTGACAATTAAGACAAACAACAAAACAAAATTTACATAAAAACTAAAAAAAAAACCTCTTTTTTTTTAGTATGCCAGGTCTATTTGTATAAACAGTACCCAAAAACAGAGACTCACTATGTGAAAACAGAGACCCACAAAAAGTCAGAAAATATTGTTTAATTGGTAATTGGGTAGAGTATGTGATTCAATAGGACCTTAGTGGAGTATATGGTAATGTCCCTAATCCCATATGCATAGTTATGGTAGTGATATGCAGGTCATTATGACCTTAGTGGAATAATGTCCCTATCCCAGAATGCATAGTTATGGTAGGGGTATGCAGGTCATTATGACCTTAGTGGAATAATGTCCCTAATCCCATATGCATAGTTATGGTATTGGTATGCAGGTCATTATGACCTTAGTGGAATAATGTCCCTAATCCCATATGCATAGTTATGGTATTGGTATGCAGGTCATTATGACCTTAGTGGAATAATGTCCCTATCCCAGAATGCATAGTTCGTTTTAGGGTTGGTGTATGTGGGTCATTAGGAAATTACCAGAGTAACGTTCCTACCGCATGATGCATATTTTGGTTTAGGTTAAATTTCTTTTATTATGTTGAGAGAACTATATATACATGTTCCAATGTTTTTGCTTTTTGAACAAAATAAAATATTGTCTCGTATTGTATTAATTGCATGCACTAGCCTTTATATACAGCGGAGCCCATCAGCCCCAGCCCCAAACAAAGAAGTATAATGATACAGTAGCAAGTGTGACGCCCTCTATGGCCTAATTTGTGTTGGTATATACACAGTTTTCCCTATAAAAAAGTTAAAGCAACATGATGACAAAGGAAAATTGGTAATCTCATGTAAAAGCAATAGAAACCAAAAAAAAATTGATCCAATATAAATCACAGCCTAACAGATAGGCCAACCATAGAGAAATTTATTGTTCCATGGCCTAACTGTCTAGTTTTTAAAAACATAAACAAAAGTAGCTTTTAGAATATGATTATACAAATATTTTACATTTTATTTTACCATGAAATATATGTCAATGAATTCTAAATATTAAAAATAGTATTTTCTCAAAGTACTATAGAAAAAAACCTATAGCATTACGTGAATACACATAATATACCAGGATGATATGAGTCTCGCCAATCGAAAGAAAACACTGCCCTAAGAGTCTGGAGCCATGTTTTCTAGATGCCTGGAAATAACCTCTGAGGCGTTTCGGGCGATCAATAATTTTTATTTTCTTTTTTAACTTTCCAAAAGGGGGGGGGGGGGCGGGACAGGCTCACCCCCACCTCTTAAATCCACCCTTGTTAGGTACTGGTACTTTTTGGTTAACAATAATACCATACCATACTCAGGTAATATGTTGACCTGGTTGTTTTAAATGTTGCTAATAATTAGGTTCATTTACCTATTTTCTATCTAATTATGCTACATTATATTATTTAACAGCTTTAATTAATCAGATAATTACCTTAAGTTTCTCTGCTGCACGTAGGTGTGTTCACTTGTACAGTACAAAACAACGGTTGTGGGTTTTTCCAGATTTTCATCTTTAGTCATGACCTGGTATGTTGATACAATGTGTGCATTTAAGTGTGACTTGATGATGTCAGTCATGTAATTTGGCTTCTAAGTGGATGTTGGGTTTCCTCTGGCAATTCATAAATGTATATAAGCGTACACCTGCCAACTCTCATGCATAATAAGTGAGTCTCATACATACCGGGGCACATAGAAAAAATTATTAAATTATCACTCTTTTTTTTTTTTTAATTGATGAGGGCGGGCATTTTTTTTAAATTGATGAGGGCGGGTATTTTTTTTTTTTTTTTTCAATCGGAACAATAGATTATTTTGCTTTTGTTTTTATCGATGAGGGATGGACTGTTTATATTTGGTTTGTAATAGTAAATATTGTATAAAAACTGGTATAATTTTATAGTTTTTTAAAGAAAGTGTATTTGAATTGAAGTCACAAAAATGCATTGTTATTTTTATGCTGTTGAAATAATTGATGCAGCAAAAAATCTTTTTTTTTTATTCCCACATTAATATTTCCCGATTTTTTGACGCGGGCGGGAGTGTTAATCTAATAAATTTTTCTATTTGCCCTAAGCATCTACTTTTTTTGTATACAACATTAGATACTTACAAATTAATATTGAAATGACATTTCAAGACAATACACGATAGGAATAGTGAAGTATGGATTTAATAAAATTAAAGGAAAAGTGCGAATTTGTTTGTTGGACCATGAAATGGCTGAGGGGTATGCGGATCTCTCTGTTAGTGTCCCACATTTGTTTTACATAACCTTGGCAGGTCTGGTGACGCCATAACCTGCTCGGAATTTTTGTTGTTCATATTCCGTCTTGTAACATGAAATCAAAGTAGCAGAACATTTGTTACTCTTTTATTTTGGAAGTTAAGTTTCATATTGTAATAACAGAGTCATGTCATATTACTTTTAACCTGAAATAATAATTGAAAAAGAAGAGCCGATTAGTATATAATAGATGCACAGTATACCTGTACAGTAGTACTGATTCAGTTTGAATTTTATATGTTCAAAACATGCTTGAATTACAATGTACAATGGAATAGGAAGAATGGGAGAGGAGTCACAACTTGTCTTCTGCTGTATGAATATTTACCACTGATATAGACTGGAAAATGGCTTGTAGATATGAAACAGAATAATGTTTTAGCACTGAATTTTATTTCAAAATTGTCAAAAGTTCACAGTGCCGGATCTACGATATATTTTCTGGGGTGGGGGTGCTAAGCTGTCCGACAGAGGGACTTGAATTGTGGGCCCAAGCTGGGGAAGGGGTTGGGAGAGGGTTCCCTTTTAAAGGAGATTTTTTTAAGAATAGCAACCTCTGGGATGGCTGGAAATGACACTCGTAGACTGTGACTTAAGCCCCCTGTTCCCCTGCTGGCACCGAGCACTGCAAGTTTAGTTCTGTTTAAACTAATTATTAAATTTGAATAAATGTAAAGAAAACATGTGTATGATAGATGTCACTACATAACAGTGAAATACTTTTATTGATGGACATTTTCACTGTGACTGAAGTGATGATCATGTGGTTTTTTCAATATATGTATTTTAGATGTCGGATTTATATGTATATCATATTTTTATGTCAATTTGTTAAATTTTAAATATCAATGATTATATAAGTATTTTTTTAATGTGCAATTTTGGACCCCATTTGAAATTGGCTACACTCTAGCCTAATGGGCGTTCCTGATGCTCATTAATTTTTATTGTTTTTGTTCTCAAATCATTTTTATATTGTTTGTGTATGTTGGGCATCGATTAAATTCAATCAATCAATCGATCATACCTTTAACTAATAAGTTAATGTAGGAATATTAATCAATAAATATAGAAAACTTACTTTTGTATTGCATTTTTAATTGTTCTTTCAATGTTCAGTGAAACAAGTCACTGGTAAATGTCAAACACAAATTAATTTTAGCCTTGTCTTATTTTTCCTATTCTCAAAAAATCCATGAAGTTGCATCAAGCCCAAAAATTTCATGTTCACCTGTTTGAATTATGACATTAAATTTTATCTTATATTAGTTGCAAAGCCATTGGTGCATGAAAGTTTTCCATTTGCAGGCATTAATTGATTTGGCAAGGAAAATATAGAGCATGTTTTAAGCTTCTGTTTTATTTTCATCAATCTTTTTTGTCAAATATTATTTTGTGCTTTATTGTATTGTGTTGTAACTTTACAGAATAAACTTCAACAGAATGGATGACAGGAAAAGGACAAGACCTACCATTAAACCTTGACCTACCTTGACCTACCATTAAACCTTGACTACTCTGAAGCAAACAAGGTAAGAATAAATTTTACATAATGAGAGTGTTGGCCAGGTGTGCTGATATGCAGAAAAACAATAAATTTAAAAGCAAAATGGACAAGTCCTTTCGATAATTGAAATTATCAGCTTGACATTAATGAATAACAACAGCTACTGGTATATGAATGTGCAATTATTGTTACCTTTATTGTCTACAGTACAACAAATCATACTTGCTTTGATCTAAATAAATGATACAATCCACACAATAAATTATATTTACATTTACATTACAGCATAAATATATTTAATCATGGAGAAAATATGCCTTTTTGGATTAGACCTTATTGACCTTAAATTCTGAGTATTAATATTAATATTATTACTTATTATTATTATTATTATTATTATTGTTATTATTATTATTATTATTTATTGTTATTATTATTATTATTATTATTATTATTATTATTATTATTATTATTATTATATTTCTTTATTATTATTATTAATATTATTGATAGCCCTTTACAATTCATATGTAAAGTGCATAGGGGCAATGAGCAATATGCTATATATAAATACAGTGTACCATTATTATTATTATTAGCATTTCTGTCCAGTATTACATGATAAAAAGCTAAGTAATACAGAAATCAGAGGATGAAAATAAGACATGAACTGCATTAAAAAAGAAAAAGTAAATGATCAGTAACTGCTAAAATAATTGGTAAATATATGCACTGCATCTTGGAATTCCAAGTATATACTATTATTATTACTATTAATTAAAAATATGTGGAAGATAAGTTGGAGTTTATTAGCCTATCAGCTTTAACTGAACAAGAAATAATTATAAAATTATTTAAATACATAATGTAATAGTTATATAATTTAATGATAATATCATTCTATTATAGTTTTATGAGAATCTTTCATTTCAAACTTTTTTGAATTTTGTTCCATTACTATGTTTTACAGTAATTTAAAAGTTTACAAAAAGTTGCTAGCTTAGTTGATTTGATGAATTGAAATTGAATAGACCTCTTTGGAGACCAGTACATACACCAAATTCAACTTGAAGATCCCTATAGGTGATGCCTTAGGCCTGTATGTCCTTATAGACAGTCTATAGGCTCTAAAGGCCATCTATAGGTTCCTGTAGGCTGCCTATGCCTATACAATCCTAAAGGCTGCCTATAGGCAAAGAGAATGAAAAAAAAGAAACAATACAAACCAGAGTTACACATTAATTTTATGGATGTCACATCATTTACAATTTTGACAGGAGTGGCATCCATTTAATATACTCCTGATATTTCAATTTGATTGAAACACAATACAAAACAAGTGAAGACAGTTGTAGAATGTCATTTTTATAATTCAACTTTAACATGTTTTACAGTAATCTGCTTTTGCCAGGTTTTCCACAAACAGATTAGTATACATTTCATCCACCAATAAATTTCCTGTTATTCATTGTTAGCCTAAATAAGGTACATTATTATTATAAAGATATAATTAAATATATTAAAGTTAAAGCCTATTAGAAATAAAACATTAAATATCAATTATTAAAGCTAAGATATAATAATCAAAGATCATGATCATTGTGGTACACATTGTCAGGTTTAGCATTATTACTGTAAAACTAATTTGGATTATATAGTTTCCTGACTAAATTTTGTGGACTCGCAGTGTTCTCCCAAATCCGTTTTAGCCGTAAATTTATTGATAAAAATAACTGGCCAGCCAGTAGCAATTTTGAGTTTTCAAAATAAAAAATCTACTTATTAGGCCAAGGTAGTCTAGCTACGCTGCCCCTCTTTCAATAAATTGACATCATTTCATTCCAGTCTACTGTATGTCTAGGCTATGAATATATATTGTGTTGTTGTTTCTTCAAGTCATTAACCCCACCAAAAGTGGTAATGCCTTTACACTGTGTGCATTGCTGAATTTTTATGAACAAATTTACCAGTAAAAATTTGTGAATTTGGAGAACACTGGCTCATATAACAACAACATATAATATTTTTAGTCATGTAGAAAAGGTTTTTGTATCTGACCTTATATTGACCTTATTTGAGTTTTGAATTTTTGAATTTGAATTTATCCATCCAGTAATCACTGCAGTAATTTATGAGGCGCCATCTGTTCACTTATTATTTAGCAAAAAATTACATGGTTTTTTACGTTCTATATTTATATAATATTTTATATATTATATAAAATATTATATATTATATAAAAAATTATATATTATATAAAATATAATATATAATTTTTATATATTATATAAAAAGTTATATAATATATAATTTTTTATATATTATATAAAAAATTATATATTATATGAAATATTATATATTATATAAAATATTTAACGTAAAAAACCATGTAATTTTTTGCTAAATAATAAGTGAACAGATGGCGCCTCATAGTAATTACTTTGGCTGAGTAATACAGAAATTTGAGTAACATAAAACATGAACATGAAAATATACCCTAGTGGAGTCCTCTGTCAGTATTGATTCAAATTCAGAATATAAAAAGTAAATGATCAGTACTGCTAAAATAATTTATTTTAAATATTATAAATACTTAAATAGCAAAGTAGTAGGCATTTTGTGATATAATAATATGATAGTGTTTAAAACAAAAGCCTTGTGATAATTTTAACATTTAATTGTTCCAATCACACTAAAACAAAATGATGGTAGTAATAGTAGTAATAGGAATAGTAATAATTTAATGTTTTTGTTTATTTATTTCATGGTATCATTATTCAGAAAAATATATACAAAATCCATAAAATCATTCTATTGCAGCAAAAGCTGAATTGCAGAAACAATTTTATAAAACAATGACAAATAGACGTTACACCAAAAACAGATTAATCATTATATTACATTACAATTTAAAACCATGTAATTTGCGTATGTCTTCTACATGATTTGTCTGAATAATTTACACCATATGAATAATGTAGTAGATGTTTCTAAAAGTTAACATAAGAGTATTAAAAAGTGTATGAATACTAGCAAATAGTTTTACAACGAAAACCATGCATAAACAAAAGTATGAATTTAAGCAATATCTTTCATTAAAAGGAAGGAAAAAGTAAGCAAAAATGGTATAGCAATATTACTCTATGACTTAGGTGCATGGTTTACAGATAAATACAGAATATTAGAAAAATTATGTTTATTTAAAACAATGTTTTATAATAAATGATTTATGAAATACAACTTATATTTAATATGTATCTTCAATTTTCGAATAAAAGTGGGATGACCCCACAAAAGAGAGAGAGAGAAAAAAACAATGCAAACCATGTTTTCCCATCATTTACAATTTCTACAGGAGTTAAGGCATTCATCATAATATACCTGATATTTAAATTTGATTGAACCACAATACAAAACAAGTGAAGGCAGTAGATGGTATGCTTTAATAATTGAATATTTTTACTGTTCCGCAACGATTTGCAATTGCTACTCTCCTTGGATGATGTGAAATGAAGCAAAATGCATGTGAATTCTCAAACTCCTCTGGCTTATCAATTCTTTTTATGAAAGTTCCATCACTATTGAAAAGCCGTAGTTCGTGAATAGTAATTGGTATTTGATCAAAAAGACGTAAGGCTTTTCCCGTGCTCCTTTTCTTTTTTTGTTCGCGATCTAGTTTATTTTTTTATTTTTTTTTATTTATTACACTTCATCACTGCAAAAATACAAGAACAATTCAAAAACAAGACAAAAAGCAGCGAAAAGGAGGGGATGAACAGGTGTCAAGCACCTCTATCTACATCCCCCCTTGAACAGATTACAGAACCACACAAAATATACAAGAGAACAGGCGAAAATACAGAACATTAAAATAGTAAAATAGTAAAATAGTAAATATACAAATTTAAACATACAGTACAAAATATAGCTTAAATTATTAAGTCTACTTACTATCATGATGTTGTCATCCTCATCTACTGATACTTCACAGGCATACCTGAATTCCCTATTTTCAGAACTAGCTTCAACAAGAACTTTAATGAACTTTCCCTCATTATCAAATAGTCGTAATCTCCTGTTATCCTCCAGTACAAGAAGATTTCCTTGGTTCGTGAGAGTGATATCACGTAACTTTTGACCTTCTTGTATGCCTGATAACTCTATTTTCCTGATCATCTGTCCACTATTAATGTCAAAGGTGAACACACGACCATCAAATACATACAAAGTATTTGATGCGTTATCCACATGGATACCAAATGGATGCCTTAATAATCCATTACCAATTGATTTGATCACCTGACCATTCATATTACATATTATGATGTTTTGTTTAAAATAATCATTTATTGCTATGTTACCATTTTTCATTTCTAACATTTTGTTAACATTCACACCTTTTGGTAGTGTAATCGTACCAATATATTCTCCTAATAACTTGTTCTTGAGAATTATATTTTGGGCAGATGAAATCAGTAAGCAATCATCTTCACACTTAACTATATCAATAACAAAAAATTTGTTAAGTATTTGAAAGGAATTTACTAATCCTTCTTTTTCTACTTTGTTTTCCATTGGTGCCTGTTAATCGGCTTGCCAGGAGCACTTGTATCAACTCCTGCTGCATCCACTTGTGTTAAATCAGGACCACAAAGTTGAAGTGAGGCAAACTGTAAAGGCTTCGTTGATTGCACATCCTTTTCTTCTTTGATTTTCATTGGTGCCTGCTTCATTGGTTTGCCTTGAGCACTCGCATTTAGTTTATAAACTGCTGCCATCACATTTGTAACAATCTCAGGATCACCTTGTTGCAGTGAGGCAATCTGTAAAGGCTTCGTTGATCGCACATCTTTTTCCATTTTGATTTTCATTGGTGACTGCTCCACTGGTTTGCCATGAGCACTCACACCTAGTTTATGAACTTCTTTTGCCCTCAATTTTTTAACTATCTCAGGATCACCTTGTTGCAGTGAGGCAATCTGTAAAGGCTTCGTTGATCGCACATCTTTTTCCACTTTGATTTTCATTGGTGACTGTTCCACTGGTTTACCATGAGCACTCACATCTAGTTTATGAACTTCTTCTGCCTTCAATTTTGTAACATTCTCAGGATCACGTTGCAGTGAAGCAATCTGTAAAGGCTTCATTGATCGCACATCCTCTGCTAAATATAGCTTGTGATTTGCTGACATTGGAAATATTTTGTGACATTCATGACATGTAGAGCATAGGTAATGCTTGCAATTTTGGCAATAGTATTTTACCCGCCTTTCATTTCCGCAAACACATTTTGTCCAATCACTGGGAGACATCTTAACAGAATCCTGTGAATTATAAATAATTTTTGGGGTTTGGCTAATGGTAAATTCATTCTTTTTAATTTGTTATAGATAATATTTAGGAAGCAGCATTGAGATGAAAGAATGATCTGAATTACGAAGAATAAAGATTCAAACATGTAACTATCAAAAAGAAGGCAAACTACTAAAAAGATAATAATTTACATACAAAGTAATTATGGAAACATTATTTATTAAATGTTTCATAATAGTAATACTTGTGGATATTATCAGATACCGGTACCGTATTAATTGAAATAAAAACAAAAATATTATATTGTAATGAAAATTCTAACTGCAGATTAATAAAATTGTTTTATATCACCTATGATAGGATGGGTTCTACATTTAAAATCACAAAAAAACAATCATGTATTTTAATAGCAGATTGAAACGTATGTTGTTGTCTCTTTCTGCTCTCTTTTCAATATGTTTTCTTTCCTATGTGCCTTACTTATTCATGCAGGACAGAAAATTATTGAGATTTTGTGACCAAAAGATGTGGGGAAAAATCACTTTAGTTTTGTTCCTGCCACTGATGTCAGTTGCATCCTAGAGGCAGTCTTCTAACATCTACTAGACTAAATATATGCTGGCTCTGACAGATGAATTAACTCCTTGTTGGGTTTAAGCTTCTTTGTCCTGAATCACACAGCAGCAGATTGCTTATTTTAATACATGGGTCACAATAATATGGTTTCAAGGCTTGTAAAAAGAGCATTCATTTTTTAGTTATAATTTTGTACAAGAATCATACTGTGAACTTACCGAAGATGTTGCTGTGCTCTTTGGTTTATTAACCAATATTGTCTTATCTGTAAAGGTAGATAATGATTGATATTATGAAAAGAACAATGTTTGTACACATAAAATCAACTTTGACAGTCAAAGGTGTATTGATAAATCTGTAGCTGTCCTGTTAAGGCGAAAACTTGCCTAACTATACCTTGTTTAGTGAATCCGCCGCCTGTAAATTATGATTCGAATAAAAATAAAATTTTTGACCAATTAGTGCACTCGCACCTACGAAAAACGTGAAATTTCAGGAGATTATAAAAGTTTCACTTTATTCGTATTATGCCCACTGCTGTCTTGAAATCTCCAAGACTAAGATGTTGTATATTTGTTCCTAATTAATTTTTTTAACTTTTATATTTATATTTTTTTTTACATATCTATTTATATTTTTTTTTTACTTTCTAATTTTTTGGTGTCTTTTTATTGTTAGGACTTTTTTTTTTTTTTTCTCCATTAATTTTATCTGTGTGTATACTGGGCACTCTGGGAGAACAGTCTATTTGACTGAAGAGTCCACCCAGTATAAAGAACAAATAAATAAATAAATAAAATTATATATATCTGAACATATAAACACCCCATTACTACACTGTTTATATTCACCAATATTTTCTCCTTCATCTGGATGTTTTTGGCAAAATTATTTGCTAAACAAAATTTTAATATTAATTTATTTTTTTGCCCTCCTCTGACGATCATAAAAGCTAAAAAAATATTGGCAAAACAAGGTATAAAAAAGCCTCGCCTAATGTGGGAAGTAGTGATTTTCCAACCGTGCCAGTGACAATTTTTATTTATTTACTGTTTGTGTTTCCATTAAACTGATAGTTTTTTTCATTTAGTAACATTGAAACACACAGGAAATAAAGTTGGTACTCTTGTATTAAATACTCATGGAGTTTTTTTATAATTATATGTTATGTATAAATTGTACTCATTTTACCTTCTGTTAGAGCTTTTCCTGCCCTTGTGAGGTTATATTTCTTCAAGTTTTCAATGAAGGCTTCCATCTCTCCTTCACAAATTACCATTCTCTGCTCTAGATCCATTATCAAAGTCCAGCTTTCAGCTGCGTGTTCCTCTGCAACACTATACAATCCACCAATCTGTTTTATTTCATCTGGACTCAGTGCCATTCCCAGATTTACAAGTCTTTGTCGATGAAGTGTAAATTCTGTGATTACAATATTCTTGATATCTTTTGGTATCAGGAATGATGGATGTCGATCTTTAATTAACTGTTCCATGCCAAATTGTTGTGTTACCTTAATAGTTTCATAGAGGAGAGTGAGATTGTTTGGAGTCAGATGTCCAGCACCAATCAGTAACTCAATGATGTCCATCATTTTAGAACACTTATGTAATGCATAAGTATCTTTTACATGGTCTCTGTACAACACTTTTAACATGCTGAGACTGCATCGTCTGTCAAACCATTTGGACACATCCAACTTAAGACCTCCAAAATTTGTTTCGGCATCTTCTACAATTAAGATAAGAATATCATATGCAAGTTTTTAAAATTTCAGGTACCATTAACATCTCCTGTATTAATAAAAAAATAAGTTAAAATAGTTCACAAATTCAAATTCTTAGAAGTGAATATGTCTGATGAACTAAAGTGGCCACCATTGCTATCATCTACATTGCGTAATACAGACTGTGTCTAAATGAGGGCACCATTATTATTCTCATAGTCTCCATAAACCTTTTGTATTAGAAATCAAAATAAAAAGGAGTCTGACAATGTGGGGAATATAAAAAAATTTTTAGCATCTATTATTTTTGTTTGCACAGACTGTCTGTTATTATTTTTGTTCGCACAAACTGTCTGTTAATGTAACTTGTACCTAAATTGGTGGAGGTGAAATGGGTATACATCTTTTCCCATGCAGTTTGATTGAAAGGAACAGGAACAGTTTATCTATATTAAAAATAGAAGTTTAAAAGTGTGTTTCTTTATGAAGGATAACAGATATGCTTACCTTTGCATGATGCCATGTTGTCAGTATGAAGCTACTGTTTTAACATGTTGATTATTTTTGTACTCATTCATTTCTGGAATAGAATTATAAAAATTCCAAACTTAATAAATAAAATTTATTTTACAAAGATAACATGTTTTATTGTGAAAATTTTTCTTTACCATTTTAGTTTATAAAGACTTGATATTAATGTATGAAGCATTTAAATCCAAAATATCTTAAGCCCCAGCATTCCAGACTGTCAAATTTTAGTTTACAAAAATATATGACATGCCTAAAAATGGCCATGACATCACATCATGACCATATACGAGCATATAGCAATTTTTTTTTCACTGTAAATCTGGAGTTAGAACCCTCTCATTGCAAATATATTTTGGCGATAAAGAAGTAAATGGAAATTGTCAGAAACTGAGCTCGCACATAAATAGGGGCATCTAAAATGACCACTGATTTTGTGGTATATTTTATACTATGCATAGTATTAAAAAAATGCAATACATACAATTACATACATTTTAATCCACTTTTTCAAATAATTTTGAGTAAATATCATTGTATCAATCTAATGACACGATTTTTAACAATTAGTAGTAATATACTTACCTTTGAGTTTATCCTTTATCTATGCCAAGGTGTCCTGTATCTGTTGTGTAAGCGTTTTCCTTGGCATATTCTAGGTGGTCTGTGTTTTGACATACTGTAGGCTACTTACCTTGTTTTTGTTGAATCCAGTTGTATTGTAAAGTATATGCCTGACTAAACAAGAATAATGAATCAGTCAAGTATTATATATTGAACTGCTGAGAATATCCTTATATTCAATTCACAATACACAAGTATTTGTATGACGTATCGGTAGTAGAATTTTATAGCAACTAGATGATCTTTAGTCCGTCTCATTAGAACACCTGTTGATGATCTTATGATAATTTATCACTAAAGTGGACATGGAAATGTCTAAAATGCTCTGACTATAACTTTTAATTCAACACAAACAACGTCTTGATGTGCTATATCATGATGTATTTCATCCTCCTATTGTAAGCTTTAAGTGTTCCAATAGGGGTCAGGCAATTTCCGGCAGTTTCCAGGGGATTAGCCAGGGAAATTTTGGGTCCTTTTAAGCAGTTCTGAAATGCTTTGGAACATATTTTACTAAAAAAAAATGTGTTAAACGAGTGTGTTTAACAGGGAGAATTGGGCTGTCTCCACCCTCTACCACTCCCTCACTGGTACCACCACTGTTCCTGTATATGCTAATGTTTGTTTTGAATCATTCAAGCCCACAAGTATCATAGGAAAGGGATAAGTTAAACCATGAATTATCATATCCCACTGTATTCCATTAACCTGTAGCAAACAAGGTAAGAATAAATTTTACAGTATCAAAATCTGGTCAGCTGCTGATGTCCAAAAAAATTTTTTTTATGGCCAAATCTTTCAATTATTTAAAATCCGCATCATTCCTACGAAACCATTAGTGCAAAAATTTTGATGTGCGGTACTCATTGCTACTTGCGAATTGGATTCAAGCTCAGTGGTCTAATGATTGTGACACCAGGCTAGTTATCTTGAGGTCGTGGGTTCGATTACCACCCGAATTACTAGCAGTTTTTTTTTTTGTTTTTTTTTTTTAAAGTTAGGGAACGTATTCAGTATGAAAATATATCAGGTCAGTATACTGATTGTACAAAAATTATTTATTAAATTAACAATGAGAACTGTAACAACAAATAGAAGGAAGTACATATTTATTGTCCTCTTTATTATCTACAATACAACATAATACAGTATACAAAGTGTTAATATGGTGTATATTACCATAAAACCTCGAATAATAGCCCTTGGGTTTTTTGGGGTTTTTTTTAAAGATCATTGGATGGGTATAATATTAAAGATAACATTTTTAATAGAACAGAAAATACATTAAGTTTCAATTATAAACCAATTGATATGAATCTGGACTTTCATGCGTACACAGTGTATAAAGCATCATTCCATGTGAGTTAGTTGCTGTTGGGTGCATTTGTAAATGTTCTAAAATGGATAATTAAAATTAATTTTATCAGTTATCAAGAGAGATAGAAAATACTCGCTAAACACTAAATTATTATTGTACATATGTATTGTACATTACTATACAAATTAAGGTGCAAAATAGAAAATCAAATAAACACACATTAGAGTTTACATCAGCATAAAGTATAATTATTATTATTATTATTATTATTATTATTCATGTTCAGGTGTTTGCCCTCATTCCAATCTCAGGGTCATGGGTTCAAATCTCATGGTCGTGGGTTCAAATCATGCAAAATACTAGATTATAATCACTCATTTATAACCTGCTTTCCAACATTAGCAAATACATTTCTACTCTAGTGGCTTAGGCATCTACAGGAGCCATATACTGTATATATTTTATACAACCAAGTTGAATGCCATCCTGTGAACCTGATTAACTTTCCTTTATATTATATCGTCGCTCACATCACAAACTAACACAAGAAAGCGCGTCAAAATACTTGCTGTTGTTGTTAAGGACTTTTTGTGTGGTAAAAAATACAAAATTGCTTGACAACCAATATGCGCTTGTTTTGACGCGCTACTGTGTTAGTTCGTGATGTTAATGACGATATAACAAAAAAACTAAAGATGTTCATTTTTTACTATATGCCAAATTTTAGATTTAATGCAAACACAATACCAAAAATATGTGGCAGCAGACTACTGTATCATTATCTTTAATAGTTGAATATGTCAACACCTTTGTTACCATTTTTGGCTACTGCAAGTCTGTGTGGATAATATGAAATTATGGATAATCCCCTTAGATTGTTGATTCCATCTTCTGGTTTATCAATTCTTTTAATGAAATTTCCATCACTACTGAATAGCTGTAGTTTGTGACAACTTGATATAATGATGTTGTCATCCTCATCAACTACTACTCCACGTGGATCTATCAACTTACCATTCTCATCACCTGCTTCAACAAGGACTTTTATGAACCTTCCAGCTTTATCAAATAATTGTAACCTGTTGTTTTCATTCTCCAGTATGAGAATATTTCCCTCATTTGTAAGAGTAACATCAGTGACTGTACCTACTTGACCTTCTTGATTGCCTGGTGACCCTATCTTCCTCATCATTTGGCCACTATCAATGTCAAACATGAACACACAGTTACATTTCCAATCTGCTACATACACAACATTTGCCGCTTCATCCACATGGATACCAAATGGTCTTATTAAATCTTCTTGACCAATGGATTTGATCACCTGACCATTTATATTGTTTATTGTGATACACTGATTATCTGTATCACTGAATGCAATGTCACCATTCTTCATTTTGTACATTCTGTTAACTCTCACATATTGTGGTAATACAACCTTACCAATATATTCTCCTGATTGCTTGTACTTGAGTAATTCATTTGTACGACATGAAACAAGTAAGCAATCATCTTCACACTTAACTGCATCTAAAACATATTCTGTGTTTATATCAATAGTATTTACTAATCCTTCTTTCTCTACTTTAATCATCATTGGTGACTGTTTAATTTGTTTGCCATCAGCACTCACATCTAGTTTGCAAACACCTGAAGTTGTGCATTTTCCTGTCACAAAATAATCTCCATTGTCAATTTTTTCAACATGAGTGATGTTGGTTTCTCCTGTAGGCAGTGTCCATGTTGCCTTCAGTTGATTTGCATATATTTCACATTCATCTGTTTTCATTATTGTGGCAATAATTGTCTGACCTTGGGTCACAGATTCCCCAGGTAACAAGCCCATAAGGGACCCATATGGTGCCCATATGCAGATCTATATGGGTACCATATGTGCAATCCTTGAGGAAACCTCCGGATTCTGCACCCAAGTTCCATGTGGGACCCATATGATTTAGCCCACATAGCCCAGATA